GTTAGTATAATTACCACACAGTCAGGATTGACAAAGTACGTACCACTACAATAGAGAAAGGAACAACCTGCAGCAACAAAAGCGGGAAATCTTGAACGACACGAGCAACTACAACGGCTGACGGACGGTAGAAAGCATAATCTTTGTGTCTGGAAATGATTGGTCTACCACCGACAGCTTTCATTAATTCAGATAATTGAAGCCATCCAAGGAACAGAATTGAGAAGAAGAGGGTACCACCCCGGGAGAAGTTTCCAAGGGTGTTGGACGATTGACCATGAAACAAGGAGCCAACGATCAAGCTGTTGGAAATGATAATGAAAAATTTGGTATATAAAGTTGTCTTGTCTCCCAGAGTCAATTCAACCTCACGCTTTGTGCAAGCAAGGACTTGACGAAAGAATGAGACTGTGTAAGGTGATCGGGGACCAACAGTCTTGGATTTCGTTTCTTCCACAGAGGCTTTGAATTGTCGTGCGTCCGCATGGTCGGTTTCGTGTAGCATCCTTTCATAAGAATTGACATCTTCCAGAAGTAACTTATAATCTTCGCTTTCTCTAAAGGCTTTCTCAAGTTCAATGGGGCCTTTTGGAATGGGTCCTTGGAAATCCTTTTGGAATCGGCGTTCGGCAGGATCCGTGCAAGCCGTCAGAAAGTCTGCGGTGGTCTGTCTTGGTGGGCAATAGTATCCTATTTTCTCGAAGTAGCTCTTGGCGGCACCTGCTGGACCTGAATACACCATTCGTCCCTCATCGATTACTAATACTTTATCCATGAGCTCATATATTTGCTCTCCAGCTTGATACAGGGTGACCAATGTCGTCCTGTTGCTGATATCGGTCATCACTCTAAGTGAGTTAGCGTAGTCTAATGCAGTGGATGCATCGAGTCCACGAGTCGAGTTATCCCAAGAGACGACTGTGCTCTTAGTAGCCAGTGTTTCTGCAATTGAAACTCGCTTCCGCTCACCACCAGAAACACCTCGGACGAAAGCCTGCGAAAGTTGTCAGAATATATTTTCTAAAATCGCAATCAGGTAGAGAGATTGAAAACTCACATCTCCAACAAGGGTATGACGCGTATGGGAAATACCAAACATCTTCAGAAGCGCTGTAATTATCGTTGGGATGTCTCCTTTTTCGTGCTTTTTGGTCTTGTTTAGGAGCGAGAAATCCAAAGTTTGTTCAACTGTAAGACTTGGAAAGTGCTGATCATCTTCTTCGTTGTAGTTTACCTCTCCTCGGTAATGTTTTGCTTGCTCTTCGGCAGAAATACCTCCATATGAGACTTCTCCAGTGACTCCAGCAAAATCACCCCTCTTGTTGGAAATAGCTTTGAGGAATGTACTGCATCCAGAGCCAGGCCTTCCCAAAACTAAGAGCATTTCTCCATCTCTTACACAACCAGTAAAATCGTGAATTAAATCGCGTCTCAGGCCATTTGCTCCTGGTTTAGGGAGTACAGGGATGAATCGCGTCAATAACTTGTACAAGTCGGGTCCGAATGTCTACATTGTACAAATTAGATTGAGGCATTTTGTGAACTCGGAACAGAGAAATACTTACACCCATAATAGCAGATGGAAGAGTTTTGACATATGTTGACGTTGCACCAACCCCCTGCACAGTCAAGTTTTTGTATATCACACCGACCTTCTTTGCACTCCCTCTTGTATTTCGTTTCTCAAAATGACCGTCCCTGAGAAAGTCACCCAGTACGAATTCATCCTCGTCCTCAGCCGCCACCTCCTCGAGCTTTTCCTCTTCTTCATGTGCCTCTATGTCTTCACCAGCGGTCGCTCGTGAGCGGCGACTCGCGTTAGTTATAGTTCTCTTCATTGCCGATGGTTTTCTGGTAGTAGCTGCACTCTTTTGTGAACGAGTTCTTGACAAATGCGTGAGTTGATGGCGCAAGTCTTCGTAGTCGTGCATAGCAGTCGAGCAATTGACTGGACCGCCTTGCTCATGTTCTCCCCATGTTCCATCATTGTTTATCTCGCTCTCTGAGGATGAGCCATCGTGAGGCTGAACCAGCTCTCCACGATAGTTATCTGAATGGAGTGGAATCTGAGCTCCTTCTCGTCCCTCGATAGCTCTCTCTGCGTACATCCGCTCATCATGTGTATAAAACATTTTCACGGTGGTCGCACGCAAAGTGCCGTGAATGAGATGGTAGAGTGTTTACAGAATAAAGATCTAAAGCTAAACAGACCCTAGATTTATATAAAAGCAAGGGAGGCTTAGAAAGATATATTGGAGATATGATAGAAACTAGTGCTGGCAAATTGATCAACTTAGCTCCAGATATTGAGAAGGATTACAAATCGGCAAATCAAAAATATCAAAAGGGTAGTAATTTAGGGGGCTCATGCATGCTTAGTGTGCCCGTTTTTAACATTTCCAGGGAGAACTGCAGAATACCGTGAAATATTATCAGAGAGATGGACCTATTAGTATCAGATTGTGGATGTGGTGGGGTGCAGCATATTTTGCTTCTGATCTGTGCCCAGCTTATCAATCAAAGAAGAGAAACAGCTTAATTGGAAATTGGCAAAGGATTGTGTAACTCAAATCGATGATTTTCGTACCGATTAAGCTAGACGGACAGGACTTTATTCTAGAACCGGCAGCTAAAATGGCGGACTAGTCATAGAGTAGTAAGTTTGTGAGTATTAATGAGTCGAAGTAACCGAGAAAATAATGATGACGAACGGTAAGCTACCAAGATACCATGGCAAAGTTGTCCATAGTGTAGCGTATGACGAAAGAGGCCCATTTCCTAGTGCGGTTTATGGCACCTGGCAACTAGAGCTAGTATCCAGAAAAAGGAGCTTCCCCCCGCTTGTTTGTTGGGAGATGAAAGCGGTAACGGTGACGGTGATAAGGGAGGTAAGACTGAACTAGGCAATAAGCGATCAAGCTCCAAGGGAAGATCCATCCATTGATTCCACTCGCTTGGTTTATTATCTCGACTATCTATCACGAAATATATTATCTTTCTTTGTTGTAACCTTGCCCTGAAGATCTTTCATGAGATTAGAAATCATGAATCCGCATTTCTTCTCTTCCACCGTATGATTGGATGAATAGATTAACCCGTTTAGGTAGGTTCGAGGCAATGACTCTTGTAGCATTCAACAAAATCTTTTCTTTCTCGTCCTCGAACCAAAGATCGATTGCTTGAGTCAAAACCCAAAAGTAAGAAGCACGAAGATGTTCAACCGGAAACGTTAATCGTTCTTTCGGTACCTTCCAGAACCTAATTTTAAAAAAAATAATTCCGAATCGGCTTTTATTTTGAAGAAGGAAATGCATTCTAGGATTGACAGAGAAGCTAGCCAATCAATCGGAATTGATGACCCGGATATGAAAATACCAAGTCCGGCTAGCTGGTTAGGTCTAATCGTATTGTTGTACCCATGATCTTTTGAGTGGATATGAAAAATCTTATAACAACCTCAGGTTATTTGTTTCAAATGTCATTTTTTCCATTTTTAATAAATCTAAGGAATCGTTGAGGTTTGGTTGTGCTTTATCATACTTCCGCATTCTCCTGCGGAAGTTGCGGGTATACAATTGATGAGAAATACAATATATCAATTACAAAAGTTCACCCATTCCTCAGCCCTAGTACCTTGGAAGATACCGCTATTCATTACGGTTCAGGAACTCGGGTCTAATCCCAGCGCACGTCAGCAAAAGGGATAGATATTAAGAATACGTGAATACGTGCATTATGCATTCGACTGACTGATCTTCACGACCAAAGAAATTTCCAGAACTGTCTCCCTGGAGCAATCTCGGCTGAAGTCATTTTTCTACCAAGGAGGACTTTCCGTGTCTCTCATTCTCTCATTGTCTCTTATTGTCAATTGGTACAATCTACTTGGAGGGATTGCATAATCAGCGACGTCAACTGTAGTGACCATTTGACGAATCTTGCTAGCGAGTATCTTTTAGAATGCGAGGGTCTTAGATGGTCCACGCATTGATAAGATAGCAGTCTGACCGGAGAAGACTCAACATCTCTCCAGCGTAAAGTTCAGCCTGATGTTAATTTTAGGTTACTCTTCGGCATGTGGTCGGTCTTCTTTCTACGCCATGTAATTTGTTTCAGAATGACATATCCTTTTTCTTTCAGAGGTGAGGATTTTCGTCCTTCTTTTCTGATGATCTGATCTGCGAGGCATAGAGAAAACAGAACAAATGTCAAATTATGGTACAGTGCACTTGTTTTTTTATACATTTTTCCGATTGTTTCAAGCCTTGAAGCAGTATATTATCAGACTCAGTGTTTCAATCTTCCGAATGGTTTCAGTATGCATTAAGTTTTGATCATTCAAAATGGCTCGGGTGACTGAAATGGATTAAGGTCTAGAGTAAGCTCTGCATCTAGGACAGGTACGCTAATTGAACTCTATTTGGTATTCAGAATTGAGTACAATATTCGTCATAACGATATGCCAGACGGATTTTGCAGCTGTTCTGCTTATTGCAGGCTGGATTGTTGCACATCTCCTACTTAAGAGACAACCTTCAATTATCATCTTTATCAAGCTTTCGACAAGTACTTTCAACCCACCAGAAGACCACGCTGTTTTCTTGAACGAGACTGAATACAGAACGAAAATGTGACCCAGGCATCCTCAATCAGAATGTTCACCAGCGGCAGCGCTTTCTTTTAACAGTCAAATAATGCCAAATATTCACGATTGAGAAAAGATCCATTCAATCATATCTATAATAGGAAAATAGCCAGATTTTTTAATCCTGTGTTACATCAAAAATAAGAACGAGTGATTATTTCGTCTGTCACCAGAGACCAGCTCGATCTGTGAATACTAAGCCGCCCACCCGCTCAAAAGAATGCCCGATACGCCGCCCTATTTGCATCAGGAAGGTATGTACAAACTACTCAATCCAGTTCCATCCAAATTCATCCAATTCAACACATGACTCTGATTTCGAGTAATACCACACCAGTAAAGAATCTAAACTTCTTTACATAAAAACAGCGAATGCAACACCAAGGCCAGCAACTGCAGCCATTCCTCCATTATGGGATAGAGATGCGGCACCACCAGTGGAGATAGCTAATACATCGAAGTTAGCAAGATGATTTCAAGAGCTCTAAGAGAGGGGAGAACGAACCTGGAGAAGTTGAAGTAGCAGAAGCGCCACCAGCCCCGGATGCCGATGCAGCCCCTTTACCTGAAGCGGAAGCGGATCCCTTGCCAGTATTTTCAGTTCCAGACCCCTTTGTCGAGCTCCCTCCGGTCTCTTTTGCAGAGCCAGCTCCTGCTGTCTTGGAAGCCTTTCCGCCAGATCCAGTACCCTTGGCTGCACCATTGCCATCGCCACCAGAGCTTGCTCCCCCTGTGGACTTAGCAGATCCTGCTCCTTGTGCACCAGTTGCCTTTGCAGAGCCACCATCAGCTTTAGCTCCGGTTCCCTTGGCAGATCCTGACTCGTTGGAATCCTTACGGCGGTACGGGCCGTGTACGACACGGGGAGCCAAGCTGGGTTTTGCACCAGTTCCGCTGGGCTTAGCAGCTCCGAACGCGGTTGCCTTAGCAGCACCTACAGCGGTTCCGCTTCCAGAGAGGCCCTAGGAATATGTTAGATGAGATGGGGAGTCGATGGAAAAACAGAAATAACTTACAGATGAAGCAGAGACAGTTGCGGCAGCAAGAGCCAAGAAGAGAGCGCTCGAGAATTGCATTGTGAAAGTTGGATATTGATACTGAACTTGAAAAAGATTTGGATATGATGATATGTAATTGGACTAAAAGACCTGCTTTGGAAAAGACCAGCTTCGTGTTGGGGGTTGAGTAGATGAGTGGATGAATGATGAGGATAATAAATTGGAAAGCACAGTGATGACAGTCCACATTATAACTTGTCAAAGTCCTTGGCAATATCAACCCAAGTATCCGAAATCAGAAGCATAAACTTCAACCACCCGCTAAAAGATATCCCACATAATTCGCAACACAGAAGCATTGGTCAACTGAAGGTCCAGTTGAACTCCAAGACAAATTTAATTGGGACTTCTCCGCCCTTCATACCCTTAAGTTGAACATTCTATTCTTAGGAGTCAACGCAGCGAGGAGAAAAGAAGCTGCAGGCGAGGAATTCATGCATGTTTGCTCAACTTCCCTGTTAGCAACCAATTCGAAAAATGATAGACGCCAGTAACAACAACTCTGTGGCGTCTAAAGTTATAGATGCCACTACTTGACATCTCGCACTGACGGTCTGATCGAGTTGCAGTGGGGAGGTCTTTTACCCTCAGACTTCACATCAATACCCTCCAGCAACTCCTCTTTTGTCGGACGACGGGACTATTCATTCACTAATACAATCAGTGAATACTGCACTCTCGTCGTCATTTTCGCATACACAACAATGAAATTGAATCTCTCAATTTCTTCAATCCTGCATGAATAAATGTTGTATTCGCGTTGCAGTCTCAACTATGTCCCATCGAAATGAAGAGAGACGACTTCGTCTCTACTGCCATTTTTTGCAGGAATACGGACCATAATTCTGTTTCCTTAGCTGGTATCGCGTTCATGGCCACCAAAATAATTGAAATAACACAGAGTATTACTGGCACATTGGCCCATTCTGAAACTAGACGAGTATCACAGGCGGAAAAAAATACTTGCTTTTTCGGTCCTCGCGGCTCACTAGGATGTTTTACTAATTTGCAAATGTGAATTCTGGGTTAAAATACTCAGTTTAATGTTCATTTGGACGGAAATGATTAAGGCATTGATGAATTTTTGTCTGGTATTAATCAAAGTGATTTAATGGTGAAGCTAAGTGCTTCATTTCAGCCCTATCAGGAGAGCAAGTGGGCCCTGATAAGTTCCAAGAGATCCCCGCCACGCCTTACTCCATACATCTTCGAAATTTGAAAGATGAATCTTTCGCGTCTCGACATCAATCTGAGGGAAATGGAATTATAGTTCGCAATTATCAGACGAAAATTGTATCTGTTTGAGAGATCTTGCAACTTGATCAATACTAGAGCGATCATTGCATATTTTATAAGCTATATTTAGAACGATCAACTTGATCAACATAATTTCGAACATTGGTGAGAAAGATCAACAGCGGTTCTACAAATCCGAATTCTCGAAACCTTGTTTCATGTCTTGTCCACTCTCGACATCCAGAATGTTTCGGAGAATACTTCGGACGTCGATGACGACATTATTACCACCCGACAGAGTAAAGTTTTGCTCAAGAAAGCGTCTCCCAATATTTTCTGCATCCTTCAAGTCTTGAGCATCTTTCTCCGAAGCATTTGCCGCAACAGCTTGCATGAGATCCTCTCCCCGAGCAGCTAACAATATCAGATCCTCAGCTCTTTCGACAATAGCAGGATCTATTCCATTCATTGCAGCACAAGAAGTACCAAAACTGGAAGTACTTCTACCTAGCACAAAATTGTATAGGTACGTAACTTGATTGTCAGCTAGGTCAGATTGTTTGTTCACATAAACATCCATATGACCAAAAGCCAATTCCGGTCTTGGAGACAAATACCCGTTCTCGAATATTTCGTGAAAATGGGTTGCACCGAGAACTTTTGGTCGACGTGATTCAAGCCCAAGAAAATATTCGAACACGCCACAAGCCAGGCCAGCGCCATCTGTTGAATTTGTACCTTTACCAAACTCATCAATAACCACAAGACTACGGTGGGTTGCAAGGGTTGTACAGAGAGCTATCTGTTGCAGGTCAATCATGAAGGCGCTTTGATTTCGGGAAACATTTTCACGAGTAGTTATTCGAGTTAATATCTTATCCGTAAGACCTACAACCGCTTTGTCCGCCGGGACATAACTGCCAATATGAGCCAAATAAACAATCAGAGCGGTTTGCTTGAGATAAACACTCTTTCCAGAATAATTTGGCCCAGTCATAAGGAGCATACTTGGGCCTTCGATGCCTTCCGAGTCCCGGTGAGTACTCGAGGAAGGTTCTTGATCAATTGGTATGGAGTGTCCTGACCCGCCCACAAGGTAACAGCCGTTTGGTACATACGATGGGACTGTAAGCTCTTGAAGAGGATGTCGTCCGCCTCGTATGTCAATTACATTGGCTTGCGTGATAGTTGGTGGATTGAAACGATATTTAATAGCTCCGAGAGCCAGTGCAACGAGACTATCAAGTTCTCCGCATAAATCTGACACTGTAATGAGAAGATTCTCCTGTTCCAGTACACGCACAGTGAGGTGATGTATGATTTCGATCTCTCTGTCTAACGAACAACGCACAATCAGTATGTGCTGTAAATCGATGTCCGAGTAACTTACCTGTAATCATGCTGTACATATCGCCAATGTACTCGTCCATTTGTCTCATATGCCCGTTCTTGTAATATACTTTCTCGTCACTGACAAATGTTTGAGACCATTCATCTTCGTCGGTTCCCTCACCTTTATATTTTCCTTCGCCTGTATTAGGATCAAGTTGTACCACTGTCAGAAAACCAAGTTGTGGAAAATATATGCAATTTTCGACATATTGGCGAGCCCATTCAGGTATATCATCTGACATTTTCTGTTGGACTTCGGTAAGAAGGCTTTCCATACCGTCATATGTTCTTTTCATCCCGTCTAGCTCCGGGTCAACACCTTGTCTGACAGTGACACGATGTTGTTCAGCCGATCTTTCAAAATCTATCGTCTTGGTAATTGCTTGACCAATACCAAGAAGGTCATTGGGGCGAGTTTCACCGAGGAGCTAGTATAATGGTTCAGCTTATGTCCTTTGGACGATGTAGGCATTCTCACCTTGCCAGCAATGATAGTCTTATCGCCTATCAGCCCTCGCAATGCTTCTAGTATCTTGAGCGAACGGTAGGTAAATGACAGGATGCTCCCCCAAACGCCACTTTTGACTGCTGTTGCCTTCGTAGAACCTCCACTCACACCTTTCTGAAGATTTACTACCACAGTCCTGATATCTTTGACACTCTTCAGGCTCCTTTGAAGTTCTTGTAATATAGGTCCATTCCCTGGAAGTAAAAAGACACCTATTGTGAAGAGTCTTTCCTTAATTACCGAAATATCTATGCTTGGCCTCATGAACATCTTCCGAAGCTTCTGCTTACCCTGTGGTGTGCTAGCCAAATTATAGAACAGACCAAAAACGGATAGGCTTTCTTTTGATCCTGATGTAGACTTATTTGGTCCTTGCATATGAGAGTTCGGATGAGACTCGGATTGGATGATTTGGAGTGATGATAATGTATCTGCATTTACGAACATCATATCCGTTAACGAAGACATCTCGATAGTGCGGACCCTGAATGCAATCAATGCAGCCTCGTCATTAGGAAGGTAATCTACACTTCGTCGTCGTCCGAGGTAATTAAGCACCGCACCGGCACAGCCAACCTATAAGCACGTTATTAGTAAAGCCATGTGGTGCTTGTTGTTCTCACCTCAACACTCATTGTAGGTCAACTGTATCTACCTGATTAGGATTGAGATGCAATGCCATTTAGATGAACAAAGCAAGATGCATGGCCTACCGAGATTTTGCTATCCAGATCAATCCAGCCTGCAAGTCTCATGAATCTTCCTTCACGGCCCTTACCACTCAAGTCTGCCTGATCATGAGTGTGATTTCCAGCTAGTTCATCACCAGGTGTAGCAAGCATCATTCCAGGGCCCCTTAGGCCTTCAATACCCAAGCTAGCCAACTTGTTCTTTGCGGTCTCATAATAAAATTCCGAGGCCGGTCGGGAATCGAGAATATATGAGCCGAATATATCATCTGTAAGGTCAGCCTAGCATCAATTGGCGCCTTTCACCAAAAACCTACTGGCGTCTCCTCGGTCGATGCCCTTGGCATCTCTTTGAAGAAGATCTTCAAGTGCCTCCTCGCAACGGGTGCTTATTAGGATTACTTTGATACCGTTAGTATAAACAATATCTAAAGGCTTTCATAAGACCCTACCAGTGGGATCGACGTGAACTTTTAGAGTGTCAATTATGTCAAGTCCAGCCATACTGATATCTGCCATCATGCATAATTTTTCTTCTCTCGCGAGATAATATGCGCACCCTACTGTACCACGTCCTTTCAATTCGACAGCCATGACAACTTCATTCATGGAATCGCAATCTTCGCGTTCTTGAATATCAGCCTCGTTCTCTCCCGGTTCGACAATGTTGACCTCATCTTGCACTGATGATGGGGAGGCTACATGTGCTGATTCTGAGTTCATCGATATTCTGTTACAGGGAGGAGAAAGGTGGATTGAAGACGAATTATATTCATCCCGTTGTACGGAACCAGCTGTCAATGAGCTTGGCCCGATTCTTGACGATTGTCCTCGGGAGGATGACTGGTCAGAACCTGCACCGGAAGTAACTCGCCGACGCTTAAACGGTGGCATACTAATGCTTCTCATAAGATTTCGAACACTGTAATAAAATAAGGGAAGTGAGAGGGAATAATCAAGAAGGTGAATAACTTTTGAAATAAGTCAAGATCAGATTCGAGATGTGAAAGGTGAGAGCACTACGGAAGTGATTTTGCCAAGCGAAAATCATTCCTCCCTCATTTGTACAACTTTACTACTTGTATGTACATAGCTAAAGACGCTCGAGATGTTCAAGCCAGTAAATGTATTAGAATGTTTCAATGATACCAAGGTAGTAGATACACACTCAAAATTGGGTTGTTTGAGCAGTATATGAATTTTTGTGCCACTTCATGATATTTGTCTGCAACCCAAAATATCATTTCTCCAACTATGTGCAACGTAGCTCCCCAGCCAAGATCATTCATATCACAGCGTCCACAGAATCAATATCATACAACCCCCCCCCTGATATTTGCCCCCTCGATCTATAACTCTTTTGTTGGAATTTGTTCCCCTCCTTCCCTGATCCACTCCGCAAACTCGTGTCTTTGCCTTCTGATGTCTATGAAGCTTGGTCGACTCTCAAGGACTCTGAAGGGGTTTCCAACAAAATCTTTGTCCACCTCTCCATCTGCGTCCATAAAGCCTTTCGCTCCCTCTCGCTCAATTTTACCTGCCCAAACCCGCCATTGTATAGGTCGTAATTCTGGTGTGCCTAAAACTAAGCCAAGACAAACAATAAAAATCGATACTATGGTCTCGATAGATATGTCGATTGGTAGAGAGGCAGTAGTTGTAGCGTGGGAGGAGATAGAGGATAGATGGGCAACTCCTGTAGATTGTAGGGCCGAGTGTTCGTGGGCAGAATAGCAGCTAAAGAATAATATCTGTCAGTGATTGCAGAATCGTTTAGATTTCGGTATACTTACGCGTGCGTGAGAAACAACAAGCCGAGGCCCGTAATTGATTTGGAGATCCAAGTCATGCTGGAGAATGTAGTGTTTTGTTAAAATATTGTGGGTTGTCAAAGTTTCCAGCTTGTCCTCGTTATTAGTAAAGGTGCGGCTCCTTGGGAACCGTAAGCGCGATAGTGGGCAATCGGTTTGTCTTTTACAGATATGCGAGTAAAATATTACAAAAACATTAATTTGGCACAAATGAATCACAAAAGTAATCTGCATGTAAAATTTATGTACTTGTTATGGCTTTTTTTGCATTTCAATTCTATCCCAGTCCATGATTATCATCATTTCGTAAAACTTATTTTTTATCATAATAATTTATTGACTGATCAGAGTCAAAACCTCCATAGGTAACGTGGAATCATCTCAGGAACAGGAACGAAGCGGAAGTCGAAGGTAAAACCTAGACGTAATGATGCTTTATAGCTTTTGCATGGCAGCCTGTTCTTATTAGCCGTTGTCAATGGGATCAGAAGGGGCATAGCATACAATATCGGAGGATTGGACATAGTCCTCGAACTCAGCAATCTCCTCTTGCAAATCATCAAGACCAATCTTGTCATCCTCAATGACCAAGTTGATCTGCAACTTCTTGATACCGAAACCAACAGCAACAAGTTTAGAAGCACCCCAAACGAGACCGTCCTTCTCGATGCCACGAACAGCAGCCTCCAATGCGGCCATGTCGGTCTCATCATCTATAAATCGATCAGTATTGTTATCAGCGTCAAATCAAAAACCCGACTTACCCCATGGCTTGACATCCATTGTGACGACAGACTTGGCAGCAGGCTTGCTCTTGCCCTCCTTCTTCTTCTTGTACTCGGCCAGACGCTCCTCCTTAATTCTGGCAGCCTCCGCATCTTCTTCCTCGTCATCACTGCCGAAAAGATCGACCTCATCATCATCCTCTTCCTCGGCAGCTGGAGCCTTTGCTGGGTTCAAGGTAGCCTCGGTCTTATCTGGGCCATATGAAGTGTATTCCTTGGAAGCATCACCTGGGAGGGTACCGAATTCCTCGGTCCAGGAGTTGATGTGCTTGTACCATCTAGCAACGTGGGGGAATTTTGCGGCATCTGGGGCGGATTGCTGAGCCTTGAAGACGGCTACATCAGCTTGGCTTGGGGAGTATCTATAACCTCTAGTTAATATTTTCTTCGATCATTTTCTGGGTAAATCGCTGCAATGAAAGTAGAGAAATCAGAGATGCAAAAAAGCTTGGTTTATCGCCATAATGCGGTTCTTGAGGCCGCTCAGTAACACGGACCAATGTTGCTCATCATATTAGGAATTGTTCGAGGAGGGGTACTGATGCGCAAATAGACACATCATGGATGCTGCCTCGCAGGTAGAAATGAAAACGGACAGATGTCCAGATAAGAAATTAAACACATACCCAACGATGTATGAACGAGTCTCCAACCAGTTGTTGAGCACTAAGTCAAGTCAATTTCTGCGCTTTTTCAAAATTCTTCGACTTGAGATTATCTATCTCTATCGTGGCGGGGAAAAGCTTACTGGTAAGACCAGCATCGTTGACAAAGTCTGTGAATCCCATTGTAAAAAATGTAAGATATCTTCTTTCTTGATATTAGAGGTGAAGAATTTTTTATCTTTTTTAAGAAAGGAGGAAAACAAACAAAATTGGTGATGTTGATTGTGATGAGGAGTGGTGGGGTGAGTCAAATTTTGGGAAGAAGATGGAACTTCAAAAATGGTGCTTTCGGCTGCTTTCCACGGTGTGAAAATTTGATTGGCTCAGGCATTGTCTACAATCGCTTAAAGCGAAATTAAATTAGCTACAATCGAGAGACACCTAGTGGCGGGGCGGGATCAGGCTTGATTCTCTTGCCCAATGGCTGCCGTCAAAAATAAGGCATGAAATGATATTGCTTACCTAAGCTCCCGTAGAGATACAGCTAGTGGGGGGAGATCGCGGGAAGCTTCCACGTCCCGCTCAGAATGCTCGAGACTATTCTAGATAGAATTTATAAATTCACCTACATATATATATATATATATATTCTGTCTTAGGATATGTTGATTCATTATAATCTTTCTCCCATTTCCTTTTTCTTTTCCTTTTCTTTCTTTAGAACTGAAGACATTCAATCTCACGATAATGAGGAATATCAAAGCATTACGACAAATTGAGAGCTCTTCTCGCCTTTTTAGAGGAGCTCCTCTACAAATTCGAATCGGACGACCATTGACCAAATTTCCATTACATAGCAGTCATGCATTCACTTATAGAAATATCGCACCTCTTACTGCGCTTCGCACATACGCAAATGGACGCCCACACCCTCCAGGCGGCACGCACCGCATGGATATGGGTGGTGGAGAGCAAAAGTCTGCCTTGGAACAATATGGTGTTGATTTGACTGCGCGTGCAAAGGAGGGAAAACTAGATCCGGTCATTGGTAGAGATTCGGAAATTAACAGAACTATACAAGTACTATCGCGGCGAACGAAAAACAACCCGGTATTGATCGGAAGTGCAGGAACAGGAAAGACAGCTATATTAGAGGGCTTAGCACAACGAATAGTCAGAGGCGATGTGCCAGAAAGTGTGAAAGACAAGAAAGTGATATCGCTGGATCTTGGACAACTTATTGCTGGGGCGAAGTTTCGTGGTGATTTCGAGGAACGATTGAAGTCGGTCTTGAAAGAGGTGGGTATTCATTTCCATCGCGGTGGTTGCTTGCCAGTAGATATAGTCGTTTTGTTATGTTCTTTAAGTACGCACGACCAAGTGGTACACTTGAGACACATACAGACTGTCGATATAGGCCTCATAGTTAGACCTACTCACAATGCTATATCTCGCTATACAAAATTGCACACTGTGCAAGACGTACCATCTTTTGCTTGAAATCTGTAAATGTTTGAAACCGTTCTAACAACTCCCAGGTTCAAGAAGCCCATGGCGGCGTAATTCTATTTGTGGACGAGTTGCACACGCTATTAGGATTAGGGAAGGCTGAAGGAAGTATTGATGCAAGTAATCTGTTGAAACCTGCACTATCTCGGGGTGAATTGCAATGCTGCGGAGCAACCACACTCAACGAGTATCGTCTAATCGAGAAGGACGTCGCTTTGGCAAGACGCTTTCAGCCTATTCAAGTCAATGAACCGACGATACAGGATACAATCAGTGTTCTTAGAGGCATCAAGGAAAAGTATGAAGTGCATCATGGAGTTCGCATTACAGATGGGGCTTTGGTTGCTGCTGCTACCTACAGCAATCGGTATATCACAGATCGCTTCTTACCTGACAAAGCAATTGACCTTATGGATGAAGCTGCAAGTGGTCTGAGGTTACAGCAAGAGAGTAAGCCGGACGATATTATGCAGCTTGACCAAAAGATCATGACGCTACAGATAGAGCTCGAGAGTCTTAGAAAGGAGACAGATATCGCCAGCAAAGAACGACGCGAAAAGCTCGAAAACGATCTGAAAAAGTGTCAAGAGGAAGCGAAATTGTTGACAGAGAAATGGGAAGCAGAGAGGTCTGAAATTGATGCTATCAAGAAGACAAAAGAGGACCTCGAGAAAGCTCGCGTCGAGCTCGATCAGGCACAACGCGAAAACAATTATGGCCGTGCTGGAGAGCTAAGATATTCCGTAATCCCATCATTAGAAGCAAAGTTGCCCAAAGATGGAGAGACGGGCCCTTCATCCGGAGGTACTTTGATCCACGACGCTGTGACTGCTGACGACATTGCGGCTGTTGTATCACGTGTCACTGGCATTCCTGTTACAAAGTTAACTTCGGGGCACGCCGAGAAGCTTATTCATATGGAAGATACTTTGAGACAGTCCGTCCGTGGTCAAGATGAGGCTCTCAGATCGGTTGCAAATGCAGTCCGAATGCAACGAGCAGGTTTGAATGGCGAAAATAGACCACTTGCATCGTTTTTCTTTCTCGGTCCGACGGGTGTGGGAAAGACTGAGCTTTGCAAAAAGATGGCAAACTTTTTGTTCTCGACTGAATCAGCTGTTGTTCGTTTTGATATGAGTGAATTTCAAGAGCGGCATACGGTTTCGAAGCTGATCGGTAGTCCCGCCGGATATGTTGGATATGATGATGCTGGACAACTCACTGAAGCTGTCAGAAGAAAACCTTATGCAGTCCTTCTTTTCGATGAATTTGAAAAAGCCCATCGAGATATCTCTGCTCTCCTTCTGCAGGTATTGGACGAAGGGTTTTTGACGGATAGTCAAGGCCGCAAAGTTGATTTCCGCAACACTTTAATCGTCTTCACCTCCAATTTGGGCGCAGATATCCTCGTTGGCCTCAACCCCTCGCATCCATATAAAGAAGAGACAAATGGCGATATTGCACCTTCTGTCCGCAACGCTGTAATGGATGTTGTGCAACATAATTGTAAGTTTACCTAGCCTCCTGCGTGATCTTTTTTCTTCACTCAAAACTAACAATAATCACAGATGCTCCTGAATTTCTCAACCGCATTGACGAATTTATAATATTCAAACGTCTTTCTAAGGAGGCTCTCCGAGATATTGTCGATATCCGACTTTTAGAACTCCAGAAGAGGTTAGACGATCGACGAATCACACTTGAAGTAGATCAAGAGGTGCGACAATGGCTTGCTGATAGAGGCTATGACTCTAGGTTTGGCGCCCGGCCGCTTAATCGACTCATCTCCAAGGAGATTGGTAATGGACTGGCCGATAAGATCATCAGGGGAGAATTGAAGACTGGCGAAAATGCGGTAGTGAAGATTAATGCTGAAAAGAATGGTTTAGCTATCGAGAGCACAGGAGCTGTGGTAGTGTAAAATATTGGGTACGAAACGGATGGTACATGCATGATGGGTTATGAAAAATGGGTTTGGCGGCATGGTATGGCGGATCTCTGCTCTTGTTTCTAGTATGGGCGTTGGAGGATGCATGGATATGATACCAGTAGGGATATAATCTTAAATTTACACACGTTCTAATTGAACCTGCTCTCTTTGTTATATGGTTATTTCTAAATGTTGACATAAATGAGACTCCTTGTGATCCCACTCTGCCACGCCCTGACTCCCTCAAGGGCATTTTTATATCAAAATGAGATGATTGTACGATATCGACAGAATATATAGAAATTATGTGCGTATATGATATAAATGAAATCTGCAAAACTATATGATTGTATGGCATCATTACAAAATCATTACAATATATGGGAGTTGAGTGGGAAGTAACAACTTCAGCCTGCTTAGATGAGTCAAAGTATATTGTGGTTATGTTATATGCAATGCCTACCAGCTACTTCGGAATCCCGCAGCCATTCAAACCTTGCAGAAATTTGTATGAAAAAAGACAAGAATGCTCGACTCAATATCGTTTACTAAATTCGTAACTTCTAGCCTGGTGTTGTCATGAGTATGACGGCCGTGTCTCCATTCGGTACCTCTTTCATGGCCACAAAACCACACCTTTCATATAATCGCCGAGCTCCAGAATTTTCTGACTCTACTACAATACTGCATACAAACGCTTTGCCCTGCACCGCTGCTTCACCTCCTGCATATTTCAAGGCCGCTTCAATAAGCGCTTTCCCGACTCCTTGCCCACGAACATCTGTAAATACTCCGTTCATTCGATAATGGCATATTGCCTGTTCGTTGGATATCTTATCACCAATCGCTTGCCATGGATTTCCAAGGACCGACATGTCTTCTGGGCCATAAATCAATGGGCCAAGCATTGAAACAGTACCGACGATTTTAGAATTTTCAAGCGCAAAATATGTAGCTGCGTGTGGGTTTGCAAGACGTTCGTACCATACTTCGTCTAAGAACGCGGCTTCCGTAGAGTAATTGGATGCGAAAGATTCAGGTGCGACTTGCAGAGATAGAAGCCTAAAATCTTTGTACTTTCCGACATAGGACCGTACAAGATCATCACTGGATACATGTATGATTTCGTAGGTCATTTTGACGTTTTAAGGTGCGAAGTAATAAGCTTTACTATCGTTGATAAATAGGAAGATCGTTGCACTGAAATAGTGGTACACTGGCACCATCAAATATCGAAAAGCGTTTGTCTTCTCGGAACCACACTCTGGGTAACCTGTTATGTGATGTCAATTGAGAAAGCAGTTTTGAAGAGAAACACCAACAAGAGATTATGTTATGGGCGAATTGTCCCCTGCTGATGTTCTCGCGTGACTGGTCAAAAGCCTCGAGGTATAAGCTGGGAACTGATAGTAAATAGATAAGCGCCAACAGGGGGGAAGAACACCAAAACGTGTATCGCTAATCGATAGCCAGTCATTCAGCCAGGATACATCAGAATACTACCACGGACAGGTCCCCCTCATGTTTCACAGCTCCAAAATCAGCCTTGTGCGCCTCTCGACGGCAGCATTCACAGCACAGCACAGCACAGCACAGCCTACACATATAAACTCATGAGATTTGCCCATCATGATTTCAATCTTCATTTTCCTGCATAGTATGCATACGAAGCCTATACAACATGGAGAAAGACGGAATATTCGCGGACTTCGACCAACAAGTTGTATATAAAGACAGCCTCGATCGAGCGGGAGATGAAAATACCCGCAACTTTGTTGTCGAGTTTGGCAAACTCGAAGCTCGAATTGCCTTTGATCTGAACGCAGGCCAAGTAAACAGGCTCCTAGATGAACCTTCCACGCAAGCCGAGCGCGATCGACCTCCTGTGCGATGGATGTAAGTGATGGTATCAATTTTGCAAGAGTGTTTGCTAATATGCGACAGCAATATCTGGGGTCCAAACCGACAGACTGATATAATGGATGTTCTTGCACATCGGTATGGGTTTTCTCCAAGGCTTCTGGCTATCATCAAAACCCTGCCACCGAAAAATCCGACCAGTAAGGATCATCGAGTCAGTTACAAAGAGAAATTGTTCGAAAAGGATGATATCGAAACTGGCAGAGCGAGTATGAATATGCCCAGAACACATACAGCTCATCATGCGCCCCCGGCCACCACGAGCCATTATACTATTGCACAACAAATGATCAACTACCAATCCGTTGACGTAGGAGCACGTTTCATGTGCATTGGTGCGAATTGGATGCATGATATCGATCCACCGATGAAGGAAAAAGATAATCCAACAGTTCAAAATCTATTCATAGACAGATTCCAGTGTAGACTCTGGTCTTGGCTTATACTGTGCGACGATAATACAGTTATAGCTGTACATGAAGATACAGGGCCAATTAAGGCGACGAAAAAGGATCTCAAGTCACTGCGCGGCAATACTCTGAGCGTTTTAGGCCAACTTTCCAAGTCGGGTCATGAGACGGCGGATCCAATATCCATGCAGTCTGTCCGACAGGTTCTAGATTTGAATACAGCGCACGCGAATAGCGGGACAGAAGGAGCAAGCAACCTTTTTTACTACCTATTTGATGATTGGCGAGCTGTCTACAAAACAGTGGCTTTTTTCAGGGGAAGTTTAAAAGAGTTGGAGACCTCTATATTCGAAGACATGACAAGAAAGTCCAACAAAGGTCCTGACATAAGAATCATTCCCCATCTTCACTTCCTTAGCAAGAGAATTCGTCGGATGCAACACTTGTACAACGGCTACCATAACCTCATAACCAGGATTCTGGAACCCAAGAACTCGAGTACGTGGGAATCAGGCACACCTGACGCCTCATTTATAACTCAAAGTGGGAGAAGCGGAGTTAAGTTAGCTGCTTCTGCGAGCCAAAGATTCGAGAGACTCGGTGATCGCTTAAAATTATTGATTCTGAGCGAAACTGGTGAGTTCCTCGCCGAAAAGGACGCATTGAGTACTACCGTAAGAATTCCCTCCACTGTTGTTAATTGACTGCGAGTAAGCTAACACATCTCAAGTATTTCAGCATTAATTCCCAAAAAGACTCTCAAGCTACTGCCCGCCTCAATCGCTCAGCCACCCTGCTCGCCAAACTATCGGTGCTTTTCCTTCCCGTATCACTTATGACCTCTTACTTCTCAACTCAGCTTAGTGATATTGAAGGCAAGTATTCGCTGTATGATTACTGGGTTGGGTTTGCGGTAGTGGTATCGGCGTCCTTCGTCTGCTTGTTCTTCTTCAGCAAGTTATTGATGTGGGTAACAGAGACCCTGGATATATGGGCCAAGGCCTTAGGAAAGAAATCTAGGCATATCTTTGTCAGTCTTCTGAGGGGCTTTGACATGAAAAAAAATAAGGCTAAGGGGGAAGGAACAATCAATGCTAAAGATGATGATGATATGGATGACGAATGATGAGAATTTGATTTACGGAATGAATTGGGTATATAAGGTTTATTTGGGGGTAAACTTTGGGACGGAAATAAGCTCTTTTCCTGAAAGTTTCAATTATGTGATGGTTAATATCCGGCATACTTCATGTATCATAGTCATCACTGATTTTCGCCATAATCGATATATATATTTATGAAACGAATAAAGAGACAAATAACCTCTATTGCTTCCAAACTTTCAGTAATACACGACTTCTCTTGGAAAATAATATGAGAGCGTCTGGCTACTTTAGAGCAGAAATTGTTTGTGAAATTAACAGCAATCATGCTACATGACCTCTCCAAACTTCCGAGCTACGAAGTGCCATTTCTATGCCAGTTATCAGAGACTCGGTGAAAGAACCTGCTTCTCATCTACTTCGGAGCATCTTATTCTAACCTGGTAGACTTTGGGCGAAGATATACTTACCACTTTTGAAATGTAATACCATCACGACGCATTACTTCTATCGACGTGCTTTACATCCATATTCATCGTCGCGAGAGCAAGTAAGCACGGCGTCGAGAAAGGAGACCCCGATACCCCTCACCATCAAGACGCTCCAAATCCGGATTCCCGTCTAGACTTGAAACTATCCTATGTCCCACAAGTTTTGTGATGTGAATCCTTGACGGTGGTTTGTTTGTCCGTCTCCAAAGCTTGATTGTTGGCAAGAATTTAAGAATTGAATGCTTCGGATATTGTCGATTGGGGAGGCAGATTCAATCTTTGAAGTAGGGAAGTTCAATCTATGAGCGTGTTTAATCTGTCAATGGAATCCAATCCATGCAGTGGATTCAGTCGATCTATGCAGTATGGTATACTCAATCATTCAAACGTCGCACATTTTCAGTCTGCAATTTGCGAGATTGAAGCCCCTAATACCAATAGACAAACCAGCCAACTGTAGATTTAACCTCCCGACTCTCGTAAAAAGAAATCTGGTGCCATATCAGACGGGGACTACTAATAGAAGCCACCATGTTCCCAATCCGCCCTACTCAAAGTATAAACACCGCAAAAGCAAAAATAAAAAAACAACACAACAGAAATGGGAACATCGACGAAATCGATGGGAGAAAGCTCAAGTCGATAAAATAGAAACATACTGCGCCGCGTTTCTCGGCTGCAATTCCTCCTCCACGTACCTACATGTCTACGTATTCATCTCACCTCAGATATATATGAGAACTGTCTCGTCTGTATGCACTCCCGCGATTGTCCGTTAAATCTCTTCTTCCTGGTGATACTCCTGGCTTGCATCTGGAACACCTAGGAGGGTAATATAGACACATCAGGTAGCTGGGTTACCTACCTATGCATCTCAATCTCTATTCGAATATTCATCGAACGACGGAGTTAAGATCCTGAATATCCGTCTGTTGTTTCACTTGACCACGGAGGTAGAATATCTCCATTTCTCACTGTATTCGCATGCTTACACAACAGATGTCATATCTTACCTACGAAATGTGTTTTCAAGGGTTGGGAAGAGTACAGCAGGAATAGAAATCTCGAGTTTAGCCGCCCACCGCTATTCTGCTGTCGGGTCTGCCAAGGTTCCCTCACATCCACTTATAGTTCCATTTCACACTAAGACTTTCTGGTACATCGAGCGCGCTGCGCTGCAAAAGAAACCAACGTCAGCACACATCTTGCACCTTCCCACTCGTCTCTATCCAGCGGGTATTCTTTGCGAAATATCCAGCCGCGCATTGCAAAAAACAAGCATGCGTAACGCGTATTCTTTTGTGTTCAAATCTCACTCGTCATTCTGAGCACTTCCCTGTATTTCCCAATAAATATATTCACTTTTTTGAAATTTATGCAATGTTATATTTTATAAATATTCAAAATCACATTAGAAAGGAAAAACCTAAAATTAAGAACTAATAGTCGGCTCTTATAAGCGGCCGACTAATTCCTAATTAGGGAAAGCGAATATTCCTAAAAAGCGAATTGTTCCTATAAGATTTTGAATACAAAAATTACTAAAATCATCAAATTTTACTACAAATCTAATCTGTTTTCAATATACAATTATCAATTTCAAATCAATATTTTATATTTTTATATAATTCTAACCAATAGGATTCTAGCTTTTTAATGATATTAAATTCTCTTGAATTGCTTTAAAATTTATAATATTGTTTATGAAATTCAAATATTTTTCAATAAAAATTATAAATCTATCACCAAAATCTCACAGAGATAATTCGCTCTCCGAGGATGTTCGCTTTCCCCAATTAGAAACTAGTCGGCCGCTTATGAGAGCCGACTATTATAATTTATAGTTTATCTAATGCTTTTTGAAAATCTCTAACTAATAAATTGGTTAATAAATTTGGATTTAAGTATTATTTTAAAGATTATTCTGAGTTTTTAAAATTACAATTAAAAGTTTTAATCTTTTTATAAATTATTATTTTATTAAATTGAAAGATAAAAGGGAATTTGCTCAAATCAAATCAAATCAAAATAAATCAAAATTTTCCTTATTTTATTTAAATCTTTTCAATCTCTCAAATTTTTTAAAAGATTTAAAAGATTATCCACCGTGTGTGCTAACTATAGCAGGCTGTTGCTAAAAGCTATCTAGGAAATACGCATGCACTTCGTAAAAAGGCGCCAATCACATTGCCATCCTCTCACTGCCGATCTTCGATTTCAGCCTTGCAGATATTAGTTATCATTATCTTCTCTCTCTTCATACAACGGAGACGGCACAACGCGGCCGCTCCGCACACATCGGCCTGGCCAGTTCTTTGGTGTCATATTAGTCTCCCAAATCGCTGAAAATTAGCCTTCAAAATCGTATCCCGTCGAATTAAGATAAAGAAAGGGTGATGCTTGACGCACGAAAGATAAGTGAATTCCCGGTTTGTGTTTGCAGATGGAAATACCCATCCCGTGATAGTAAAATTTCAAGTCTAGCAGCCAAATCTGGAAGAAAACATTGTCGATCCCTCAGACTTCTTCTATACAGTCGATGGTGCTAGCAATAGCATTGCTGATGTGAGCACGACATACCGCGCCCCGAACTTCCTCTTCGGGACTTACCTCGCCTCGCCCCCGCATGCATCCTCATCCTCGCCATTTGTCTTGTTCTCGAACAAAAAGCTTCCCTGAAATGTCAAACAATACCATGCCGGCTTATGATCCTTCGGAAAGAGATTGATTGTTTCGGGGCTCATCTCACTCCCTCAACGTGGCTACTGCATGCCAACACGCCAACCTGTCCGCTGTTGTCAGATCTTTTTCTTCCTTGTGCTGATCCACAACGCTGTAGGTGGCTGACGCTGACCCGGGAGTTTCATTAAGGTTATTCTTTTCTTAGGAATCTTTGAATGCTTGGTACTATGATGGAATGCCGCTGTATCTGGCCAAGTGCAAGAGAGCATTGGTAGCAGGCAGTTTTTTTCTCTTCGCATGCATTAGTTCAATGAACAGTTCGATTCTGTCAAACCACGGATGAAAGATGGGTCATAATAGGCTAGCAAGAAACATAAGAAGCGACCGGGGAGCTGGAAAGGGGTTGGTAAAAGAGAGATCTTTACTTGTTTGAATATTCACACCATGATTTTATTCACGGTATACTGAAAATGGTTAGGAAAGAAAAAGAAGGCCATGACTTGGACGAGATCAAAGTCAAAGGTCTCGCCCCGTACCAATATTTTTTAATCAATCGTAGGCTACAAGATACCAAAGTAATTAACCGGTTCATACCCATAAAATACAGGCTTTAAAGCCTTCATCCCCACATGCGATCAGAACGTTTTAGCGGGTCCTGTAAAAACCCATCCGAGCAGGCCAATTAGATAGGGGAAATTTTCAGAGAAGAAAGGTTGCCTGATAAGTATTCTGGACTGTACAGTGCGTAGAGAGGTAGAGTGCTCCATAGACTCCATATAGTCTCCATGTAAGGAGGCTTTTCAAAGCGTCAATCTTTTCCCAGACATCAATCCCTACTTATTAGTGCCAGCGGGAAGAGGCTTTTGAGAGGCTTCTGCTCCGTACACTACTGAGACCTTAAATGAACAGGGATTCAACAAAAGATTCCATGCCCCAGGATATATCATAACAGTGGTGGCTTCCGGTAAGGCTTTCTTGACCATTATACCTAGTCTCAAGATCCGTACAAGCAACCCTGCTGGCCTGTCCTGAGATTTTTGGATTTGTAACCATGCTTGCCGTGCTTGCTATGGAAGCGAACCAAGATGGGTTCCACAGGATGTAACCTTAAAACCGACAACGTGTAATCTAAAATCCTTGTATTGGGTAGCCGCGGGGAAAGAGATGGATGTTGCAGTGCATATGCCTACCCACACACCCTTGACCTAGAGAGATGAGTAAGAAAATCTTCACTATTCTGTCTATCAATCGTAACAATTTGGCCAGTAAGGGGAAGGGGAAGATATACCAAGCATGGAAAGTACCGGCCATCTTATGAAATGAGTGATTTTATGACTTGATCTGACATTATCGTTACCTCTATCACTTGTAGACACTGACTCGAAGTCGAAGACCGAGGCTTGAGTAAACGTCGAAATTTGAACATTGAAATATTGAAATCGGCAAGTATCGTTCCAACTTCCATCTAGACCAGTAAATGAACATGGTTAAGCCGTCTTAATCTTACCCACTCATTTACCGTTATTTACTGTTGTCCATCGGAATTCCGACTCCGTGGTTCTTCCCCCCGCCCCGTGCTGGCCGCTCTGACCAGATGTTCCAAGTCAAGACAATCACTACTCACGCGCGAATGCTTGAGGAAATTCATCTGTATCTACAAAATGTAGCATAGTTCTTGATTCTTCTTGAGCTGGACCTTCTGACTGGATATTCAACACGAATAGCGTAATGAGTAATCGGGCTCTTAGTACAGATCTGGAAAGGTAGTATCGATGCTCGAAAACTAGCTTGTCTGCATGTCACTCCGGAACCATCTCAAAACTCGAGTGCAACGTAACTTATTAGCCCTGTCGATGCTTTTGAGTTAAACTTGAGCCGTCTCGCCACTGCAAACCTACCGACACTAAGGTAAAGGTGGTCTGATATTTAATAAATCAATCAACGATAGCCGCGAAAATCCAATATCAACGACCATTTAGCTTGTTGAGATCTTAGATCTCAATAGAACCATACGTACATGGCGGGGTAGCTCCTTAGCTTCCGATTGATGGCCAGATCTAGTAATGAATAAGTCTACCTCGTCGTTGAAACCCGTCGATGAACAATATTCGACACTTGCCACTCGCACCTCTCTTCGGAGAACTCCTTGTGCTAAGGCATTATTGACAGTTTTGACGTGCTTGTGAGGTATAGTGATATTTTAAACGTACGACGAGTCTCATGTACGCATTCAACGCTCGGAATGAAGTTCTCGGGCTATGCTAGAGATCATCATGTGTTGAAAATAAGTTGATTAAGATATCTGGCTAGAGCTTATTACTATTAGATCTTCTTGGAGTGTATTGATTGTTCGATAATCTATTGGAAGATAGGAGCGATATGAAGTTTCTTGGTGTACCCCTCAAACTAGAGTTCACTAATTGATCGCGTGCAAGCTGCAACACGGTAGTACATTACCAAAACAACTCGGCCCTCGGACCCTTGGCTATACTTCCCCTATGGTTTTCATCACATGAATAGATAGGTAATTCAAGCTTCAGCGCCATTTTCATTTTCAAGAGTAGGTTGGTAGAAATTTATTTTTTTGATATCTAATTGTAAGAATCCAGACCTGGTCTTCGTCTCATGTCTGTCGGACCCAAAATGGTCTCTATGCATAAAACCTCTAACCCAATAAAACATGACACCATTTCAAAATGCTGAACGCCATTCGCTATGCTGTGGTATATCGTGATTCCCAATTTCACTCCGTATTCGGTACTTCGTTAAAGTCCGTTTCAAACCAAATCCTGTTCATTCAACCGACACTCCCAAAACTCCTTCTTTACCAATCAGGTAGAGGAGGAGCACCTCGTTGTGCCCTCCATGCATTGCTTCTGTCCACAAAATCCCGGCCGAGTAGCCAGCCCCATCGCTCCAATAAAGGTTGCGAAGCTTCCCATGATATCTCATCGTAAGGATCGTCTCCCCATATGATAATTTGCCCCGTGTCATCCGCCTCTCCAATGCAGCTTCCAAAGTCCCGAATAAAACTTAGCGCTACATCTCCAGCTAAAGTCATCAGTCGTTCTCGCAATGAAGGAGAAGCGATCATATCAATAGCGTAATAGTGGGCTTTTCCGAGCTGTGACTTGTTGGGCTTGAGGGTTGGAGGAAGCATGTCAGTCATGGAGCGAAGAAGGGCGAGATGACGGTCTGGAGAGGAGCCATCCACAATAGAAGGGTCGGAAAGCAGTGGACGGAAAAGTTCTCGAATTTCAATGCAACCTCTTTTGCGATCGTAAGGCACCGTAGCCATCAAGACACTTCAGACCGTTAATACCACCCATAAGCTGCGTCGTCCATAGGAGCTACTAACTTTTGTCTTGAGGAAGATGCCCTAGGTTGTTGGTCGGTAGCGTTGCCACTGCCGCTGGCTCGAGGGATGCTTAGAGAGGGGTGTTGAAAATTTGAAGGCCCCATTGCAGATCGAGCATTCCGTGTGTATCCTGATGTATCAGGTGAGCTTTGTGAGTTATGTGGACGGAGCCCGGATTGATGTACCATATATGGCTGAGAAGATAAAGCAGCCGAATCGGCATATGCATATGTGGATGGTGAAATCATCGTAGATGTCATTGGTATTGAGCCCATCGACATCATCTCTGAGCTTAAAGAAGCAGGGGGGCTACCGGCATTTGAAATAGATGCGCCAGAAATAGATGGGGATAAAGAGTATTGTCGATGATCGGAAGGTATTTGTCCTACTGGTTGAAGCAGGAGACTTTGTGTCGTTGAATTGTATAGTTGCGCCCGAAGAGTTTCGTTCTCTCTTCTGAGTTCGTCATTTTGATATCTCAAGCGCTCAATCTCTTCAGACTGCTCCGAGCTCTGTTCTTTTTGGGCTTGCTCGAGGTTCTTGAGGTGCTCCTTTCTTCTTCGGCCTGGTAAACTCATGATTAGTTTTTAGTTGCTTGTAATATAGACCTTAGAGTGCATACGGAATTCTCTTTGTGCAAGACGATTGTACTATAACTTCTTATTAGTCTCTGTATAGTAGTTGCCTATGGGAGAGCAATATACCTCGCGCTTGCGTTCTTCTTTATCCGCTGAAGAATCCATTGCTGTTGAATAAAAGTATTGCCTAGAGTCGTGGATGGTGGAGGTGAAAGTGGTGGCCATGGTTGTGTTGGGTGATGCCTAGATGATATATAACAAAAGCGGTTTGGATGGAGAAGGAAAGTGAGTTATATCAGTCGTTCCTTCTGGTCCGCAGTCAGTGAGATCATTTTATCCTTGAGCATTTACATCCTACAAAATATGCCTCCTAGGCGCATGGATCCATACCTCTCCAATTCAGGAATGGGTATCGTGCTAACATTCAGCCTTGAATCGCTAGGACTATCCCTGATCTTAACCAGAGGTGGGGGAGGCCACCGCTTTTAACAACAAACTCCACCCGTTATAGTCTTCAGGGATGGGCGTGTATATTCCCATGCGCTTGAGATTTGATTTGATTTGACTAGGATTAGTTTCGACATAAGCGAGAAAGTTAGAAACTCAATTCTTGATGATTCGTTGAAGGAATCAAGCGAATGCGAGCTCGAGCTATTGGCTCGAGCTTTACGGAGTATGTACTCTGTAGAATGCCAAATCCAATCTTTATACATGCTTACACAAAGTAATAAATCATGACTTCTTGGATGATGGAAGAAGCCGCGCACTTAATATTACTCTGCTCTTCTTGCTTGCTGACTTTGGCTTTTCAATGTTGACTTTAGCTTTGTTCTCAGAGGTTGTTTTTGTCAACTATCATTACTATCCCAGTATTGCAGTACAAACAGACCAACTTTTAGAGTATTCCTTGTGATCTATCGACTGTTGAATCATGAGAACTGCATTTATATGATTAGCTGCACTAATGGACACTTGGAACTTCAGTATGGGGTTAGAGTTGTTGTTAGCTACGTATCCTGCAAATCCAAACACTCCAAGCCGTGCTATTTTCGCACCGTGACGATGATCCTATGCTGTATAACTGATGTGTTAACCTCTGTAAGGCTAAAAGTATGATGATCCTTCGAGGTGATTTGTCTAGAGAACCTCAGCTCCACGAAAGCTTTGAAGGTTTTCCAAACCCCGACGGAGCCAATCAAAGCATTGTTTAATACACTAATCAGCAGCTTCAAGCTAAATTGAGCTAAATTAATCCAATCCAGAGCTTCACAAATGAGAAATTTCTTGGTTTGACAGCCTACTGATTATGGTAAAGAGCTAGGATTGGATTGGCATCATCACCTTGGGGTCAGATCAACAAATAGACATCGGGTTTTATGGAACAATGTCAGATTCTGGAGACGATGAACAGCATGTGCCATGTATATCCGGGCCTATGTTATTTTTCTACAAGGGCGTACATCCGGTGAATGTACTCGGGTGTCCCAGGTCCATTAATAAAGAATAACTGATTCAATTATTCTTACAGATTGTTAATTGTGACATTGACGTCGAATTAACGTTGTCGCCACACGAAATCGTAACCCAGCAAATAGGAATTTATATGTTGCATCGGGTATTTTTAGAGATATTTCGTTAGATTGTCCCTGGTTCCTGGAACTGGACCCAAACCTGAATTTGCCTCATCTACATGGTGTTCCCAGGAGTCGCTGCACCAATCCTATTCGTGCATGCAACAACCTTTGATTTCAATCTCTAATTGATAATAAAAAAATGAGGATGTATTTCGTTCTGAGTCAAGTCAGTAATGCAAGACATTTTGTCGCACAAAAGCAACCGAAAATATCTAAGACAGACTCAAGAGGCGCAATAACCATCAGCCTTGCTTTTGCTCTAGTAGGATAGTGTGATACCGAAGATATGGGGTAACGGTCTACAATTGATCGTGCCAAATCAGTAGCGTGTGAGATTGTGGTAGTACATACTGAAGAGGGTTATGTGGTTAGATCGTCACCACCGCCCATGATAGATTGCAAGTGCTGATATACCCAAGGTAAGCATGCAGATTACACGTCACATATGAGATATAAGATCCAACAACAGCGTTGCAATCTATAGAAGGTCGCACAATCATGATACAGTGCATAGTCGTAAAATGTTTGAAACGCACTCTGAGGTCAGAACCCAAAATAGGACATCAATCTATTTTGCTTTCTCTCTCTCTTTCTTCGGGCTGAAAACCCAACGGCTTGCCCCTCAAATGTTACTTTTCTTACTGGTGTTTAGTACTGTACTTGAGGACCGCTTAGTTGTGGCATTGACTGGCTTGTATTGCTTGGCAATCCTTCAACATCTTGATGGCCCATTCTACGATTTAGTGCAGAACTTAAATCAGTTTGAGAAAATCGGGATTGGCTGCCATAGAATAGACGAGCAGGTCCTTATTATTATAATTCAACAATGGTAAGAATCGGCCTCGAGTTGGCGTAACGCCCCGGGACGCTACCTATACTCGAGTAATAAGTACACGGCCCAGAATGTGGTAGTAAATCAAAGTTTGAATTTAGGAAGTTTGGCTGGCGCTAATCGCAAAGGAGTAAGTACGGTACGACAACTACTACTGGCTGCTCTCCACTTGCGATCCACTCGATCTTGAGCCTCTAATAAACCATGAGTGGCATCCTTTCTGGCCGCATGAGTACACGTCTAGATTTTCTAACAGTACCGGTACTGCTAGTTCTATGATTCCCTCTCAACACTCTGTCAATTTTTTCACTATCTAGAGATTCGCTACAGTTATCCGAATTGGGTAGTTTGAGCTGGGGGATAGACTGGGAGACAGGGTGATTGTTTGAGTATCTGGCAAATACCGGCCACTGCCATGGCCACCACACAGATTGACAATTCAGACTGCAGATTTTCGGGGTTCCGTCAGTTGCCACGCGAAGGTTAGCCGCCAAATATAGATCAGATCATTTTGGCTGTTACAATTTGAATCTAGCGAATCTTCGGTTCTGTTCCTCTGTTGACAACCATAGCTGATAGCCCCGGCAATGCAGGAAACATAGGTATGTATGATGCAACTAATAAACCTAAGAAGAGGATGCGGCCGTGCATCTCATTGGGTGATGATGCTAAATGAATCTATGTATATAGATCTCTATTATCATGAGGCGTGTGGCACAAGCACGGAGCAATCATGGCGGCATCCTTTTCCATGCATTCAACGGATAGACCGCAATGCTACCACACGCGGGAATGATAGAGAGGCGTAAGCCGAACCTTCATTTCCATCAATACAAAGGGAGGCGAAACATCCATACAGTACGGAATCTTGTCTGATCTTGTCTCATCTTGTAAGGCTGATTCGGTATTGAATATATAAGATGAACTTCTGAGGATCGAACCAGGCATTTACCGATGAAACATCCATATCACCTCTTCTAATAAGTCCTTTCCCTAATTGATCTTCGTTTGCGTACAATACTACATTTGGAGCTTGAGCCTAGGTACTGGCCGATCCCGAATGTCACCTTAGCATCAGGCTTATCCCGTGATACCCAGCCATCAATTTAAGCTTGTTTTTTCTATGTTGCTTTTGACATTTCCTCTCAGTCTTTTCAGTGAACCTTAATGTGAAAAGGATGCGGCGACAGCACGGTAATTACTTGAAAGTGTCTATATTGCAAATCATCAACCTTTCTTTGATGCTAAAAATCAAGCTATGTACTTTTGAAACTTTTTAACTTCATTAGGTATCTCAAAATTTTGTCGTTGAAGACTCCAGTGTTCCTACCGGGCTACGCTGCTAGGCGTTGAAGCCTCATAAATATACAAGTCGATCTAAACAGATTCTAAATGTATGCTGTGCATCAATTTTTAGGGGATAGTTATGCGTCCTGCGCCCATCTTCGCTCTCTCAAGGACATTTCCTTGCCAGAAGCCGCTCGACTACCATCATTCTCTCCCCTCCAGGCCCAGTATTCTCCCAGTCTGATTTCTGCGTATGCAGCATAGTCAAAATCGATTTGAGATATCGTGGCCTGGATCAATGCCCAAATTCCCCAATAGAACCCTGGAACTGCCCTGAATACATCTACTTCGGTAAACATTTTCTGGACCTCTGCTTCTTCGTCGCAAGTTTGCTTCAATTGAGCAAAGTAATTTCGAATATATTCCCGAATGAAATCGAGTCTTTCTGCGCGCGTGGGCATATATTGATGTTCGCAATCAAACCCTCCCCACTCCGCGAAATGATTGGCAATATCAAAAGCTGCTGGAGAAGGAGTGGCATATTCGTAATCGATGAAACTGACTGTTTCTACTGCAGCGGGGGTAGTAGTGCCAGTGGGTTGGGGTTGCACGATAACATTACCACTTAGAAGGTCGCAGTGGGCAAATACGAGCTGGAAAATGTCAGCACGGTTCTCGGCGGCAGGATGTTACAGCGGGAGTTGCATCGTTATGCTAGCACTACTTTGCATCCAGAGACAATTATGATCGCATCGGGTTTCACGAAGGTCACTCACACTATTTTCACCAAGGCCAGGTCGGTTGCTGAGCTCAGCAACCAGGCGAGTCAGTTCCTTTTGCAAAGTTGCCTGTCGAGTCTTTTCTACCTCTGATCCCACCGGAAGTGCATATATCCATTTTTGCATCACCGTCCAGACATTAGGGGCTGGTTTCCCAGGAGCGGTATTGTCAATGGCAGATTGGAGAGCAGGCTCCACCTTGCTTAATGCAGCTGGAAAAGCAAATTGTTCACTACCATTTATTTCTGTGGGTTGAACCTCCTGATTCGTCGCCAGACAAGGAACAACCGCATGCCACTCTGCCAATCGTCTAGCTACTCCGCGCCAAATTCTTTGCTGTCTGAGGTCTGCTGGACTAGTGACCGCTCCTCTAATGAATCGATACAGCATTCCATTCTTAAATCGGGCAAGTAATGCTGGTGCTAAATTGTATTGCGTTAGTAACTCGTGATTCTGAGTCTCACGTTCTCGGTCGATAATTAAATCGGTCCCTTGGCCATATGCCCGCAGCAGAACTGCCTCATTATCAATCTCTTCCGTAGTGAGCCCAGGTCTCTTGTTGATAACCTTCAATAATGTGTTTGTTATGCCATCCGTAAATCGTATGAACTCGATTTGCCCATCAGTTTGCTCCCATTCGGGGCGCAGGGTCAGGATTAGGCGTAGGGCTGATGTTTGAGACTCGGCGGAGTTATAAGAGAGAGGGATAAACCGGATCTTGCCAATCGAAGAAGCATTCGGCGTTGACATTGTGGCCATGGTGTTTGTTTTCGAAAGGAGCTGGCCACAAGCGAAAGGATTCAAATCGATGCGGACTCTTTATGCTGTTTCAAATCTATTAATAATCTGCAAAATGATAGGATTCAAAACGGACCTACTCGAATTGGATTTGTCTTAGATGATAGGACTATGAAGCCCTGGGGGGTGAATAACGTTTGTACGCGACTGACCTACAGAGAACAGCGTTGAACAAATGGACTCTGAATTTCGGCAGGTATCGTAGAATTGTATGCCGAACTCTCTATAATATATTAATATCACCAATACACGGTGGCTAAAGGAAGAGGAATAGGGGTGCTCCCAAAGAACACTTTTGCGCTGCTTGCGATTGTCTTGTGCGATTGTCTTGTGCGTGTAGTTTTGAGAAAATCAACGTATTGTTAATCAATTGAGGTTCAAGAATTCTCTTGCTGTTCCTTTGAAATATGTATTATATTACAAGTAGACAGTGTTCCAAGTGAAAGGGTCAAAATAAAATGGTGAATAAGGAGAAGATTAGTTCAAAATGAGGGGATTGTGAATTTCCTGTTATTTTCCAATTAGGGTCTCGTGCTCTCTAGGAAGACCCTGAAAAAAGATCCCGCTTATTATGTAGGCCCAGGAACATTCCGCATAATCGCAACAATCAGGAAGGTGTGTTTCCCGCACTAGACTTGAATCAGAATTAGTTAGGTAATCATTGATTATTTACATGTGATTGCGATCATGATTGTGAGATCGTTTGGTCATTGTAATTACAATAATGACCCCCTTGATACAAACTGCTCAATAAAATTTTTATCCGTTCTTTTCCATCAGAATTCGTCATATGTCATAAGCCATTAGAGATCATTTATAGGTAGGTATATATAACGAAATCTTGATTGCCGCAAATACAAACATGATCTAGAAAGCAAAGCTAGGTATCACCCCAGTGATGATTTCTCCTTGTGTTGCATACGACACTGGTAGTATACAATGAATTGAAATTAATGTTGAACTTGATGTAATTATGTGTGTGAGTATACCTATATGTATGTCTGTTCTGACATCTGTTTTGAATATACTAGGGTATCAATAGCATCTTTCTAAACTCTCTGTAAAACCCAAAGCCCCTTTGTGGCTCGCTTCACACTCTCTGTTCTTGTCATCTGCCTTCTCATCGGAACATTGGCACCCTCTTCAAAATCTTTCTCTTCACCCTGTTCCCTTTCTCTTTCCCTCCTTGCCTCGTCCTCATCCCTTAGTTCTTTCTCCCTTTCTCCTTCTCTTAAGCTTTCCAGTTCCCTGATTTTCCAAGCCCTCAGGCCCCACATACACAGTGCAGCTCCAATATACATACATCCTGCATAGACCTGTGCGTGTAGGTATATATCTCCAGATGAGGCTCTCAACTTTAGTCCAATTGGCTCAGAAAAAGTGCAAGGTATCACAAGCACTAACCAAATAATAGATAGAGCGGAAGGAAGGACTTTGAGACCTACTACTTCTGCACCCACCGGGGCAACAGTGGCCCAAAACGTGCCCGAGACAGTTCCGACAACAAGAGCAAAAAATATGAGAACTCCGTATGATTTGGCGAAAATCCAAATAACGAGACAGAAAAGCCCTGCTAGGAAGGTACAAGTGCCCGCCATATTAATTCGCCCAGTTGCATCCGAAAATGCCCCTACGAATGGCCGACCAAGACCTTGACCAAGATTTAAAATAGCACCAATCACAGAACCTTGCTTGGCTGAAAGGCCGATACTCCTCGCGTAATTAGGTAAGGAGAAGAGAAGAACAATGTATGCGAGCATACTGAAGAATCCCCATCCAAGCAAAAGGAAGAATTCAGGCTTCTTGAACAGTTGTATGTCGAAAGCTTTCTGGACCGATCCAACCGCATGGTTTCGATCCCTGACCAAAATTGTACAAACGGTGTTTACTGCAAAAGCCAAAATAGCCAATACTCGAAAAGCCCAGCCGAGCCCAATGGATTGAATCATTGCATTTGTCGCCAAGGAATATATCAAACCTCCCAGTCCACTTCCAGCTGCTGCAATACCGTTGGCTAAAGATCGACGTTTCGAGAACCATTGTGGAACTACTCCAACGCTACCTACGAAGAGGAAACCCATACCGAACCCAAAAGCGACACCTTGTGATAGGAATAGATGCCATATCTCGTATGCAAAAGAAGCCCCAAGAAGCCCAGCTGTTTCGAGTACAATACCGATGGCTAGAGTGACTTGTGTTCCGAATTTGCGCGTACAGCTCGTAGCTACCGGTGCGGTGAGGAGGGCTAAAGAAATCGATAAGCCGCCGACGAATGCATATTCAAGGGAAGTTGCGCCAGGAAAAGTATCACTCGCAAGGTAGTGAGCAAGGAAAACACCATAAGACTAATAGATTTATTAGCAACGAAAAACATGGAAAGCTTGCTCACTGACACTGTTGACTCCCCAAGTATGCCCGTTGATCAGAAATACACATGCGACACAAACCCAGCCGTATCCGCCATCAGGAGGAACATCCACTGAGTTCGAGTCCGCAATCCTCTCTGGGTCATCGGTGCGATGCCCTCGATCTTCCGCCAGAAGATTCTTATCTGATGGGCCCCTTGTATCTTTGTCCACATTCTCCACCGCATTCGCAATGTTTATTTCGTTGTTGTCATCTCGTCCTGACCGCTCATTGTTGATGACACTCATCTCCTATAGAAAGGTGTATCCTTGAAGATAGATATAGGAGGAAAGAAATTAATCGAAAAAAGTGTAGATAAGATATACACGAAGAAAGCAAAAAAGTACAGATTCAAGATGCAAATCCATGAAGACAGGTTCAAAAGGAAATGTTAAGAAATCTCTGGATTTGAAGAAGGCAATGGCCCTCCTACCTACTGGACCGGCGCATCAATATGATTGTGAAGGGCGCAAAAGTTTTAGTCACGAAATGCTTTTTCTTACCTGAGCTTTATCTCCCCGCGAAGCTAACAGAGCCCAGAGTGCGCAGTATTTCCTAGCATGTTCACTTGGGTATGGGTATAGAATCGGGAATAAGAAATTAAGAATCCTTCTTCAATAGTAATAATTAAAGCCGAGCACCCGTCCATGGCATTCGCCACCAATCAATTTGCTGGGCCATGTAGCTGTGGATACCTGCCAGAATGTACTGATCTCTTTATAAATGATGATGGTAAAGACTGTGTGTATATATTGGGTGAATTGGATGCATTGGGAATATTGAGGAGGGGGAAGAAGATGAAGAAGAGCAAGATGGAAAAGATGGAGAAGATGGAGAGGATGTCAGGTCAACGATATGATGTTTTGGGCAGAAGGAAGAGGGGACACTAGAAAAAGGATCAAGAAGAGAAAATGGAAAGTTGCTGGCGGAACAACCAGTATGAAGGTATCACGTGGGTATATGGAATAAGTTGTATTATTATACCGCCTTCGGCAGCCAACCTCGAGCCAGGATCAGTTTGACCGGGCAGATTGATTACATTGGCGGTAAAAGAAAAGCGGTGTAACATCACTCACCTATGCGGTCTCGCGGTGTATCTTGTCCCGCTTATATAATCTATCACTTTCATAGCCATTCGCTCTCCCTGGTATTACTAAGCAGCCCCCCCTCCCCTCCCCCTGTTGTATTCGCTGTGCCGAATGCGTTTTCCAAAAAAGTCTCCATTTATTGGATCCATAGCATCCATAGCATCCATAAAGAAGAAATCGAAGAAATCGAAGAAATCGAGGAAATCGATCGAAAGTTCCAAAGCTCAAGATGAAGAGGAAGAGGAAGAGGATGAGGATGAAAAGAAGGATTCGAGCACATAAAGTGTATCTTATAAGGTTAGAATTTGGGAAATCATGTTCTCCATAATTTAGATCTGATCTAATGCCTAGGTACATTTTGGAGGCTCAAATCCAAGAAAAGGTTGTTGCTGAGACGACTGTTTTAGCCTTCAGCCAATTATTGACTTCCGGCGTGATAGCAATAGAACCAACCTCCACAGACAGGTAGGTTGTACTATGTGATTTGTATAAGAAAACATGGAATGTTTGAAGAATCCAAAGTGATACACTTGATTTTCTTCCTGTTACTATCAACTTTATAATCATCAAAGACCTACAAAAAAAAGTATATGTTATTATTGTTATCGCTTGTCTCTCTTTGCTGTCTCTTTTGTTGATAAACATTGTATTCCTTTTTACTTTCCACTCAATCATTTCATCATCATCATCATCATCATCATCCCCTTCCTCCTTTTTGCGACCACACTATCTACGATATCCCAAGCAATACGCACGAATCACGAATCACGCCTCGAATTATATCTCAAACATTATCACAGATACTTGGAACTTGCACATTGGATAGAAACTCTGACGCAACACACCGCCAACAAATCCTCGCTACACTGCCATCGATACTTAAAGCTTCTTTGCTAAACTATAATTTTTTGAGCCAATTTTCTTCAACTTCTGATTTTTGCAATGTTACTGAGAGGGAAAGCCAAAGAGCCAACCGACCATAATGTCACTCCTCCTGGGCCATCATATATGTCAAACGATCAATTTGGTAAGCTCGATCTTTCTTCTCTTTTGTTTGCAGCTACCGGCAAAGCTCAAGTCCCTGAGAAATGGCCTTGCTTCTTACTGACAGTTGATAGCGGATTACTTGGCAGATTTAAGAAACAATCGTGTTGCTCGCCCGAGTGGCGCAAGGCCTCCCCCTCCGAGTAGACGGCGACAATCCAACTCAATATCGTCGGTATCATCAGTTATCACCCCGCAGACAAATGCCCCACCAGAGACCCCAGCTTCTGTCGATCCTCAACCGCGGCCCGGAAGTTCATTCTCTCGCAGACCAACTCGAAATTCCGTTGGATCGTATTCTTCGGTCAATTCTAGAGCAGGGCGATCACTGGTTCAACCACCACCTCAAGAGCTTCCTCTCAAACCCTCCGAAGTTGTGCCCAGTGCTATATATATCGAACGAGGTTTAAGATGGATGGAAAAGGAGGAGGCAGCGTCTCTGCGAGAGGCTATGGAGGATATGGATATAAAGGGAGAGCACGACGACGAAGTGCGGATCCATAAAGCTGCGCAAGAGGAAGCATCAGAGTTGGTCTACACGCACCAGTTTGGGGATAAGTTCAAAAATCCTGATGCGCCGTATCGATACAAAGACCATTTAAGAAAGAACAGTTATGCGCGTGCAAGGACTCAGAGTGTTGGAAGAATTAATAGCCCTGCTGTGCCTACGGAGCTTGCTAGAGATGTAATTCCAAGAAAAGACTCAATTGTGAGCGATGAAGAAGGATCAAAAAACCCCGTAACTTCAAGGCCTTCCTCCCCATTGAAGAACAGTGTTACTCCAGCACCAACGTTAAGTGGATCTCTAGATACCGGTCGAGATGCAATGGCTCAACAAGCTACGAAGACTTACGGTAGTATTAGCCGACTACAAAATGGAAGAAGGATGAGCGGTGGTGGCAAGAGGAACATTAGCGGCGAAATCAAAGGCAGCTTTACTGGTGAACAGATTTGGGAAGAACCCCAGCAAGAAAGCACTAACGATTCCGATCGTGGTCGACCCATGGATGGCCGCCCAGCCTCTGCTTTACAAATCAAACCTCGAAATCCCCTCAATCGTGTTCAGTTTTCGGGGGATGTTCCACGATCCAATAGCACCCCGCCTGAAATCACCAAGAAGCTATCCACAACCGAGATATATAAAAATCCACCAACACAATCAAGGAATCCTGCATATACTGCAAACATGCCACCGGCAAATGAACCAGATGCTGAGAAGGAAGAGATTCCCAAAAAGAATGGTGTTGAGATCAGAGGTGATGATATACGTCAAGCGACGAGCATGCGTCTTAGTGATCGCAGCCCCAAACTCCCCACGCCCACTGCAGTCAGTGATAAACCTGGCCGTCCAATTGTAAGCTTTGACAAAAACTGGAAGCCGCAAGAGGCTGATGACAAGCCAGAAGTGCGAAGAAGATCGCCGTTCGATCGCCGGCCAAATAGCCAAAAGCAAAGCCTACCTGCTCGACCAGGTCCGACGCCTATCGCATCAAACAAGGATTTTAGTGCACCGACCCAAGTGAGCGTCCCAGTTCCTAGTATAAGTGTCTCAGAATCAACACCGTCAGTCCCTACCTTAAATTTTCCTGATTCTCCTCAAATTTCCATTTCGGCTCCTAGTGTTCCAACGATCATTGAACCGGGATCAAGCCCAACCAAGTCAGCACCGGCTGTACCAACGATAAATATTCCAACTATCAACGAGCCAGTATCTCAGTCCGTGCCTCAGATCCCTACAATTTCGGAGCCTGGTTCGTCACAATCCAAAGCAAGACCGCTTCCAGATCCCAAAACTGCCTCAAAACGTCCCAATCCACGGCAAACCCCCGCGCCGATTCCCCGAGGGCACTGGTCCCCCGCTGCAGGTAGTCGAGCCACAGCAACTTGCCATCAGTGCCAATTACCAATTGAAGGAAAAGTGGTAGCTCTTCGTGGTGTACCCGAACGCTTCCACCCGGAATGCTTTATCTGTTTCACATGTGGCACCGCTCTTCAAGACCTCGAAATTAGCCCCGAGCCCGCCGTTTCTCGTGCAGCACGTCTCGATCGTATAAAGCGTCGTGCACATGGGGAGACAATCCCTGATACCGAAGGTGAAACAGAAGCCGAAGATGGAGATGCTAGGCTACGATTCTATTGTCATCTCGACTGGCACGAACTCTATGCTCCTCGCTGTAAACATTGTAAAACCCCCATCATCGGTGAACATGCCGTCGCACTCGGGGAACACTGGCACTATGGTCATTTCTTCTGCGCCGAGTGCGGAGATCCTTTCGAACAAGGAATGACGCATATAGAAAAAGACGGATATGCCTGGTGTCTCTCATGCCAAACCAAACGCACGGAACGCAAAGCCCCAAAGTGTAAGAGATGTAAGAAAGCCGTTCTAGGTCAATACGTACAAGCACTAGGTGGCGAATGGCATGACGAATGCTTCCGATGTGGCCATTGCGCGGGTGGATTCGATGATGGGCAGATTTTCCCTTGTCAGAGAGGAAATAAGGGTGAAGGTGGTGAGGTAATTGTACTTTGCACGGGGTGCATGGAGAAAGAATTAAAGCAATGAAAGGTCGAATGACTGATGTGTATATAGCTGGATCTGTATTTCTTGTCTGTCGTTTTTCACTGCAGGGCTTGGGTGGATTGGGCTGGGCGGTCGTGTTTATTTCATTAGTGATGGATGTCTTTTGCAAGCATGAGCGATCGCGTTGGGTACACAACAAGCAAGCAAGCATTTTCTTTTGTGCATACATGCATTCCTTTTGGGGTTATAGCAGTAATGAGAAATGGGAAGGATAATTTGACAGTGTGCAATTCTCGATGCGTGATGTGATTATGTGTAATTATTCCATTTGACTCTTATACCTTCATCATTTCTGAGCATCATGCCTAGTCATGCGCCTAGCGATCAAGCAAAGAAGTGAAGTGGCACGATGATACTTTTTGTTAAAGCTATAGTTATTTTTCAGCAGGCCCAGAAAATTCCGACCAGCGCTTGTGATTTCACTCATTGCTTGTTACATATCGTATTGTGAAAGGACAGGTCGAAAGCAGAGCAAGACAAGAAGGGGTTGACTCTCACCATCTGCATGATAAGACTACGATTAATATTCCGCCGAGTATTTATGATTGGGGAGCTGATATTGAAGCTCATGTTATGTAGATAGATAGATCTATATGTAGATAGGTATATGGTGTATATAAAACATGAATTACAGGACTGATACTCTTGCTATCCATTCGGATACTGACGATGCTAAAAATGTATATAGAAATATGTATTTAAAAAGGTGGTTTAATTCTTAGCAGTAGTGGTAGCATTTGGGAAAGTGGAGAGTGAAGTGAAGTTTGCTGGATTTTCTTGGGTTTGTTGTACTAGGTAGGTAGGTAGGTAGGTAGGTATCTGGAGCATGGATATCGGGATTGTCGATATTTGGGGGGGGGGGGGGGTAGATCAAGTAGGTATATCTTGAGCGTAGAGATTGATGGGGAAGAGTATTGTATGGAATAGTAGTTGGGATATGGATTTTGGAGTTGTGGGGTGGGATGGCATGGCATGGAATAATGGGATAGATAAATAGAATTAATAAATTGAGTGGAAACTTGAAGATACTTATTAGGTTTTATTCTATACCTAGGTAGGTAGGTAGATAGCTGGATATCTACAGAACATTGAGAGAAAAAAATCCAATGATACTTTAGGGTACTAATATCCTTGCGCGCGTATGTATTGATTTAGGAGGAGTACTAGTTGTGGGAGAGAGGGAATGATATCGTTGAGGAGGTAGATATGAAAGGAATGAGGTAAGTAAACGAGATCCGCGAACGGGATTTGGACTTCGCGGTATCTTTGTGATGTGATGTGATGTGATGTGATGGATGGATGAAAAAGATTAGATAATTATTAGGGAACTATATGAACCTAAATATCCATTGACTAGAAACAAGAGACCCCGAAATATGAGATATGAATATGAATTCAGATATCCAAGTCATAATCTCACATCGTAAAATAAGTATACACGTACCTATTTCCTCCATCCTATCACACGAGATGGAAATAATACTATATTCAGTTGGTAGGAGATAATTCGAGTAATCTGCCTAGATACCTAGTAAAATCTACGGTAATGACGACGACGATGATGATGAAGAGTAGGTACTGTTGTGCTGTTAGAGTATGGTTGTTTGTTTATAGATGTAGTGGGGTTAGATGCTATTATAATGTGAATATGAATATGAATATGAATATTAAACCCTAGATAGGTAGGTATCTAGGTTGATTTTCATCATCGATATAACTGAACAATTCCCAGATATTGAGATTGCAGAAAACACATTAAAGTATTTCAAACCTTTCAATTGACATGATATATCCGAAACCACCGATCTCTATTCCATGGGCACCGGCATCGCTAAAAAGAAAAGGAGAAAAAAAACTCCTCTACCAGTAAACTACACATCTCGTCCACTTTGCTTCCTGCAATTTTAAAGAGAGAAATGACAATGCTATGAAAACACAAAACCAGTACTCGAGAATGTTAGTATTATCTTATCTTGGGATCCTTTCCCCGTGTATGACGGGTAGAGAAAGAGAGAGTATTAAGGGTGCAATCTCATAGAAGAAAGTCCTTTCGCTTAATACACAAACTTGAGGGATCCCGAGTCAACTATTTGTACTGCCTGTGGTGGATCTTGTAGGGTTGTCATGGGTCGATCAGACCGTGTATATTTAGGGGCTGAGAAGAATGGCCGCTGTGCGTGTTTTCTCCCCCATGTTTCGGTAGACTCTCCTGATACTTTCGATAAAAGAAGATCTTTGAATATCCTAGATCGATCTCAAGTCACAAAAGCCCCTATTCAAGTGATACACTACGGAATATTGTCTCAGAGCTATCTAGTTACTGGGGCAAATCGCGTGGAGCGAGGATCAACTTACTTCCCAGTTTCAACCTCCGCCGACACTTGGTATTTTCCAAAGACGGGACCATTGTTCATCGTAGGATATGCATGTAAGAAATAAAGGAATCAAAGGTGAGCCTTGGCAAATACAGGACATTGAAAATAACCGTATGATAATCGATCTATGGAGGAGACTCTCAACCACGATATGTAGCAACTTCCTCTTCATATCTCCTCAAGTCCCGTGCCTCCATCTCCTCATACACTCTACGTTCCCCCATACTCGACGCCTTCCATTTCTCACCCAACATGATGCCAAGTTGTCCAAATGAGAGCTGTGGATCCTCCTGGCGAACTCTATCACGATGATCGTTGGCGAAGAACATGTAAGCGGACATTCCTCGTCGAGGCGCATTGGGATCTTTCCTCTTATTTTGAAGATCGATGCGTTGGAATTGTTTTGCTAGGTTCGAAGGGGATGGTTGATTTGTGCTCGGCGGTATGGCCTCTTCCATTCGTCGTTCGTTCCATGCGTTTCGTAGTTCCAATAGGCGGGCTCGTGATTGGGGATCATACGGGCTGGCGGGTGCTGAAGAGGTGAATGAGATTGATGGGCTCTTGTGAGTGGGAATTTCTTGATTTGGAGGGCTTGAAATCAGAGTTGGAGCGATACGCTTTTTGATTTTAGGAGGTGCGACTGAGGATGGTGAAAGATTGACGGGGATTGACTGTTCTTCAGTACTCCCGTGACTGGTACTATCAGAGGTAGAAGTCTGTTCTATTTTGGCCGAAGCTTGAGAGTTTGTAAGAGTGTGATCTGTTAGATCAGCACTCTTGCTAGTGTCGGTAGAGCGACTTGAGTCTGCATCCATTGTGATGCTACGTTATCAAGTGTATATGCGTGTGTCTCCTGATTGAGTGGTCAACTTGAGATGTTAAGCGATTCGATATTTGATATGCCCAAATCTCTGGAGTGGACAATTTAAAGTATACCTATCATATATCTACTCACCTATCTAGGTATTTATACTTCATCTCAAAACTCTTGAGGAGTCTCTTCTCTCATTACCTGCATTTGGGTTGTAGCCTAATTTTTGTGTTGATCTGTGCGCGTTGTCAACCTGAAATCCAACCTCGTGACTACAAGGGTAACCTTAGACTACTAATGTGTATACAAATTGCCCGCATCTAACGTTCATGAATAAGTCGAGAAAAGATCATGTCAAAACAGGAAGGAGACTCTTCAAATATCTACCCTAGCTGACGGATGGTTTGCGCAAGATGATCTCCACTTGGAGTCTGGAGGTAGAGGTAGATCTTATCAAGAGAACACATGGTGATATTCCGTATTGACTAAAGACCATTGCAAAGTTACCTTTGTGAACCTGCGATCTCATACCGTACCATCTGGTGGAATTTCAATGTGCAAAACACGTTCAAACCCATCTCCAGATTCAAGACCACCTCGACATCCAAGACTATCTCAAGACTCAACCTCATCTTAATATCCAAGCTCATTCCAAACACACCAACCCATCAACCCAAACCTCAAAAACAACATCGCAATAACCGACACGTAACAACCAAACTCATCTTGATCCCCCAGCCTACCTTTACTATTAGAAACCCCGTTGCCCCAATTCAAACAATCAACCGATACCCCGAGATCCCAATATCACATAACACCTATCCCGTACCGACAGACACGCAAATTACGAAGCAAAACTCTTCCCAATCCCAAAACCCTGATAGAAAAAAAAATGACATGAAATAGAGTGAAAACATACCGTACGATACAAACCAAGCAACCGAGACCTTATCACACAAACCCGTACAACACAATTTAAACATCTCGTACATACCAAAAAAAAAAAAAGAAAAAAAAGCTTTGTAGATTAAATCGTTGTACATACATACATACATACATACATACATACATACATACATACATACATACATAAACAAGATCTTAGTCTCCGAGTACAATACGATAAGTTGTGTTGCAGTAGACAATCCGCACTCGGTAAAGAATGCTAATAAGGGTGGGTGCAATGCGGTGCAGTGCAGTGCAGTGTAGTGTAGTGACACATTAAATTCTTCCAGGATGCTTGCTACTCGGTCACCTCGAGGCTGGCCCAGGCTTTGGGTACCTACCTATCCGGCCCTGTGCACTTTTTCGATGTTTGGATGAATGAAGAAAGATACTGTACGATAGATGCGATGCATATGTATATAACACATAATATTTACATATATACATAAATACATATCATAACATCTCCTATTCTGCGATTCGCAAATCGGTATGTATGAGTGATTCGGAATGTGGGAAGAGTCTTAAATGGAGATGTTACTGCTTGCTATCTATGTTTTAATACGATGCTCCTGTAGATATTATGTATTATGTTCTCTTGATATACCTACCTATTGGAGATTATCGTACACGGTAGAAAGAAGCTATGCGTTTTCACACGCTGATACATATTCTAGCTATCGGGAGGTAGGTAGAAACGGCGAATCGGTGATTCTAGATGCAGAACGCTCTTCACGTCACGTCACGTCACGTCGCGTCGCGTCGCGTCATGATTTCACATTTCATATTTCTTTCACATTTATTTCATCGATGATCGATAGGTACAGAGTAGGTAGCATTCATCGACCTGGGGGCCCCATCACTGCCAATCCAGTCAGGAAGCGGTAATGATCGCAAGCTAGGTATCTAAATTAGATACTTCTTGTCTCCGTAATAGACTGATATAGAGTTTGGGAGATTCTTTGGTTCGTTGAGATGAGATGACGTCGGTTTTGATTGTGATGATGATGGATGATGATGATGATGATGATGATGATGATGATGATGATGTGAGTATGTGTATATTTTTTGTATTGTAGTAGAGACGAAATGAGGATGCGCATATTCATTTATTCATGACCATGAACATGATCATGGTCTGTTGGTGTGGTTTCCATTGAATATCAATGTTCCTCATCATTTGTGATTTGTGGCCCCCAACTATCTAGTACTAGGGAGATAGTGAAAGGTCAATTGGAATCGTGGGGGAAGGTGTATCATGTCACATACGTCCTCCGTACAGACAGACGGCCATGACATGGGGAGATTTTCTCGTGCAGATAGCTAAGATAATACCTAACATACCTAGGTCGCTAGAATTAAACCTTTCGATAAGGAAAAGTGTGGGTGCGTTCCCCCCTTGGCGCAAGCTTAAGCCGGATTTAAAATTGCATCGTTCACTTAATTCATTTATTACGGCGATCATACAAGAGACCATGCCCTTTTTGGGGGTGGGCTGTTGCGTGAATTGTGATAATGTCAATGTCAATGTCAATGTCAATATCAATATCAATAGCAATAGCAATAGCAATATCAATATCAATATCAATATCGCTACCTACCTAGGCTGCTAGGTATCAATAGGTATCAATAGGTATCGTGAGTATGTATCGTATTGTTTGTATCCGAGGCACGGATATCTCGTCTTCATCGAACCTCGGGAAGGGATGAAATCAATAAAGCAAAAGCGATGAAAGTTTTGTTCTTGTAGTCTTTGCTGACTACCTAGTAGATGTGATGAATTCTTGGTGATTGTGATTGTGATTGTTTATTTCCTATTGCTCTCTACCTACCGTCTACCATCTACCATCTACCATCTATCATCTACCATCTCTTTCCAAGGTTTCTTTGCTTCCTCCCCCATTACCTCCAGCTACCATCACATACAAACAAACAAAGGAATCCATGAATGTGATTGTGGCGTGATTACCTAAGAACAGAGTGACACAATCGAGGCTGGTGTTTGATATGTCTGAAAAGCATTGCGCCTCCTTCTTGCTGCAGTACAACTTTACCTGTGACTCATACTACCGTACTACCTACGATAACCCCGAAAGATATCCAATTTATCCGCGCCAATGCATATGAATTATGCATGCACGTATTAAGGGATAAATAAATTAATCATTCATCTCAGCCTTCCAAGGTTCTCAACCTTGGAATTGATCGTGATGCACATTCTTATGCAAGTAATTAATTAATTAATATATAAAGGTAAAATACTATACACTAGTTATATAATTTGTATACTTTATATATGATATATCACATTCTTCTCATGTCATGAAGAGGCTCAGTGAATCAATATCAATATTGATGTTCTACTTTGATCGGAGCTATGTACGTACTATTAATGGTCGATTTCACGATCAAAAGAAAAGGAAGCAAAGGCCAGATCATCATTTATCATTGGGCACAGAGAGCGGATACCAGTACCTAGTAGGTAATGGAACGATGGGATGGCGATTACTCGTAATAAGTTTCGTAAGTTCGTAACATACCGGTAACAAAGGGTCAAACCGTCAAACCGTCAAGACTACCACTCAAGAGCAGGAGGAGCCTTTAGCAAGAGCAAGAGCCTTTATACACTTACAAGCATCCATAGCAAAGCAAAGCAAGCGCCAAGATTCTTTTCACTATTTGTATTTAAAATTCACTAGCCCTGGCGCTACCAAAAGGGCGGAATGGCGGAATAATGAAAATCTGATTCTTGGATCGTTGATTGGTCATTGATAGTCATTGATAGTAACCGATTGTTCGCCTCTTTGCCATGGTTTTATGAAATCGGCTTCCGTAATGACTTTTGCTATTTGTTGTTCATCTTTTTTCTCTCGCTCTCGCTCTTGCTCTTGCTCTTGCTCTTGCTCTTGCTCTTGCTCTTGCTCTTGCTCTTGCTCTTCCTCTTCCTTCACTTTCTCTATCCTCCTCCACCTCCACCTCCACCTTCATAGTCGATGGTCACGATAACTGTGCCACTAGGTAAGTCCTCTCAACAAATGGACTCTAATGATTACCGCATATATATATATATATATAATATACACTATATATTATATGCAACGACGACGAAGATGGGGGGTTAAAGAAAAAGGAGACCTCTCAAGTGTCAGAAGCTGTTGGAAGGACGCGTTGCAACTTGCCAACGTGACGATTGATTTGACTCCTTTTTTTTTTTCTTTCTTTCTTTCTTCTTACCTATTTCTATTTACCTGAGTGAAAAGATTTGGGTGGTGTTGGTTTCAAGAGATTCAAGTAGGGTAGATCGCTGTAAGCCAAGTTTTAATTGGTCGATAACGTCGCACTTTCCTCGCGCCGAGCGTGAAATAAAGGATTTAATTATGGGTTCCTTCGTAGAACGGTAGATCACAAAGACCAGTGTGGCACTTCTCATCTCTTATAAATAGAATCGTTGCTGCCACATTCAAATGGATTTTTTGAATTTCTCTCCGGTCCCGCTTTATTTCGGTTGTTCGTAATCTTATTCAATTTTACGATTTCAACCACAACCACATCCACAACCACATCCCACCCTTTCCATCCATCCATTCAAGTTACCTCAACCTTAGAATATACTCGAATATTCTAGTAAACCTTACTTTCTCCTCCTCCTCCAATCCCACGAAAATACACTGCGCTTGATTGTGCAAAGTATCATACATTCCTTTAATAATAAAATCCGTCCTTGCCGTCCTCGATTTACTGTCGTGATTCACCTTGCGACATATCACATCTCACCTTGATCCTTGGACCTTGTCGCATTGTCGCAACAACAACAAGAACTCCTTCAAACCAGAGCTTGCGATTCACATAACTGATTATACATATCAGTCAGTGATTGCTAGGACTTCGACTCTCGATCATCATTTAGATCTTCCAGTCAATTAAAAAGTCATCTTCGTCGAGCAGCAACTGTAGGGGAGACATTGACTTGTTTATCTCCCACAAACGGTACGGCTTTTATTTACGTCGGCGATTATAATCAAAAATTTATAGCCATATCTCTCTATCCCCAATCTTTTCTACTTTCCTCCCTCATCGGCGGCGACTTTCGAGTTACGCTTTCAAATCAAGATACGCTATCTCGAACGTCTGCTGTACCCCATCTACTCTTGGACCTTCACGATCCTTGAAAAAAAAAAAAAAAGATATTCACTCTTATCGCTTGCCGATTGCGATCTAACATTTTACATACAAATAGATCTGCTCACCTTCCACAACCACTTCTTTGAATAAAACAAACATCGAAGTCAACATGGATTCCATTCAGACACATCCTTCTAGTGCCGTTGACGCTAAAAACTTCATCGCACCTGGCTCGCTGTCCTTCCCTGGCGGCGCTGCTGATATCACCCCACCATCTACTAACGAGGCTGTCGCTGGAAAGCAGCAGGTCACTCCTGCGGCTCCCGTCGCGGCCTCTCCACCTGCGACTCCTGCTGCCACCCCCGCTGCCACCCAAGGTGTCAGTGGAATTGTTCCCACGCTACAGTATGTATATAACCCCTTGTGCCTCATTATATTTTTCATGAGGCTTATCTTGCATGTAAAGAAACATCGTTGCCACAGTCAACTTGGACTGCCGTCTTGACTTGAAGACCATCGCACTACATGCAAGAAACGCGGAATATAATCCAAAGGTGACTACTGATTCTAGGCTTGCTATCTAATATTTCGTTTTGCTAACCTGCCCAGCGTTTCGCTGCGGTTATTATGCGTATTCGCGATCCCAAGACTACTGCTTTGATCTTTGCCTCGGGAAAGATGGTTGTTACTGGTGCAAAGTCAGAAGACGATTCGAAATTAGCGTCCCGCAAATACGCTCGTATCATCCAAAAGCTTGGTTTCAACGCAAAGTTCACCGATTTCAAGATCCAGAACATCGTTGGTTCCTGCGATATCAAGTTCCCCATTCGCTTGGAAGGACTTGCTTCGCGCCACATGAATTTCAGCTCTTACGAGCCTGAATTATTTCCTGGTCTCATCTACAGAATGATGAAGCCTAAGATCGTTCTTTTGATTTTCGTCAGTGGCAAGATTGTCTTGACGGGAGCAAAAGTTCGTGAGGAAATTTACCAAGCTTTCGAGATGATCTATCCCGTGCTTCAAGGTAAATATTTACTAATCTCTCTACGTATAACATCTGCTAACATCGCCCAAAGATTTTAAGAAGGTCTGATTCAGTTCAGATGTACCACCACTTTTTTACATTGTACAACATTATTTCACGATCTTACGAACATTAACACATGCATGGTAGGCGTATCAAAGGGGGGAAAAGAGTCAAAGAAGGGACTCATACATTTGTGCTTTTCAGCATGTTTACGCGTTACTAGTCCTGATAGACTGCGAAACATCATCTTTGACGGATGGCATTGGTGCGCAGGTCCTGCGATGCCGTCATTAATTGCTACTTCTATTCTGATAAAGCAAGTATTCAAAATTGCCTTGGTTGGTACATTTTAAAACAAGTAATAAAGAAAACATTAGTTTTTATATACACATTGTGTGCAATGGCTATGTGATAATTGTGATATAATCAAAATACAACCCGACCGAACAGAGTTCCAGATTTTCCGAATGTAACAGCAACAATTTCCTTTATAAGAGAAGGGAGGTTTGGTAGAATGTACTACACTGCATGCATGTAGACAACCATGTTCGAGTCAGTTTTTATGACTTCTGTATATGTGCAGTCTCCATCCGGTCCTCTGTATAATCCTCTATTTAACTCTTCGCCATCTAACCACTCTCAATCTAACTATACTCTACGTCAAAAGTAAACCATGCTGTGTATCGTTTAAATCTAATTCCGCGATTATTCATCCAAGCACAATAGACAAGAAAGACCACACCCAAATCCCTCCTACTTACAAAGTTTCTCCCCCCTTGGACCCGCCCGGCTCCCATCGTCCGTCATGCCATCCCACCCCTCCGTAATCTTCCAACCCCACTTCTTTTCCCACACCTCATCCTTTCCCTCCATTACATCCACAATCTTCTCTCCAAGCACTGGGAGAAACTTGAATCCGTGTCCGCTACCACCGGTTGCTAAAAACACACCTTTAAGCCCAAGACCGCCGCTACTTTGTGGTTTATCGCAGTAGGTGATGAGGAATTCGCCGGTGGGTGTATCAGTGTACCAGCACACTCTTGTGTGTGAGAAGGGACGGGGTGGAAGATCGGGGAGGAATCTGTGGAGGGCTATTGCGGCTTCCTTTTGGAAAGAGACAGGGACGCAATTGTCGGGGTGGTCGTAAGTTGTTTGAGGTAGAGAGACGCTAATCATCTCGCCTGAGGAGGAGGGGTGGGGATGGGGAATCATAGTTGGGTTTGAGTATCCGTGGGCGTGGCGTGCGATTTTTAAAATGTTGTTCCGTGGTGGAAGAATAAAGTAACCAGTAGCCATGTTTAGGAGCACAGGGATGTCTTTGTATCTTTCCTGTTCTTCATCTGTGATATCAATGTATAGCAAACACTGTCCGCTAGAATGCACCTGAGAGCGCAGATCGAGGAATTTGGCACTCCAGGCCCCAGCTGCGAGAATCGTGAGGTCGGCAAAGTATTGGGTACCAGATGCAGTGTTGGCTCCAAGAATCGTGCTTTGATCGGGAGAGAAGATGAGCGATGTGACTTCCGAGACGATAAATTTTACACGTTCGTCGGCAAGCTTTTCAACCTCTTTTCGTAGCCAGACTAAGGAAGCTCCCGCATCAGCCCATCCTGATCGTCGGTTGATGTATCCCCATTCTCCACTCCCTGGCCCTACATTGAAGAGTTTCTGTATAGCCTCTGCTGATGGCAATTCTAAGACTCCGTCTGTGTCTCCAGCTTGTTTTATCAACCGTTGAACATTTGAAAAGCTTGATCGTACATATCCTTGCCCGGTGTTCTCATATGAGGTGTCGCAGGTTAAACATAAACCACTTTCAGAGTATCGACCCTGGCCGCCAAGTTCATCATCGCCTGTCTGCCGCCATTGTTTCTGGGCGGAGTCCGCAAGTTCGGCATAGAGGGGATCACCGTAGTCTGCACGGATAATGCGCGAGGAATCAACGGAGGAGGCATCTGGAGCAGGAAAGGGAGAGCGATCGAGCAGAGTTATGGTTGTGTTTTTGTATTCGGGTCTCTTCAGAAGGGCGAGGGCGGTGCTTAGAGAAAACACACCTGTGCCGATTATGAGAATCGACGAAGGGGGTGTATAGGCTGTCATGATGGAAGAGTAGTGAAGCAAAGTAGGATTCGCACAATGTAAAAGGGTGGAATGTGTGTGATGACGAACGGATGATAAGGAAAAAGCCACTTAAATTCTGGGGAACATATCCAAACTATGAAAATCTGGATAAATAGATCGATGAGAAGGAAATCCAAAGAGAAAAATCTATAACTTCTCCCAGAGACAAATACTTATAGTGGGGGTAGAGGATCCCCAGAACCTTGAAGAAATTTGGCAACTGCACCAAATCATAAGATACATGACAAAAGAAGCTAGAAAATAACGCGGCCCACCAGCACGGTGTTTCCATGTTGAGTATGTGACTGTGAATCCATACTTCGGATTTGGTGAGATGATTCACGTCCAAAGAGAGAAACGATATTGACTATGGAGATTAGTATGATTCCTTTCTGCGCGGAATTTTGATGTTTAGTTGCTGATTATAATTGAGATGAGAAGTGATGTTAGCAGCGCAGACCAATAATCTTCGGCAATTAAGACAAGCTTACTAAGGTATGGAAGCGTCAGTGGAAGGCGCATGTCAAGCTTTAACCAATTAAACAAACTCGCAGCCTTGTCGCAATAAGTGTCGCGCCTTTTCCATTACCATCGCTTTTCGTGCACATATTTCTCATTCTCTAGGGGATGCCAATTATAGTCGCATATGGAATTGGAAAGTAGTACTGCAAAATGAGTTCCAAAAAGATCATCGAGTTTCCAGATGTTTCGAATAAGCTTCAAGCTCCTTCCAAGAAATCGTTATTCGAGAGGCAGAAAGCAGATGCAGAAGCTAAAAGGTTGAGGGAGGAGGCAGAAACGAAGGCTGTCTATGAGGATTTTGTGAAGAGTTTCGATGATGAAGATGATGCGCCTGCAGCTGGGGCTGATGGCATTGGAGGAATGGGCGGCATGGGAGGAAATCGACATTTTGGAAGAGGAGGATTCAGTAGTGGAATGGGAAGAGGGGGTTTTGGGGATAGTAGAGGAGGATTTGCGCCACGAGGAGGACTCGGGATGGGTAGTGGGCCGGGGAGCTTAGGACCTTTACCAGGGAGTATGAGCAATAATACTTTACCAAAGAAAAGAACATTCGAAGGCTTCGCACAAAGCTCCTCGCGCAGAGACGACAAAGGTCCATTTGCATTTGACGACTACAATCATGACGGGCCTGCATCAAAAGTCCTCAAGACATTCGACCATGACGACGACAGTATGGCGACCAGCAGAGACGAGGAGAGAGCTGTGGCCAAACCCACCTTGCGACTTGCATCTCTACCTCCTGGTACATCACCTGCCGTTATTAAAGCTTTACTTCCTACAAACTTGACAGTCGATGCTGTCAGAATCATACCACCTTCTGGGCCAACCTCATTTACGGAAAGAAAATCTATGTCGGCGATTGTCACATTGGCTAAAGACACCCCTGCGAATGATATTGACACAACGGTCAACTCACTACAAAACAAATACTTGGGATTTGGATATTATTTGAATTTGCATAGGCATTTGTCATCAGCGGCGATTTCGAGTTCTACACAAATTTCAAACATAGGGAGTGCGGCGGCCTCGCAACCTTTCGGCGCCAAACCAGTCAATCCACCAGCAGCTCGCGGAGGGTTTTCAGGGTCGTCTCATCGTGGGGGCTTTGCTCCCCCTACGTCTTACAACAACACACCTCAATTAAGCCGATCCACACTTTTTGTTCCAGTCCAGCCACCGCAGGATATTAAAGAATTAAAACTCATTCACAAAACCATTGAATCACTTCTCACTCATGGACCTGAGTTCGAAGCACTCTTGATGTCACGCGCTTCCGTTCAACGAGAAGAGAAATGGGCATGGTTATGGGACTCACGAAGTACAGGTGGTGTTTGGTATCGATGGCGATTATGGGAGGTGTTGACAGGTTCGCAATCTAAAAGAGGGCAAGGAAAATACCTTCCACTATTTGAAGGCTCTTCGGCCTGGAAGCAACCTGATCAACCTTTGGCTTACGAATATACGACCCGTCTAGATGAATTTGTTTCGGATTCTGAGTACAACTCCTCCGATGAGGATGACTCTGGCGACGAAGGTGCTAGACGTCCCCCAATCGACCCTAACACACTAAATGAGGACGGAAAAGCATATTTGAACCCTCTTGAGAAGGCTAAACTCACACACCTTCTATCACGCTTACCTACTAGTACCGGTAGACTACGAAAAGGAGACGTAGCTCGAGTCACTGCATTTGCCATCTCACATGCAGGTCGAGGAGCTGATGAAGTTGTTTCGGCAATTGTATCTAATGTCGAAAAGCCCTTTGCTTACACATCCGCAAATCCAGACCGAAAAAAGGACAAGGAGAGAGATAACAGTGGTGATGAGAAAGTCGACAATGCCGGGGAGGAAGACACCAGTTCTGCGTCGTTAATAGGGTTATACATTGTATCTGATATTTTATCAAGTAGTTCTACGAGTGGTGTCCGACACGCATGGCGCTATCGACAATTATTCGAGCAGGAAATGCGGAGGAAAAAGACGTTTGAGGGATTGGGAAGGATGGAGCGGAAAATGAAGTGGGGGAGATTAAGGGCTGAGAAGTGGAAGAGAAGTGTAGGAAATGTGTTGGGGTTGTGGGAGGGTTGGTGTGTGTTCCCACAGGAAAGCCAAGACGAATTCGGTAAGGTGTTCAGGGAACCTCCTTTATCAGCTGAGGAATTGAAAGAGCTAGAGGAGAAGGGCAAGGAGGAGAAAAACAAAGAAAAGAGCAAATGGAAAGCTGTGGAGGTGGCACCAAAGGAGAAAGTTAAAGAGGAAACTGATGAAGGGGATTTGGATGGTGAACCGATGGTAGAAGATGATGAGGAGGATGTAGATGGTGTACCAATGGAAGAGGAAGATGTGGACGGTGAACCAATGGCGGATAGTGATGATGGTGGCGATCTGGATGGAGAACCTATGCAAGTACAAGAAGATGGAGGAGAAACGTATGAACCTCCTCCTGCCATGGAGACAGCACCAGACCCGAAAGTCAAGACTGAAGAGTCTGCACCGCCGAGAAGAGCAAGACCGCGGGCAGTGGATATGTTTGCTGACTCGGATGATGAGGATTGAGAGGCAGAGGGCGCGTATAGGTTGTGCTGATATGTAACACATCCAGAGGCGATATTATATAAATACAAGATACCAAAGTTTCCATTCATTGTTCATCTTTCTCATACTACTTATCCCTGCTCACCTCTCTGGTTTTCTTCGGAGAATAGAATCTGACACCCTCCAAAGGACGTTTTTCGAATTACGTTCCTCGTATCACTAGCTTTTACGGGTTATCTTGTATTTAAAGCTTGGTGGAAGAAGAAGAAAAAAAGGAAGACCAACACACACAATCAAGCGAAAGTCGTTTATTTGAATTTGAGATCATACTTACTTCTCGAAAAACTATTCAAATGTATCAGGCATCAGATGAAAGAGGTTGAAGAATGACTTCAACCTCAATATGAACATAAATGTGAATGGTATGCCAATTAATTAAAAGCATGCTCCTAGCCAGTCTAATTTCCAAATTCCCATGACATGCACCAGTACCAATAACCCGTTAATCCTACCCAACCGTTGCAAAACTCATGTACAGCGAATGACCCTGTACTAATTTTATCTTGTTATAAAAATGACCCATAAACGAGGACAGTATTACCACTTTGGCCCCGCACTACTAGCTCTCCTCTCCCTTTTACCATTGTGCCCGTCATTAGCTACACTTCCCCTTCGCCGTAACCCTCCCGCCTTTCTCCTTCTCACAATCTGATATCCTCTATCCAACTCTGTCTCCACAGCACATCTAACTTTAAGTGCTCCGACAGCTGGCCATACACTTTTCTCTCCCCTCAATGTCCAATAGTCTAGACTATCCTGAGTAGGTGTCTCGAGAAGACGGATGAAATCGCCTACGGACAGAACTGGAACAAGTGTTACGGATGCGGCAGGTATATGTTCATCTACCAGAAACCTGCGAATAGAAAGAGGGAGAAGCTGCAAGGAATCGAGTTGTTGTAGTCGATGATGGATTTCCATGGTTATGAGACGTAATAAGCCACCAATTAAAGAGGTACGTCCGCCGCGAGTGTAGAGACGAGAGGGGCCGTGCATGTCAGATTGTAGAAAGGGGACAAGATAGGGACGGGCCTGAGAGACGATGAAGTGGTTTACGTTGAAGAGCTCGGCGATGCGAGAGAGGGGTGAGTCGCGGTCAGTATATGAAGCGTGGGTCCAGGGGTGGAATGTAGCATCTGCGGCAGCGGACCAGGGAATTATGGTGCCGGTCAGAGGATCTTTGCATTTTAGGGTTACTGAGGATCCATAAAGAGAGGGAGTTGACGCATTAGATGCTAGGGCTGCAGACCAGATTAACTACTTAGGTTAGCAGTGTATTTGAATATGAGAATGAAGAGAGTATACGTACAACGTTGGGTGCTGTCAGATAGTTAAGTAGATTTGGTACTCCCCCCTTTCCACTCGTAGCCACCGTGATGTTCAAGACTCTCTTAGTCTTATTATATGCCTCTTCAAATGTTAAATTACCTACATTTGCCCGCACACATTCCTCTAGTACTTTCACATCCAAAAAGTACCCTTCCCTGTAAAACCTTTTTACCCTCCTCGTCAATGTATCCCACCACCCACTCGTACCTTGGAGCCCTCTTTCTTTCCCCGCGAAAGCTGATAAATCAATGCTCTCCCCATTCAAAAATTTTGGCAGCTCATCTTCCGTGTGAATTCCCACCAGTGCTGCAATGAGCGCTCCCGTTGCTGTACCCGTTACAATTCGGGGTAATAAACCCCTATTAAACAAAGCTTTCACAACTCCCAAGTGGCATAGCCCAAATATTGCTCCGCCCTGTAAAACCAATGTACTTCTTCCAAAAGCCTGCCGAGTGTCATGCAAAAGATCCAACTTCGCCTGACTGCTAAAGCCCATCACCGCCCCATTGTTCCCATCAGCGCCGGGTGTCGTAGGCAATTGAGTCACATCTGCTACCGCTTGCGCAACTTGTGTAATGTAATCTTCGATTAAGAGTTTCGTCCCTGCAAATGCACGATTGAAAAGTCGAGGAGCTGATATATTTCCCAGGTTACGTACAAGACCAGATCTCAGCAGATTGACCAGTTGTAGAATATCTCCTTCTTCGCGGGCTATTATGATCGACTGCAATCGCTCGTGTATCAATCTATAATCGTAGTACTTGGATGTAGGATTCTGGCGCCTGATTGCAATCCTATTAGCTATTGTTCACCGCGTGTAAAGAGGGTTTTGGTGTGAACAGACCATAAATCATTTCCCAACAAAACATCTAATTGAAAGGCAGCTTCTTCCCATTCCTCATATGTATGAGCATCTTGCAAAAGATCTGACCAAAGTCGTACTGGTTTCTTTCGAGTCATCCATTGCATGAACCTCTATTTGTGCCATTATTAGCGTTGCTCAGTTTACAATCTTTATAACAAGCTATCAATCTCCTTACTCTTTGCCAGAAGTACATAACCTCCAAGAGCATACTCCATATTCCCGATAGAATTCCCGTCATTGTGACAGTAATCAAAGTCTCTCAGACCTGAACTACATGTTCGATTGTACGAGGTTGACAGTTTATTTATTTACGAAAGAAGGAAGAATGAGGATTAGCATGTGATGATTTCCCCAGATTGTCAGGGATAAAGCTTTGGCCTATCTTCTTTGTGCAACATCACCATATGAATATGAATTACTAAGTACTAGATAGGTATCAACAGCTTTCACATGAGGATAAAAATATTCATGTAAAATAAATCTTTCAGTCACAATGCTATTGCATGTAATATAACCCTTGGTAATTCGAGAATCTTTTGAAAACATACACATATTTTAATAAAATGCATGTATGCTGATGCCTCATCCTTGTGGAGTAAACGCTTAGTTAGCTATTGTACAATCTGTTAAAAAAACGCCGGGTATGTTATGGAAAACACAGGAAATGCCTTTCGAAATGCCTGGTATATGAACGCAATATCTATGGCCACTATTAAACTTCTAAAGTTGAGCTCATTCATCATCGTCATCCTCAATAATGTTACGCTTTCTCCTGTTTCCACCAGCTTCTGCATGCGGAGCTTGAACGACATCCTCATCATCCAGATCAGCTTCGGCATCTGCGTCTGCATCACTATCTTCCGCAGGTTTTGATGTCTTTTGTTTCTTGGGTCTAGGAGCTTCATCACTCTCATCAAGTATCTCTTCTTCCTCATCGTCGTCTCCACCACCTTCCTCAAGTTCCTCATCGCTAGACGCCAAAAAGTCATCCTCTTTGTCGTACTCATCTTCACGATTTCTACCACGAGGAAGGTCGTCGTCCGAATCATACTCTGGTCTGCGACGAGGACGCTTAGCTCCAGCAGGTTTACGTGGTCCACGACGTCCAGGGCGACCATCTAAATCATCGAGAGTAAGACCTGCACCCACACCCACACGACGTCCAGTTGATTGACTGGCTCTATCAAGCTGAGCCTCACGGCGACGTTGAGCACGCATACGTTCCTTTTCTGCCATTTCTGCTCGCTTCTTTTGAAGTTCGGGATCTTCATTTTTGACGATCATATTTAGGCGTTTCTTTTCACCTCCTTCTAGACCAGTAGCTGCAGTAAGATTCTTCTTCAACCTACTCAGAGCATCATCTTCGATAGACTTATTGGGCCTGACTGTGTACTCGTTGGTCATGTGTCCTACGACAACAAGAATTTGAGATGTAACTGAAGGTGAAGCCATGTAACTATGTGAGTCTAAGACTTCGTTGTATTTGCTATCCTTAGCAGGCGCAAGAGGTTTGCTCTGTAATTCATAATGCTGGTCGCCAATAGCTAGAGTGGTGCTTCCATCGCTCCATGTGTATATGTTCGTGTTACTTTCGAGTTTGCCAGAATCCGACTTGCGATAGCGGATCGTTGATTCGGCAACATTCCTGGCAGAGAAATTTGCGGATTGGGTAGAGGCATGGTGATCGGAGACGGGGATTTCAAAAGTCTCAGGATTGTATTCTCGAGGCTCAATTCCAAAGAACTTTGGAAGGCGAAATGTATGGAACTGTGAAAGCATTAGCTATGTACACAAAAGATGATTGGAATGAGGCGCATTTACTTCTCCATCTGAAGGTCTCGGAACTGGGTGTCTGAATATATCAGCTTCGAGAATCCGCGCATTTCGAGTATCTTCCACCGGCAATTCTTCCTCATCGTCCCTATCTGGTACTCTATCGTCGTGCCCCTCATCGTCTCCCGAATCCAATTCTGCGTCACTCAACACCCGGGGTGGCGGTGGTGCGGTCTCTGGCTCCTCATCAGGAACATCCCCAAATAGATCATCCTCCTCATCAACATCGGAGATATTGTTCATAACTTCATCTTCTGAATTGGACGCCATTTCAAGTGGTGTGTGTATTTATCGTTGTAAAGTAAAAAATGTCCAAAAGGTAAATCGCGAAATTCCGTCGTATCGTTCTTCGTAAACTTCGCGTAAAGCTAGATGCTAATAATAAGAGAAGCTCTGATAGGTATCGTTGAAAGCAATATATTGTGAGTAAAATCGAATCAATTTGAATCGACGTAAGAATTCCCTGTAATTTGTACGTGCTCAGTGAATCGTCTTCAATACAACATCTCTTTTAGCCGTGCTAGACAATCAATTGGTGAATGAAGACATACCAAACATCTGATACAAGTGGAGGATGCAAAGCAGCAAGCAAAATAATGCAAGGGCAGCAAGAAGTGATACACCGCCTTCTCGGATTGTTAACCAATGATCAAGGAAGTTTTGGATAGAGTGGACGGAAGAACATTAAGGAAGAACCCGACGCTAATCTATTCAAGACTTCCTAAGCTTTTCTGTTTGTCTCCTATTCCTACTTGATATCAAATACAAACCACCATCTTTCAACTATCTCTCGACTCAACCACCTTTTGTTTTGAAAGTCGACTTTACTGAGTCATCTTGGTAATTTTTGAGATTCGATAAGTTGTCTGATTTTGAAAGATTCAGCAATATGTCAAACTTGTTTTCAGGAATGTACGTGGTCGGATTTTCTTACTTGTCGTTTTGGTTGCCTTTTGATATTCGGAGCTCCTGTGGTGATACTTGATTATTTTACTACTTGGATTCACTAGTGGTAAAATATGGACGGGGGTAATGTTCGATTAATGGAGGGCATTTCATTTGGGGTGGAGTGATATGAGAAGTTGGCTCATTGTCACCGCCCCAAAAGCTTTATCTCTGCTCACACGACCTATCAGCAAGCAAGTTGCTTGAGTTACATTATCAGACGAGGAGCCTCAGGAGCAATCTCATCTGTTATTCTTCTCAGGCTGGTCAAAGGGAAGCTTTCTATCAGCAAGGCGATCATATTTTCTTCCAAAAATGATCCCTATTATATGTGTTTATTTGACTGAAGGCATATCTGCTCTCCAGATTTGTCGTTGATGCATTGTGCCCTTCGTATTTGTTGGTTTGCGTCTTCCTAAAACTTTCCACTCATTCTTGCCGTTCTCCAAGCTTGTGTAATATTCTATCTTTCGCTTCCAACCAACTTGACGAAGAAAATTGCTAACAATATTGTGTTTGTAGAAGTGGCCGCTTTCGTGGTAGTGGTAAGAGTTCTGGCGCAAAGAGTCCGGGTGGACTTAACGGAGTTTCGCCAACCTCTCCTACAGGCAATTCCCCCGTCAATTCTTCGTCACCCGCCAATATGGCACCCCGCATCTCGCCACTCCCCAACTCGCCTTCGCTCTCACAAACCATGTCCGTGGATGATCAGCAAGCCCCCCCTGCAGGCAATGATCCACTAGCCGCCTACAACCTTCCTCGCCCAAAGCCACTCTGGCTTAATAATGCTTATGCTAAGCACATTGTTAAGGGTAATTTTATGACATTGTCTGCTCGCCCAAAGACAGTTGAGCCTGGAGAGTGGATTGCCCATCAAGGTAAGACAATGAGGAGGAGCTCACAGTCATGTGCTAACAATCGTAGTGGTTGAACATTATCGTATCTTGTGGAACTTTGTTCGGGTAATTCATGAAAAGGAAGAAGATGGTAACACCATTTGTAACCCCCAGACTTGCCCCCGCATGTCTGCCGGCGCGTAAGCCTGCATTTTCTAAGACCTACCGATTTGATATCTGATAAATTTTACTAGAAACCACTCTTTCACATGGTTGAACTCACGTAGAGAGCCTGTCGAAGTACCGGCCCACGAGTACATCTCCCTCATGCAGCGCTGGATCTCTGGAAAGATCGATAACACCGCTATTTTCCCCACCGATCCTGCCGGAATCTCATACTGTCACAACAGTGCCGGTCCTGAAATTGCTGGCTCAACTTACGCTTCTGGTGGAGTCAACACACCTGGTTCAAACACACCCATTCCTGCTGGCCCAACCACACTCACAACCTCTCTCTCTCAACTCGCCGGAGCTGGTGATTGGATCGGTAAGAGCAGTGGATTTCCACAAGAATTTGTTGATGTATGCCAAACCATCTTTAGACAAATGTTTCGAGTATATGCTCATCTCTACTGGGGACACTTCATTGAGCCTTTCTACCATCTTAACCTCGACAAGCACATGAATAGTTGCTTTAGTCACTTTGTTTTGACAGCAACCGAGATTGACATGTTGAAGCCACATGAATTGGAGCCCATGCAACCATTGATTGACCTCTGGGCTGCCAATGGAACATTTCCACCTGAGTCTAAGGCTTACGCTTGTGCAAATCTTAAGGCTGGAGAGAGACTTCTTCAAGCTGCTGGTTAATAAGATCGGTGCAGGTCACTACAAGCATACAGGCGTTTAGGAAAGCGATTTGATAGAAGGGTTCATAATGTGCTTGACGATTGCATATGAAAGCTTCTTATTTTTGCGAGATATCTCAAAGATTGATGGCATGGTTCTGCGTGGTTATGTTTTGGGCTGGCGTTCCTGTTTTTTGAAGAGAATAGTGCCCAGGTTTTTAAACTTGATATTTCATATGTAAATGCACTCTAGCATTATGCAGAAAATGATAAATATTACTTGAAACTTCCGTGACCTTCTCCGCGCTCGTCTTGATTATTGTTACAAAACTTACCTAGGTAGACAAATACTCTCCACGACGCTCGCTTGCTTATATACAAAGTCAAAAATCAATAAACTACAACAAAGATCCTAGGATCCTTCTAGCAGGACGATAAAACAGGGACATCAAAATTCCACTTTCTCGGTATTGTCTTAGAGTATTAAAATATAGGTGCTGTCAATAGATAAACATAATTGAGTAATATTTAGAGAACTTGCGTGGATTTGATTCAGTGATGTTGATATGGCAGAATACGTTCTGATGAGCAAGCAAAATGATTGGTTCACTTGATGATGCGACAAAGAAGGGGCGGGCCGCCTATTATCCGGCTGCAGCGACGTAACCCAGCATCACAAAATAATAATAATGCGCCGACAGCAAATGCGGTAAATCATCGCAAAGCAGACAAACATCCCAATTTATCTTTCAATTCAGGAACGATGTCTACATCTACTGGGACAGGTTGGGCACAGCTTCGTCAACAAGCTAGGTCGTTGGAAACACAAGTAAATCATATATACCTCCCAATAGCTATCGCCCACGAAACTAACGACCCGGGCAGACAGAAACACTATTCCATACCTACTCACAATTCTCGGCCGTTTCCAATATTCCGCCAAAACCTTCAGAAGATGAAAGATCCACTGAAATGAAGCTACAAGAAATTCTAGAAAAGGTGAATAGATCCTCACTACAAGCTCAAGGACTTGGTCTCACAGTTACGTTTTAGAGAGAAAATCTGATATCGCAACTCTCCCGCCTCCTCGACAGCGACTCTTCCCTCACAGCTTCTGCAACCCGTCAAAACAATCTTACCCGTCATCGAGAAATCCTCCTCGATCACCGTCGTGAACTCTCGCGCATTCGTTCCTCCATTTCTGAAGCTCGTAACCGCGCAAACTTACTCTCAAATGTGCGATCCGACATCGACGCATATCATAGCAATAATCCAGAAGCCGCAGAAGCGGATTATATGTTGGGGGAAAGAAGTCGTATTGAGAATAGTCATAACATGACGGACAGTGTGCTGAGCCAAGCTTATGCTGTTAATGAAAGTTTTGGGCTACAGAGAGAAACGCTAGCCAGTATTAATCGGAGGATCACTGGGGCTGCAAGTCAGGTACCGGGATTGAATAGTTTAATTGGGAGGATTAGCGCGAAGAAGAGGAGAGATGGGATTATTATGGGCAGCTTTATCGCATTTTGCTTCTTGATGTTTTTATACTTTATGTGAGGAGGATAGGATAGCACAATGCATTTCATGGTAATGAGAACACAGGCAAGGCGTTTGGAGTGGAACGGTCTGGGGATATGACCAAATTGTTGTACAGTATAAGAATGGCTTGTGGGTATATTCAGGAATATCATGCTCGACGTCCAGCTTTTGCTGCATCTTCTTTACTTTCCTTCTTTGCGGCAGCATACCCTGATTGCTGTGCACCATTTTCCAGTCTCTTTTGCGCGAGGGGTGCTTTAGCATCCTCCAAGAGTCGGGATACACTCTTGACCAAGACGTCCTTCTCGTATTCTTCGGCAGGACCACTGCCCGCCCACCTAATCTTACAATCCCCATCTAGAATGTATGTGTACCCGACCTTACTATTTAATAGACCTATAGCATCTTTCATCTCATCCGTAAGACCCTTCTGGACGACAAAATATCTCTTCCACATCCATTTTGGCAGCTTTTTCCTTAAACTCGACCGAAAAAACTTGATGAGCATAGCTTTCAGATAGTTCTCTTCGATGTTGATGTGTACCATTTGCGCCAATTCCTTGTTGTTTCTAACCACCTCATGTAAACTTGGGTTACTCTTCTCAGATGCAAATGTAGCCGCCTGGTTTTCTGCCCATGCACCACTGAATACGGACACAACTGAGACCTTGCCCTCTAGTATGGGTGTTGTATTTTCATATAGCGTAGAGTCTGGTTCTAGAGTTCGGCCGCTTAAATTAGGAAAATAGAGCGCACGATCGGCTTTGAAAATTCGAGGAGGTGCCAGGAAGGATTTTCCCTTATGATATTTCATATTGCTCCATTCTCTGTAATATGGTTTGGCCATTGCCGCAGTCCTGAATCCTTGATATTAGTGACCTGCATGCATCGTTTTATACAAGCGACGCTCACAATTTCTTGCGCTTTTCAAGATGCTTGTCCCAATTGACGAAATCATCTCTTCTTTCTTTCATTGACCTATTGTCTACTCCACTATTCTGACCTGCTCTCGGTGGTTGCGGAAGTCCAATTGCTCGATCCAAAGGCTTAGGCGTAAAGCTTTCCACCCTCTTGCCCGAAGCTCTTGGAGCTTCATCTAGAACTGAAGGAGTTTCTGGCACCGGTGATGGCGTCTCTTTCTTTTCGTCCCATCGTCGATATGTAGTAGTAAATGAACGCCATTGGCATAGCATACATGCTGAAGCATCTAATTGCTTCCTTGCGGATCGTATCGGCAATCGTGTAAGGATCATATTCGTTATGATAAGGGGAGTCGTGCGGGAAACCTAGAAGCCCCGCTAGCAATTCAGCATGCGCGCCTGAAAGATTCTCTTTACCCCAGAATTTATTTTTTTCCCCAGAGTTTCCCGAGCGCTGATAAGCCGCCGATAACCGAAATCCCCAGATTGTTACCTCCGCAAAGATCATGAATGCAACTTTCTATTCCAAAGAATATGTAAACATTACAACCTTTTTCTTCCCATCCCTTTCGAAAATTGTATGAGGTCCTAATTTCAGACTGTACAAAATGCGTTATAACTTCTATTCCAGAGTGTTGAGCAGGCAATGGAACGTCTATCAAGGTCTCAATCTCCCCAAACGATGTCCAACCACATACAAATACTTCCATGCATCTGCGAAGCGATCAGCCATAAAACCATTTATGTTGGCAGATATTGGAGAAGGTTAGAAGATCATAATATCCAGATGGAGATTCGTACTAATAGCTGATTCAGGAATCAAAGAATGCGAAATCATACAATGGTTCGTGGAACCAGAAGCTCGGGTGGAGGAATGGGACAAATTATGTGAAGTGCAAAGTGACAAAGCGTCGGTCGAGATTACCAGTCGATTTTCGGGTGTCATAAAGAAACTCCATTATGAAGCTGGGGATATGGCACAAGTGGGGAAAGCTCTCCTGGATATTGATATACAAGGGGAGATCGAACAAGAGAGTGCGGATGCCGTTCAAGGGTCAAGTGCTGGCAATGAATCTAAAGCCCAATCCGTGGACAGGTCACCAACAGAATATAAATTAGATGTTCCAGGTGCCTCTCAGCCAGCTGCCGAGACTCGATCCTCTTCATCAACTCCAAAAGGAAAGCATGCGGCGTTGGCAACACCAGCAGTAAGGCATCTTACAAAAGAATTAGATGTCAATATATTAGATGTGACAGGTACGGGGAGAGATGGCCGCGTACTCAAGGAGGACGTACATCAGTTTGCAAAGCAGAGAGATGGGGCTTCGTCAACAACCCAGGAACCCTCCACAGAGGCAAATGGGGGTCCTCAAAAGGAGTATACCACTTCATTGACGCCTGTTCAACAGCAAATGTTCAAAGTCATGACGAAGTCTTTGGCCATACCCCAGTTCCTCTATACCGATGAAATTGACTTTACGAAACTCTCCCAAGTACGAGGTCGTATTAACAAACAACTGGCAAGCTCTCCCGTCAACGGGGTTGCCAAGCTATCCTACCTCCCCTTCATCATCAAAGCTGTCTCTCTAACTCTAAATCATTACCCCATTCTGAATTCTCGGCTCGACATTGATCCTACTTCGCAGAAGCCCATCTTAACAATGCGTCCTCAACACGATATCGGCATCGCAATGGACACTCCCACAGGTCTCCTCGTTCCTGTCCTGAAACACGCCCAATCCACGTCTACCCTCCTCACCATAACTCAATCACTCACCAATCTTCAATCCCTTGCCTCAAGCTCCACCCTTACCTCCTCTCACCTCTCCGGTGGTACTATAACCATCTCCAATATCGGCAACATCGGTGGTACCTACCTTTCTCCTATCATCGTCGATTCCCAGCTCGCCATCCTCGGCATTGGCAAACTACGCACTATCCCCGCGTTCGATGCTCACGGAAACGTTGTCCCAAAAAAAGTCATTAACTTCAGTTGGAGCGCCGACCACCGCGTAATAGACGGTGCAACCATGGCCCGCGCAGCCGAAATGGTCAGAGGATATATCGAAGATCCAGAAACCATGCTTTTACATATGAAATGATGCATTGTTGCACATCCAACGCACATGACATCATCTCATCGTTCACGTCTTACATATTATATATAGGCGGAGTAAAAGTGGCTGAGGAATCCAAGACCACGAGATCGTTCTTCGCTTCAGCTCACACGATTTCCTTCTACACTGCATTCTGCATCACCTTATGATAGTTGACAGAAACACAACATACGCAAAGACCGTGATACTGTACCCCACGGACATAAGGATATATTTTTGTCTCCTGCTTCCAATTGGGTAAACAGAGTCACGAAGTATGCTTTCACGTTGATGAATTAGGCAACCGCCTCGAAAAGTAACTAACTTGTTACAAATGACTGCGTTGCATTCGGTGTTTAAAGAGGGGGTTCGGGCTCAGCTTTCGGTTTTCTTTGGAATGAATGATACGTTTTGCACTTGCGAAGCTTGCGAAGATGGCGAAGCATTAGCGTAGCATAGAGAAACAATACAAGCCAACATGCCTGCATACATACATACATACATAAAGTGAGAGACTGTCGTTTATTGGCAGATACCCAACAAGTAATATCGTGTATCTCTTAAAACCCCTTACAATACCATCATGCATGCACGATTCATTCAGCCTTGTCGTGCGACGCAATGCGTTGTCCGACTGGGGTACATAAAGACTGATTTTCCGGGGTTGGTCGCTACCCCGCATTCGCATGAGGATAATTGGCAGATCAGGGGGTGGTGTGTGAAGATTCTTCTGACGGTGTGCATCAACAGAAAAACGAGAAACGAACTCAGCCATTTAGAAATAGCTGCATAAGGAAATCTGATGCGTGATACTCTTAATTAATCTAATTGCGTACTTGTCCAATCATCTAGTTCCTTCACCTCCTTCCATTTTCGCTTCGTTTGTTTATGGACTGTTCTCTCTCGTCTTCTCATCTTGCGACTGGTCATGACCACAAAACCCACCCATTAAAGAAACTCATGCGTTTGAACATAATAGAACCCAAATCATGCTACAGCTAGAATAAAATACGCCAAATCCTTTTTTGCTAGCCCCACCGAGATCCATATGCGAAATGTAAATGTAGACACATGAAATAAGAAGCAAATACCCGTAGCAACTCCGAATCGTGTAGCCGAGAAAATATCCGTGATTGCTTAAACCGTAGATGAATGATGAAGGATATCTGGTCCGCCAATTGGTCACCGAGCGCCGTGTTGTAATTTGAAAAGAAAATGAGCTCTCTATCTCTCCACTGCGAGTATCTTCTACATTGCAATGGTGTCAATGCATGAAGATCATGAGTCTCTAGCCAATTCTTCCTTTATCGCCGTGTTTATCTTCGCCAACGCATCTCGCTCGACTTCTTCTAACGATCCACTAACATCTACCTGGATCACATCTGTCTCATCTTTTGTAGGTGGTTCGAGAATGCCAAATTGACTATGAACCATATTCGCGCCCATAAAATGGCCCTTTCGAGCACCGACTCTCGCGAGTAATGTTTCCTCACTAGCATGCAGGTATACAAAGTGGACGAGGACATTGTGATCGTAGTAGGAAGCTACACGGATGACGTCGCGATATTTGCGCTTTAGGGCAGAGCAGGTGAGGACAACGCCTTGGGAACCGGAGTTGAGACTTTTCACAGATTCGTCGCGGAGTTTGGTGAGCCAGTCCCAACGGTCGGCGTCGTTGAGGGGTATGCCTTGCGCCATTTTATCAATATTTGATTGCGGGTGGTACTGTTTTTATTTTCGTTAGTATGTTGTTATGAGTTTGGCAAATAATAGAATTGGTGTATATACCTCATCCCCCTCAATATATGGCAAGTTCATCGCTTTGGCAACATATTGAGCCACTGTACTTTTTCCACATCCAGCAGGACCGGTAATCAACCAGATGTGAGAATGGCCTGTCTTAGGCTGTCTTGATGAGCCATTTGTCAATGAATTTGAAGACGACGAAGTTGATATAGGCAAATGGTCTGGCATGGCTGGCGTTGGTTGAGCCATATTTGAGGAACGATTCTCATAAGACAACATGATGAATGGAGGTTCTTTGTTGAAGCGTGGCGGGGTATTCTCTGTAGATGATATAAGAAAGGCCGGTAACGTCAAAGTCGATTTGATTGCCGAATGAAATGGGAGGAAGTCAATGTCAATGTGAAGAGTGATGTCATGAACTGATAGAAGTATAGCAACAATAAAATGAAATTCACTGAGAGTAAATATACTTTTTTTTCTTCTCTCTCGAAAGGGTTGTTTGTTGATGAGCTCTTGAAATTGTTTTGACTTGAGTGAGGAAAGATTAAATTATATGACGAATAATGAAGTAAACGTAGTTAATTTCAAACAGACAATCAATCAAAGCACTCACGATGTGGGAAGGAAGTGAGGTATATAGCAAACGGTTAGGGTCCCGGAGTAAGAAGGACCTAGGCAAATGACGACAAGTGGCGGTGGGTCGTGTGCCATATTGACCTAGTAAGGAGAAGGAAAATTGAAATAAAGAGCGATATGTACAGAATATGGAGTACGAGGTCAACTGGAAAGGTAATAATTGATTGTATGGGTGACGGCAGAAAAATGCACATCTTACCAAGGGAGTTTGACCTTGGCACGGTGATGCGACCCACAGAAAGGAAGTTTGGAAGGTTTACGGAAAGAGAACGATTCAAGCCTCGAGAGACCCTGGTGGGTGGTGGTGGCCCATTTAAAGATCTAGTCGAGTCTCTTTCTCATCACCGCTTCCCTCCATCTCCGCTGTTATACGACGGAGAAGAAGAAGAAGAAGAAGAAAAGGAAAAGGAAGAGGAAGGGGAAAATGATTTTGCACCATCCCTGTTGATCAAGATCTCCTTGCAAGCAGGGTTATGGTACCTGAAATTCTAGAAGCAGAAACAGAAACAGAAACAGAAGCAGAAGAAGAAGAAGAAAAAGAAAAACCAGCCACTCTTGTTGTTAGTACGGAGTAGACGTTGAATGTTGACCTGTACCAGTAGGTTGTACGTAGCTTGTAGTACCCCCCTCCTCCTTGCACTACATACTACATACTACATACTACATACATACCACATACACACATGCAAAGGTATCTGAAAAGGTATCTGACAAAGAAAAAGAGTAAGAATTCCGATCCAAGTTCATGGATTCGATTGCACTGACTCTGATTAGTTCACAATTTCTCCTTAGACACGGAAAAATAAGGGAAAAGCGGAGAATGTGTACATCTTAATTCTCATATCGTAGAAAAACGTGGAACCCATTAGGATCGATGTTCCAAGTAGTAAGGCACTGTGACGAAAATGGAAGTTCTGCACCGGTACCTACCTACTACCTAGGTCCTGGCCGTACTCTGTACAGTCAAATTGTGTTGTTTCAATTCCGATCCTCGATTAGGCGCAAGAGTAATATACTGCAGGTGACGATGCTAGATGATAGTCATAGCGATATATACGAAGTATAAGTTGTGACTTGTAAGTCTAATACGTAGCACAGCGATGCAACACGTAGCTCGACAAGTCTAGGGGAAGGAAAAAGATTCACGCGAGCCGTCTAGACGTCGCAGATACTACCTACCTACCTACCTAGTACATACATTCACACTTCTACAGAGTGAACGCAGCTTCTCAAACGTTGGATCCCGTTTGTGTTTGACGTCTCTTGGATTTGTGGTGGGAACGGATAAATTATGATGTAGGGGTATGATGCTAGGTATCCATCGATTTCATTCATTGTCATTCATTGTCATCCAATTTCGGACATTTAATATAATTCACAAGGATTTCATCATTTCTGCGGTCAAAAGTTCTAACTCCTGGATCTTGTTGTAGAATCAATCAGGTTGGTGAGAAGGGTGAGAGCAAGGTTAGTCTGAATTTTTTGATTTTTTTTCTTTTTCCTGCCATTTCATTCGTCTGTCTTGCTTGCAAGGTTCATCTGGCCTTGCCCAACGTCAACATCATTTCTTCTTACTGCATACAATCTGCACCATCGTCTGTCTCACTAATACACAATAAACTTTTCAAACTATGAATAGATGATTGCCCAACTTCGTGCCCACGACCCATTCACATTCATGTCTTGACATGGATAAATAATGGCTCATATATCTTATATCTTATATCTTATTACAGGAAGGTGGTGGAGAAGGAGGGAGCATTGTACTCTGTCTCTCTGTGCAATGTGCAATGTGCAATGTGCAATGTGCATGCACTCGATACATTCCTTTCTCCTTTTCACTCAACTCAACTCCATAATTCATTCACCCATCTTCCCAAAACTGTGGTTGAGAAGTCACGCTGATGATCCCTAGTCCTTGTAGCGGGTCTTCGATCGGGACTCTCGCATCATGTATTGAATCCCATGCTGTGGCGTACATTAGTTTTTCATGGGGGGTCCACTTCAAAGCCCGTGGGGGTCACAATGCAGCATCGCTATGGAAATGCGGCATCTGAGCATTTACGAGCGGCTCATCGTGGTGGGAAGGAGCGTGGAGCCCCAATTGATCAAGACCTTGAAGCAATACCGGTAAGCTCTTTATTGCTTTGTAAGATTACCTCGATTCGCTGAGTCCGAGTCGATAGTTTTCAAAGAGTTAAACTTCGCAAGGTCACACCGCTGCTTATATGCATTTTTGGATCACAGCAGCTGACCCTCTCTGCAATCCAAGCAATTATGTTGTAACTTGGAAACCGGAAGATGCAATCGGTTATCCGGTCGAAGCCGTGTTCCTACCGGGCTCAAGGATGGAATTCCTTTTGACGTCCCACTCGAGGACTTTGATGATTCTATGACAAACGCTTAAGGCAATCATCATGCATGTTTCAAGTATGGGGGAACCCATATTACAAAGTATATAATGAGGGGTAAAGACAGCAGGCTTCATACACAAGTTCGGAGTAGATGTCAACACATCTGCAACATGCAAACTTGGCCGAGTTCTACAATCTGTGCTTGCCTTCTAATAATATTCTAGTGTATATACGGCCAAGATCAACATTGAGCTAGTATACAAGGGAGCCAACGACCATGAGAATACCTTCATTTTTCATGTTTTGGGACATATCTCGGCTCAAGGGACGGCAAACAAGGAATAAAACTCATGGGGCGAGGGGGGGTAATCTCACATGATTTACGTTAAACCACAATCCCCCACCTTCCTTCTGAGGTACTTGTTTCCCCACGAGCTTCTATTTAGGTAATTTCTTAGCTCTCTCGAGATGGGATATCAAATTCCCATTTTGGGGAAAACCAATGTTTTACCGCATTTGGCAATGTAGACAAATTACATAAATTTGTTTTATCTTCATGTTGGCTCGATGTTCGAGACGTATCTAATCTTGGGAGTCGTTTCCTCAACATGCAACAGCTAACAGAGCACCAATTCAATCATTTTTCAATATCTAAAACTCATAGAAAGCTCTAGTAGTAACTTCTGGACGGGAGACAATGACTGTCCAATCAATTATAACATAATCAACCCCTCCTTCCCATATCCTTCAAGCAGGAACTATCATTATGCAGGACAGCAAAATGTGGGGTAAAAATAGTCATATCCCGTCAGTATGTCCGATAGCGCAATTCTACATCAGTGACATACACAAAGATAAAGTTACTTCTCAGCTTCTTGATACCTCATGCTTTCTCGTTGCAACCTTGTTTGGAGATCTAGTTCGACTTTTCTTTCTTCCTCAAAGTTCTTAACGAAGAACCTTCTAGTCAAAAACGGACACAGTTACCATAAAATGGCGACAATCATGCAAGAAGCAAATCGCTTGAGGAGAGTGATGGAGGAGGGCAAGGGACCGGCGACGGGCTGCTGGCAGATGATTCCAGGAGCCAACGTTTCGAGGACTTTGGCGAGGACAGGTGTTGATTGGGTCTTGGTAGATTGCGAGCATGGGAATATAGACGGTGAGTCACTTCATTTTGGTGTCATGTTAAGCCACTTGTTGGTGTTCTATACATTCATGAGCTCATAGACAAACTTATTCGCTGAGCTTAAATGACTCTACTATACCGAGTGGTATCAATCACTGCCACGGTAACTCGCTGGTTGTCTGGCATGTCGCCAGGCAATGATAGGTACTGGAGTTCTATGAAGCAGCAGCTAAATTTGGGCAATCAAACTACATTCCGGCGTTCAAAAAATCTCGAGCATTCGAAATTCCTGGGTTTGAACTGCAGTCGGGGCTGTTGGAGTGTCCATTCATTATCCAAAGCCTATTCTGTTTTCTGTTGAGGCCCTTTCATTCATACACTAAGCACTTCTATCGCGATCTTTTGAAATCAGGAATTAGTCAATAGAGGACGTCAAGTTATATTTTTGAAAATTTACCGCCACTTATCTGACGCCCCAACAGATGCTGCAATGCATGATGCAGTTCCAGCAATTGCTGCGTGCGGGGTGAGTCCGATAGTTAGAATTCCAGATAATCAAGGATGGATGGTTAAGCGTAAGTCACCAAGATGTATTGCAATATGTTTGTAGATATTGATGGCTCAACAGGGGCTCTGGACTGTGGTGCGCATGGCGTACTTGTACCTCTCCTATACACAGCCGAGGGAGCCGAACAGCTCGTGAAAAGTGCCAAGTTTCCGCCTCAAGGTCAAAGAGGCTTTGGATCACCCTTTCCTCATGAGCGCTTCAACCCCGAATTGAACTCTGATGCATATCTAAAGCAAGCTAATGAGAGTATTCTGACCATGGTACAAATCGAAACCAAGGAAGCGTTGGAGAATGTAGATGCCATTGCTGCTGTTCCTGGCATTGATGTTCTTTTCATTGGTCCTTTCGATCTTGGCAACAACATTGGTCATCCCATCGTTGCAGGACAAATGCACGAGAATCTTCATGCTGCAATTGCAAAGATCTTGAAGGCGGCAAATACAGCTGGAAAAAAGGCCGGTATCTTTTGTACGAGTGGAGAACAAGCGAAAGGGTACGCAGATCAGGGGTTCCATATGATGAGTGTTGCAACAGATATGCATATTTTACCACAGGGTGTGATCGCTGCCGTGAACAAGGCAAAGGGCCAAGAAGATGGCCCCAAATTGACTGGTCCTTACGGCAGATAGATCAATGATTGGTGTACATATACTTATTCGGAACCGTACGAAAAGGCCTTCGGATATTAGAATAGATTGTAGAGGTACAGTTTCGGCATAAATCAGACAGAGTTTTCCCCTTCTACTTCATCCATCTTCGCTTTGACTTCCTCCTCGGTAAATCTATGCATCAATTTTCTTGCTTTGGATGCCAATTCAGACTGCTCCTCCCCAGCGTCCTCCCTGCTAACGTGAATCTAATAGAGAATATTAGCAAGCTTTGGCTTTATTTGGGTCGAGGTAAACCAACCACGGGTGTATCAAATTCGTATAAATCCTTCCAGTGCTTTTGTCCGTCTTCCATAACAGCAATCTCTCTATATACAAATGGTCTTGTATCTCGAACTTTAAATAATGTATCTTTGGCGTTGGTACAGAGTGAACAATTAGCTCTTGTGAAAAGCGTGATTCGACATGCTTGGAGTAATCGTGTCGTTGGAAACATATTGATCTAGGATGCCAAGTTTTTATATTTCAATGATCTGTTTGGTATGAGCCTCAAAGTCGGTTTGATAGTAGCTCACAGGATGATTCGCTCCGGGGCAAGGGTTGATTTGCTCTCCCCTCTCCCCGTTCAGATTAACTTCGAACCGACTGGGATGTCAAAAGGCGGTGAGAGTCACTTTACGGCAGAATACTTTAGAGCATTCTAGAAGTTGGGGAGGAAGATCCGATGTCGACTTTTCAATTTACACGATACACAAAGTTTTATATTCGAACCAGCAGTCTTTTCTCAAGGTTTCTTTCATTATCTCCGAATTTCTATTCAAGAGAAAGTTAGACAATATGGCGCAAAAATGTGTACATCAATCTTGTACAAAGGTTTATACTGATCCTGAAGAAGACTGTTTGTACCATCCTGGACCACCGGTTTTCCATGAGGGCCAAAAAGGTATGCTGATTCATGCCACTCACTTTATGTAGCTCTATATCTTTGTACACGAAACTAAAATGTGCCCCAAAAACAGGTTGGAAATGCTGCAAACCCCGCGTCCTAACTTTCGACGAATTCCTCGCTATTCCACCATGCACAACCGGCAAACACAGCACCACAGATCATCCACCTCAGGTAGAGAAGAAACCAGCTCCAGATGCATCTGAACAAGCTTCTTCAGCGCCCTCTCCTCCTCCCGAACCTGCTAGAGCTCCAATTGCACCAGCTCCTCAAGCCACAGCTACCCCTCCTCCCCCAGCACCAGAATCTGAGGATGATGATGCGTCGCTAGAAATTCCAGTGGGTAAAACCTGCAGGAGGAAAGCTTGTGGTCAGCAATATGAGGGAAAGAGTAGAGAGGGGGAGAAATGTGTGTTCCACCCTGGTGTGCCTATTTTCCATGAGGGTAGCAAGGGCTATACTTGCTGTAAGAGGAGAGTTTTGGAGTTTGATGAGTTTATGAAAATCGAAGGATGTAAGACCAAGGGTTCACATTTGTTCATTGGCAGTGGAGGGAAGGGGAAGGGGAAGGAGGGGGGTGAGGAGATTTTGGACACCGTTAGGTGAGTTAGTTTTGTTTGTTATGAGACAGCGTTTTCGAAGCGGTTGTTAGTGCAATGCTAATGATGATAAATTACAGGCACGATTTTTACCAAACAGCAACCTCAGTCATCGCCTCATTTTTCCTCAAAAAGATTAAGAAGGAGGATGCAGTCGTATCTTTCTCCGCCCCTCAAGAACTTACTCTTGATCTTCCTACCACAGACGCAGTTCCCAAACGCTATAAGACTGTGGTTCCACTCTTTGGTGCAATTGATACAGAAGCATCATCATTCAAAATTATGGGCACAAAGTTGGAAGTTACATTGGTGAAGGCTGACGGTGCTAGTTGGCCAGTGTTGAGAAGTGATGAGCAGAGGACGGGCGAAATTATACAGGTTGGGAAGGCAGGGAGAGCGGTTTAGTATGGGAGCTACACGGGTGTGATGAAATGAGATGAGGGTGCGAAAGCGTTGAGCATATCCTTATCAGATAGATCGTCCTATTATGCACAGCGTGAGATTTTATAAGAAGAGCAAAAGCTTAAATATCTCTCAGAATTTGCGTTGCTTTGTATTTGTGCTGTGAGGCTTGTGGTCGTCGGAGGCTTGGTTCTCATTTATACGCTTAATATGTGAAACGAGCAAGCATAGATAGGGGGAAGAGAGTGTTTGCCGAAGACAAGAGTGAATAAGGGAGCATAGATTAAGGAAGTGAATGATGTTATCATCGACGTTAATGAGTACTTTCTTTCCATTATATGGAAGTAGGAGTGATAGGAAAGGCCGTAGTAGATGTCTCGAGCTACGTACACTATGTTTCAGGTTGTGTTTTTGCGTAGGTACAGAAAGCTTGTCGGGGGTTATGGATGTGGATATGTACTGACGTTACCTAAGCTTACCAGGAGCGTGCTTTTTACTTTTGGTTATAATTCGAATAGTTCCAAGGTTGAAACGTGAGAATATGCGGAAAGTGTTGTGGGTGTTGATGTTGATATGGCTGATAAGTCGATTTTTGGAATGATATTTATCATTCATATGTTGTATTCCAATGGTAGATGGTAATGGCAGGTAGGCAGTGAAGGGTGAGAGTGAATGATGAGATTGAAAGATGAATACGGGCTATGATTTGTACATCAGATATGGGGTAGAAGGGGTGTCATCTAATGCCGCGGAAAACATAACGTAGGCAGAGTGTTATTAATGTATTTATTGTCTTTGATTTGATCGCCGGAAAACTATAGGAGTATTCGAATATCCTAAAGGATAGGAAACGCTTTTGGTTGTCATTTTGAGGATCTCAAGAACGACTGTGGTATAAACAAAAGGGCCTTCCCCTTTTTCATTCTCAAATGAGGTGATATATCACTGTGTGTAGATAGTATTTTCGGGGTCTTAGATCCTCCACTTCCCATCTATCTTTTCGGATAGTGTAGAATGGCAGACTGAATGTGGAGGGTTTCAATCTCGTAGGGATCAGATTTTTCAGCCAGTGTCGAAAGAAATCATCAACGCTTTACTATCAGATTGCAATCGCGACCGTCGAGAGCCCGGCTCCCATCTTATGCTTCTTGCACATCATCTTCACACACGTTCGTTGGTCCCCATCTACTTCCAACAACGCTGATAGGGCTTTTCGCCTTGAACCTTTCACCACGTATCGAACCAAGTAAAGTTGCTCGAGAGGTTGTCCATGAAACGGGCGCAGACGATGCTTCAGGTTTGCAGTCAAAAGTTACGGTGCGAGATGTTCTGCCTGGTTGTTCCATCTTCCCAGCAGCTATAGACAAACTGGGTCTCGCATATGTACTATTGATATCGGCATCAATGGGATCAGTCGATATGGCAATGTGTATGTATATCGAACGACCATCATCAGTAGTACTTAAATGATGAGCCGTGGGATGGGGTGCGCCAGATAATCTGTTGGGCGCAATGATGGGACGATTATCGAGTGTAAGCCCTAAGAGTTCGGCAGTTGGAACGGAGGACGCGCTGGCTTGGTTCTCGGCTTTAGCGATGGGTTTACTTTGGCTGGTGAGTATTCGCTTGTAGATTGTAAGTCCCTAGGTATTTCGAAATAGAATCTAAAATAATCTTGATATACAGCCTTTCAAATGATTTAAATATTTCAAACTTATTGAAAATTTAACGCCCCTGATTGTCGGGCTACAGTGCAAATTGCTGGGTACCTTGAAAGTTTAACAGATTAGAAAGAACTTACGGAGGAGAATCCATTAAACCATCGACAAAGGTTTCAAAGCTTCTCAATGCCTCTTCGCTCAACCATCCTTTACATAAATATTCAAGTGCCATACCTAACCAGGCTATGATCAAAACCGGTGTTCCAATTGCCCCACTGTTCGTAGATACCAGTCAGTCAGAGTTCAAGCTAGCTTGGTTCTCCAAACATGATGAGATATTTGACCAAGACGGGATATTGAAAGTGGTCGACGGGCAGCTTATAATACATACTTGACTGGAAGCGATTCCCTTCCCATGTACGAGCACAACTGAGCCAATCCGACACCAAAAATGGCAAAAGTACCGGCAACTTGAAGCAAGGCCCAGAATGACCAATATAAGAATCCTATATCTAATTGATGGCAGAAAATGAGAGTAGATGCGGCGAAAGCTTTGAAGACTGCGCAGGTGATTGCGACAACGAGACAGAGGGAAGAGACATAGATGCATCGAATTTGAGTGCGACGATGGTTCTCTTTACTGATGGAGAGCAGTCTTGGGTAGAAACCTCTAGACATTGTCGGACGCAATTCTGCGTTTTTGATGTGTCTGGGAACCCGTGTTAATTGCCCGGCAGGGAGGACTTATAGCACATGAATGGGGCGACAAGGCGACAAACATATGTGGCTATATGGGCACTTTTAGTAAAGGCACTCGTTGCAATGGTTAACATGATGAGAACAATTAAGAAGAGAATCCAGAAGATACTCTTTACTGCGCTCATGTTTAGGTCGGGCATGAAATGGCCATGCTTAGACATTTCTCTAGTTGCATTGGATTTGTCAAATCAGATGGCATGTTGATTGCTGAGAATGAGTTTGGCAATGAAGAAATTAAATTGGATGTGTCGTTCGTAGTAAAACTAATTCTTGCCCAAATCCCTTCGAAAGAGACACAGGTTGAACAATTTCATATCTCATCCAGTGAACATCATATTTTGTAGTTGAAGAACTTCGGAGCTTTTAGACTACCCCGGATTTCACTATCATTGAAGCCGTCTCTGCGCTTGTGAAACTAGTGAGACTAGTGGAAATAGTTTACAACTTTTATGCTCGAGAACGAGTAGCGAGTAAGGGATCTAATTGAGTACATCCTGGATTTGTCGTACTCATGTACCGCTTTGGCTTGAATTATGCACTCGCAAAATCAGTTGAATCGAAGTGAGGATTCCGAAAAGAATAACGTGTATAAAGTCTTTACCGAATGGAAGACATAAAGTTTGATAGTTTTCAAAATCATGATCATAAGCGATATCCGCGCTAGCGAAATCAAAGCAACAGACTTCAAGCTGAAAGGCTAGTTATTCATACCTCCCTAAAGCTTAACTACTCCATGCCTTCCATAAGTTCTACTGCATCTAGCAGCATTCCCTTATTGCCGATCCACAATCTCAATCGATCCCAATCTTTGCCCTCTTCTTCGCCACGCCGCCATTCTTCATCAAAACCCCATGATCCCGCGACTTTATCTATCGCTGCCCGTTCTTCTTCACGGATCCAGCGCTCTCTCAGTGGCATACCTGGGGCCCAAGTCACGCGATCCATTTGATCATTCGCTGTTGTCACAGCTACAATACCGATAGTGGTGGTAAACCCCATATATGCTAATATTCCAGCAAAAGCGATGTTTGTGGCCATGCCGGGTTCCATGGAGTCCTGAAACATGGCAAGTTGTGATGCAACAATATACGCTCCAAAAGGTGCCACAGCAAGCCCGGTGGTGGGTAACAATCCTTTCCGGATAAATTTAGCACGGCGAAATGATTTTTGCGCATATGCTGTATCAACGATATCCATAGCTACATCTAATTCCCTGGCATCTATTGCGGTTTGTAAAGCTTGACCTGCCACGGCAACTGGTATGGCATTATTGACCTTGTTTGGATTCTGTTTTTTGAACTGTTTTCCTTTGGAGCCCTCAATTGGTATCGGCTTGTTCGCATACATGTAAAATACTTCTGGAAAAGTCTCGGGTTTTCCTAGACATGACTGTGCGCTGATATATACTTCTAAAATTTCTGGTGATATGAAGATAGACTCATGGGAAACAATCGAAAATAGGGCTCGCGAGAGCTCATCCACTAAAAGTTGATTCTCGCGGGATAGTTTTTGGACTCGCAGCTTCTTCGATCCTCGATCAGCCAAGGAAAGCAAAGACGCGGCAGCAGTTACATCCTTCTTTGTTTCTGATGATTTAGCAGGCTCTCCAGCAACGTCCGCGGCAATCAATCGGCATGTGTGTAAAACATCTAGAATGGCCTTTTCCGAAGCTACGGTTTCTGAAAACAATTTATTACAGGCATCGATTCCACGCCTTAATCCCTGCTCGAGTTCTGCTTCTGTGACATGCCGGGATGCTCGTACATGAGCTGGGCTTGAATATTGGCGCAAAGAGTTGAAAGGGGTAGACTTTGGAGGCTTGCTTGATCGCTTCCTGGTAGTGGTGGTAAATGTGCGAGGGGTAGTGTTTATTACTTGCGAAAATTGACGCTGTGGTCTTAGAGATGATTGCTGAGAAGTGATGAAGTCGCATATACGACATACGTCGGAACGAGGCTTGAAAAGGCGTTTTGACATTGTGTAGGGTGATATCAAGTTTCCGGTATCTTTAATTTGAGGTTTTTCGACAGGTTGTAGTCAAGACCACTGAGCCCGCATCCTATCAAGATGTCACATCCCTGCTCAGTACCCCTGTGCATGACATGGCTGACTAATATAGAAGGCTGAACTTGATGCATGAGCCACAATCGTGACGACGAATACAATGTATGAACCCGATTTAACTTTCCTAGTTTCTATTCTATTAGGCATCTCCTTTGAAGCATTGAAACATACAATTATTTCATTCCGTTTGAACATATTTTCTTGAAATTCAAGCTTGAATGAAACACAACACCAAGTCTTTCGGCCAAAGGACCCCTTTGAGATTGTATTAAACGTTGTTCAATCTCAAGATTAAGATTAAACAACTGTTATCCACGAAATCATGCCTCCTCCACCACCACCACCACCTCCTCCTCCTCCTCCTGGAGGATTTGGAGGTCCACCTCCACCGCCGCCGCCGGGAGGAGCTCCAGGATCTATGCCATCCAGACCACCTGCGAAAGTTGCTGCCAATAGAGTAAAAATTCCCAGCTGTACATTTACTTTGAGCTTGTCAAGTTGGTTTTGCTAATCAGACCACAGGGCGCACTCTTATCGGATATCACGAAGGGAAGAGCACTCAAGAAAGCTGTGACTAATGATCGATCGGCGCCGATAGTAGGCAAAGTGTCCAATGGTTCTGGACCGGCGCCAATAGGAGGTGCTCCACCAGTACCGGGAATGGCAAAACCTCCCAGTGGATTTGGCGCACCGCCAGTACCAGGAGGAAATAGAGCTCGAAGTGATAGTAATCAAGGGACCAATAATGCGGTCTCGGGGATGGAACAACCTCCACAGCTGGGAGGAATATTCGCAGGTGGCATGCCCAAGTTGAAAAAGCGAGGTGGAGGAGTGGATACTGGCGGTAAGGTTTTACATTCTATATAATTGAGATATATCTAATTTCTTTTTACAGCAAACCGCGACTCATCAACTACACCAGAACCAGAATTCTCTGCTCCCAGACCGCCAGGTATGGCTGCTCCCAGACCTCCAACAAACGCAGCTCCGCCTTTACCATCAATCAGGCCGCCTCCTCCTCAGCCTAGCTCTAGTACTCCCGCATTTGCGCCCTCAGTTGCGAATCTGAGAAAGACCGGCGGGCCATCTATCTCTCGTCCTGCATCCTCAGCCTCTCTCAAAGGGCCACCACCCCCTATTGGCAAAAAACCACCTCCACCCCCTGGAACTCGAAAGCCATCATCAGCGCTGTCAGGCGCACCACCACCGCCTCCGGCATTCGCCTCTCCACCTCCTTCTTCAGCACCTCCGCCACCTGTTGCACCTCCGCCACCACCTTCCCCAGCTCCACGTCCTCCCAGTAACCCACCTCGATCACATGCACCTCCACCACCTCCACCAACATCTCCACCTTCGACTAACGGAGGTAACCCAAGTCTCGCTATCCAAGCAGCAATTCGTGCTGCTGGTCAAGCATCACCAATGAGTGCACCTCCTCCTCCTCCACCGCCGCCGCCTCCATCTAATGGGCCTCCCTCTATATCGTCGCACAGAACACCATCTCCGCCCGCTGCACCCCCAGCGGCACCCCCAGCGGCACCAATATCAAGAAGTCAAAGTCAGCAACAAGGAAGAACTTACACAATGGATTCTAGTTCTTACACCCTCTCATCAAATGGTAGTTTACCGCAAGCCTCCAGTTCTAGCAGAAGAATCACAATCAATGACCCACGATGGAAATTTACAGATGAATCGGTATTCCCAAAACCTCGAGATTTTATTGGTGGGCCCAAAAAATACCGAGCTGGTCGTGGAAGTAGTGTCCCGTTGGATCTGAGTGCTTTCCATTAAGGACTTCGCTTGTTAAAAAAAACAATAACTCTTCGGATCGTATTTATGTGTTACCATTATGATTTAAGGCGTTATAGCGGGATATCGTTTAGAATCCGGTAAGGCGGCATCAAGCTATCTGAATTGGGAGTTATACATCAGGACACTAAAGATCGTCAAAAAATTCCCCCTGAATCGCGAGATGGAGATTGACGAGAGACATCAGCTTACTACTTTGGGTACCGAGGAGAAAATCACAGCTATAAATATCATGTGTGATGGGCACATCCTACAGTGGAACCTTAAGAATGAGTACGGAGAATATTAAACTTTTAAAGATTTATCTTTCTCTGGCTTTGATTTTAACCATAAATGATGATGATGATGTGATGATGTTAAAAATACTTTTATTGTGAATATGATAATTGATTTTCAATACGAGTACAAAGAGCTTTGTTAATTTCAACATTCACCCAGCAAAATAAATAATAGATTGATTGTATTCCATTCCGCATATAGCAGCAGTACTAAATGGGGTAATTCGTTAGGTTCGTTAGGTTCCTCGGATCATTATTCAATCTGTCCTTTAGGTAGTTCTACCGAGAATCTTATTAGAAAGACCTCAAACTTCAAAACGTTCATTCATTCCTCCTCTTCATACCTCCACCCCTTTGAGATAATACCAGTCCACCTTTCGCAGGTACAAGACACTATTTGGTGTTAATTGACTACAATTCGGTTCGACTTCTTTTACTCTCTTTGATTTGGTGCAAGTTCAGCAAAATTGCGACAATGTCGATACGCGGTAATGCAGGGTATGGTTTAGGTGGGCAGAACTCATTCGGAGGAGGACCAAGTATGGGTGGTATGGATAAGCAGAACGAACCTGGTACTCTCGATGCGATCAGAGAACAGACAAGCAAGATTGAGGATTTCTTGGATACATTAAGTGATCCTGTCAAGCCGTATGTTCATATCCCTCAGGGGACCCCGCAGAGGACAGCTTGAGGGGTCTAATTCTGTGTTTGAATTTACTTGTATTTTTTCAATCTGCTAACTCCTACTTTTCTGCAGATACTTGCCAGCCATCGGTCGATTCTTGATTGTCGTAACATTCCTGGAAGATGCATTGAGAATAATTACGCAGTGGAGCGATCAACTATTATATCTGCATGATTACCGACACAGTATGCTACCTATCTGTTCAAAACATGGCACGGCATAATTAACAATCTTCTAGTCCCAAGCGGTCTTACACATCTTTTCCTGATCGTTAACGTACTCGCAATGGTCTCCTGCTCTACACTTGTCATCACACGAAGATACTCGGATTACGCTGTTGGTGGATTGATTGGTGTAGTAGTCGTACAAGCTCTTGGATACGGTCTTATCTTCGATCTCAACTTTTTCCTCCGAAACCTTTCGGTCATGGGTGGCCTATTGATGGTTCTGTCCGATTCATGGGTCCGCAAATCAAAGGCTTTTGCTGGTCTCCCGGAGATCGATGAGAAAGACCGCAAAATGTACTTCCAGCTTGCTGGTCGTGTCTTGTTGATCTTCCTCTTCGTCGGATTCGTTTTCAGTGGCACCTGGAGTGTTTGGAGAGTGATTGTGGCATTTTTCGGTCTCGTTGCATGTGTTATGGTTGTCGTGGGCTTCAAGGCAAAGTTCAGTGCTATCATGCTTGTGCTTATCTTGAGTGTTTTTAATGTATTGGTAAACAACTTTTGGACTGTAAGTAAAGCTCTATTGCTTATGCGGGGCACTTGACTAATTTACCATAGCTTCACGAACACCACCCCCACAAGGACTTCGCAAAATACGATTTCTTCCAAATTCTATCTATTGTAGGAGGTCTCCTCCTCCTTGTCAACAGCGGACCAGGGAAATACTCCATTGACGAGAAGAAGAAGGTCTACTAAACCTCGGTGGTGAGGTCGAAACGAGAGCAGGGGAGTGAAGGTTCAGGAAAAAAGCAAACAGCGAGCCGTGCATTTAGGGCGGAGTTCAATTTGATGAGGGAAAGTTTTCTATTATTGTTATCAAGTCTTCCTTGAAAGGGAGATTCAGCAGATTGGGCGGCTTACTTTAAGTACAGCGTCAACATCTTCTGACTGTAAATCTCAGAACTGGCAATCTACAAAGTATATGAATGACTTATGAGCCAAATATGTTGCCTGCGTGTTTCAATAAAATGAAAAGACTATTGTTTCGAGGTCGGACCATCAACATGACTCGAGACAACAGAGCATTATTAGCACATCCCAAAGAGATTGCACTTTATCAGAAAGAAGCTGCAAGAATAAATCCCACCGTATGAAGGTGAAAATAACGAAGTCATTTCTTGCACAATTTCACAGTAGAAATGCAAGATGGCCCATCCCACCTATCACGAGTGGCAGACAGCCGCAGACCAACCTCTGACCTGCATTGCTAATCCTAGTAAGCCACTATCATCACCTGCAACCAAACTTTTTCATCTCTCTCACTAATCACAAGCTGATCTGTCAAGTTTATATTATAAGTACGAGTAGGTATTTTTTCAATGATATAACCGATATCTTTCATCCACATTGATTATTAATGTTGATGTGTATTTTAACACGAGATTGGGTATTAGCCTATTCGTTATGTACAGGTCTGTTTATTAGGTAGCGTTGTCTTGTATATACTTATGCAATAACATCGCAGTATACCTACACTTCGTGTGCTCCTCAAAACTACCTCTCTCATCTCACATCCCCTATTACCTACGCCATGGCAGAAGTCCTCGGCACAGCTCTCTCGATCGTCGGAGCTGTTGGAGTTCTTGGTCAAATCTTCTCCGGCTGTATAACAGCCTACTCACTCTTCACAACCGCCTCTGATCTCTCACGAGACTCGGAAAAACTTATCTGCAAAATTAAGATCGAGGAGATGAGATTATTGGTTTGGGGTAGGGAGTGGGGGGTTTTGGAGGGGAAATTTGAGGAGGAATTGAAAAGAGAAGAGGGGATTGGCAATGCGAGGTTGAGAGGTTTGGCGATGGAGATTCTAAGTGAATTGTACAGGACTATTACAGATTTTCAGAGGTTAAGAGAGAAGTATGGGGTTGTAGAGGAGAGTGGAGGGAGAGATCAGATTCAGAGAAGGGAAAGTTGTGATAGGGAGGTGGAGAAAGAGAAAGGAGGCTTTGGAATGGGAAAATTGAGTTTGAGGAGTGAGTTGTCGAAGAAGGTTAAATGGGTTATCAGTGATAAGGAGAAGTTCACAGTACTTTTGCAGGATCTGAAAGATTATAATAATGGATTGGAACAGCTGTTTCCACCATCAAGACTGGCAACTCTGCACAGGACGTGGACAAATGAACTATTACAAGGCGCGCATCGAGATTTAGACAAGCTGAAAGATCTGGAGGCGGCGAGCAGTGGGGTGTATCCGGCATTGAATGTCTCGGCTAATCTCAAACAATTGAGAATCAACCTAGACGAGAAGGAAACCAAGAATTTCAAGCCAACTTATACATTGAAGATCCGACGCCATGCGTTGGTGGTCAAGAATACAGACATGGGAAGAACTCATGGGCAATATCGAAACCCATCATTAGCCGAGCCACAAGAAATTATAGTTGAATGGGTAGAATACGAAAAAGAAGACCTCGATGCTCGATTAAATCATCTTCGTCGAATAGATGATCTCGCACGCATGATTCATAGCGCTTCTGATCGTCATCCAGATCTCCATACAATTGATTGTCTTGGCTACACGGACGATAGCACATCTTCTCGCTACGGACTTATCTATCGTTCCCCGTCTTCCTCCTCCTCCTCCCTCAATTCTCTCATCACCAGCAACGATTTCCGCACCCCCGACCTAGGCGACCGCTTTAAACTCGCCCATACACTTTCTGTCGCCCTCTGGTCTCTCCATTCCTTAGACTGGCTGCACAAAAATCTCTGTAGTTCCAATATCCTATTTTTCCCCAGCGCATACACGAAAAGCCCCCGTATCTCAAAGGAACGGGAAAACTTACCAGACATAAGCACACCATATCTCCTCGGTTTCGACGCTTCCCGTCCAGATCATATGGGGGAAATGTCCATCGCATCTCGCAACCCTACAGCAGCGGATCTCCACCGTCATCCTTCGTCTCTACATTCCTCTTCTTGTCCACGCAAAGAGTATTGTAAATCCTTTGATATTTATTCTCTAGGATTGATATTATTAGAGATTGGTTTGTGGAAAACACTGCAGACGTATCATAAACCGCATTACTCGGCAGAAAAATTCAGGGATAAGATTGTAGTGCAGAATTTAGTGCCGGGATTGGGGAGTAAAGTTGGGAGGGGGTATAGAGAAGTGGTGGAGAGGTGTTTGGGGGTCAGAGAAGATGTGAACGGAGTCGAAGCGGGGGCTTTGATGGAATTTGTGGTGGGGAGGTTAGAGGGCTTAAAAGTATAAGCTATCGAGGGGGAGACGACTCAAAGAACAAAATTTACAGAGCATAAGAGATTTACATGAAAGTGGATAATATATTTGTGTAAATTTCCTGGTATTATTAAATCAAGAATGAACAAGTACCCTTCATTATCTCTTCTTAACTAATACAATCGCTTAAACTCACTACTTTCCCTTGCCTGCCGCCTTAACCGCCGCCGCTACATCTCCATTCGCTTTCCACTGCGCCCATTCTGTAACACCGCGCTCATCCCCAACCTCTCCCGGTGCGAGCATAGGGATAGTACCGTTGTCACTAATCAATCTAGACATTTTCGTAGAATGAGAAGGTCTCAGGAAATATCCTAGACCCAATCTTGTTGCAGCAGCCTGTTTTCCCGGCGCAGTAACCACACGGTGCAAAGAAGCACGCAAAGCTCCCGCAGTCCATGCTACCATTGTATCTCCGATTAGAACAATGACGCAACCGGGCTCCGGTCTAACATATCTCCAATTAGCTTCGATGTTCTCTATTCCTGCTCCCAAGACCTGTAGGCCACCACAAACTGTGAACAATAATGTAATTGATCCAATGTCTGTATGGTTGTTAAGGGTGACGAACTCCTCTTTGACTGATTTGGGTCGAGTGCACAACATTCTAATGCTTGTGTCAGAGGTTTTGTTGATAGAGCTCAAAGCTTCAAGAGTACCTGGCGCTAAACCCATGCTCATGTCTAAATGGAAATGGATTAGGTCGAGTGCTCCGTGAGCGTGTTCAAAGAAACTCTTGATGTTATCGCGGTCCTGTTCTACTGGCTGCGGATTAGTAAATGGTTGTTTGTTTCCAACAGCATCATCTTGGGAAATAGCGATGAACTCGACGGAATCTATGCGTCCGTCGGGGGTCTGAAGAGTCCGAGATGGCTTGTATCTAATCATGTATTAGCTCTTTTCTCTCAAGAGATATCCAGACTGCATACCCAACCATTCTCTTTGGTGGCTTATACATGAACGAATCCAGAATCTTTCGATCAAGATCAAGTGTCTCTCTACCAACATCCATCATCGATCCTGCCTCGCTAGACAGGGTCTCTCCGTTATTAGAATCTCTCAAGTCAAGTAGGAAGTGACCTTGATCTCTACATGCGTCGAACATTCTCGCAGATTCGTTGAAATTATTGCTTTGCAAGTTCTTGAAGGAGATTCTTGACATATAGGCCACTGGCACATTGGAAGGGAATTCCGGCCACTGTTTGAAATAGCTTGAAGGAGGCATTTCGGTAATAGATTCCGCGAAAGAGGTGACAACTTAATGAGTTGTATGGTAAACTTGTTCTTCGGGGAAAGAAGTTTGAAGAAGCTACCTTACTGAGACAAAATGGATAGAACTCAACAATGTGTTTATGGTAAGAAATAAGAAACAAGATCAAATTGTGGGATAATCTTATAGAGATTGAACAATACTGTTAGGTACGGGGTGGATGATTATTAACACTGCAACGCTGCAGTATCTTCTGAACGGATGGCTCCTTTTGATGGATATATTTCCAGTAACCAATGACTACATCAGCGAGAAACTTTGTACTGTGATAGGAGTGAGAGCAATTCAAAGAGAGTGCGATGTAGAAGACAGTGGATGAAATAGACACAGGAGACAAGCAAAAAAACAGATGGATTACGGATCAAATTTTGAAATTGTAGACAATCACCTCGGGGCCGAATGATAGTTAGAACAGGAGACTTTGTTATGCAAAACAAAAGAATGCCAAGATGAATTCACCATCTAATAGAAAGCATTTGAAGCCTCTTTCTCATGTGTAAGGGCCTCGTTTGTTTTGGTCAGCCAGCTCCATCCCTTGACTCTAGGCTCGCAAGATGGTATCGAAAGAAAGGATTCAGATGAGAACGGAGGGGGGTATCCTAATGTAATCACGAAGGTATAAATGAGAATGCAGAAGAATAAGTGCTAATAGGAAAAGATAGTGAGAAAAGTAGTCAGAGATGAACCCTTAGATGAACTAGTTCTTTACTCTACAATTCTCCTCCAATATTGATTAGATTCTGCACACACTTTGAGATTCATTGGGAACATGACACTTGATTAGAACAAAAAAAGGGAAGCGGGGGGGATGGGAATTTGAGATTGTAAATTTGATAAAGTGGTGGGCAATATCGGAAAGGAGAACTGGAGAAAATTAGGAAGGAACGATCACGTATACGCTCAAGGCCGTAAGATATGCTCAAAATATATGAGTTTTCCAAAGTGATTTGAGATTTGAGAATTTATAATGAAAGACTGGATTGAATAACTCCTATTGCCCCTTCTAGCACCCAAGTCTCGCGAACCCATAACGAAATTTTGTTGCTAAGTCAATTTACCTCTATGCCAACACCCCTTTCACTGAAAATCAAAAATTATCGAACCAAGAAAAGACTCCATAATACATGACCTATTCCAGAGTTGTTCCTAGACCAAATTCCTAGAATAGTCATACTAAGCCGGAACCAAAACGACTACGCCAAATGCCACGACTAAGAATCGTTCATGCCACTCATGGCCAATGTGTTCTCAATTGTATCTTGGTACTGATCACTCGTCCAAGCACCAGTCTCTATGAGAGGATCAGGTCCCCATCCGTGTTGTCCGAGTTCCAAACTACTACCAGAGTTATGAATACTGGAGTCACCTCGCTTGCTTCCCTTCTTTGCCTTCATTGATGAAGATTTGGATGCGAGAGTGTATGAAGACTCGTTTTCCTTCAGCCAGGAACGGAGAGCCCATGAATGGCCTCCGACAGAGTATGGCTGGTCTTGAGTATTTTTGGTACCATTTTTGAGATCATCATCGTTCCAGTTGGTTTCGAAGTCCCTGAACTTTTTGCTGTTCTCATAAACAAGAAGTTCTTCATGCGGAGTTGAAGTCTGGTTGTATGAGGAAGCATATCCCTGGACAGGTCGTTGATATGTATAGGCAGGTTCTTCATAACCAGTAATATTTGGCTCCCACAATTGGGTATCATGCTGAGTGACCGAGATTATGCCAGCAGAATGAGTGCCAAGCCCTGAGCAACTACAGTTAACCTCATTGTAAAAAGGAGGCCTGGTTGCCGAGACGGGTTTGAGACAGAATTGACAAATGACAGTCCAGTCATCTAAATCAGTTCGATAATTGTCTTCAGTGTTATCATTATAGACCGGAGGAGCCATCCTGAAAGGCTAAAAGAACTTTCGGGATATTAGATATGAGGCGTCTGACAAGGCTTGGGCGAATGACTTACGAAATGGGTCAGGAACGGATGATGGTTGTGTTAACCGAAGGAGTCCGATGTGATTGGTGGTTTGTCAAGGTAGTATGCTACTAATGCGGGAAATAAAGGGAGGTTAGATGTTACCAGATGAGAAGGCTGGGATTACGATATATGTGCTTGACTCGAAGTGCGAATTGCCAAAACGAGGCTTGAAAGTTGAATAACTTCGTTGATAAAGAATGAAGAGAGGAAAATCAAGGAGAAAACCAGATACTTATGAATCTACTTAGGTCCTTCTTACACTACAGAGCTCGGATACATGCTTTGCTAAAAGGGCGGCTTAGGTATCGACTCTGTGCTGGCTCAGAGCGTTTGGTGGTCATATGAAGGTATCCGAACATCGGAGTGTATAAGATCGAACAGGTATGTGCATTATCGAAAAAGCACATTTACTGCTTGTTGTATCTTGCTACCAACGCCCTTCTGCGCGCGAATTCATGAATGTGGCGGAATTGAAGGAGCAAAACAAGCCGCCGATAAAGGGCGGGATTCGAATTCCGTATCATACGAGGTTATGTTTGAACCATTCACTCGAGGCGGTGCTGTCCGCCTCACTTTGTTAAAAAATGCCTGCCATAATATTGCCGACACTTTTGGGCTAGAATTTGGTGCTCCTCTGAATTGCGAGTACATAAAGCTTTGAGGTAATTACCCGTTGATTGCCATTTCATGGCTGCGCTTATCCTCGGCTGATATCACTTGACATTTATCTCTCCAGCCAGGGGCACACCAATCATGAAGTAAAGTTCAGTTTATCTTGAAGAAGATTCGAAATTTACAATCATGAAAGTAGTTGCCTGTATGCTATATGTTGCCCAAGATTACTTTCAATTGAACCTAGGTCTCTTAACCGAGGTTATCACATGGGTTCGTTCCATGGGTGGCTACTCCGACTCTCTGCCTCTATCATGATTATTCACCATTTTCAAAACAAATGAATTGTGCAGGAACTCCTCAACTGGTTTGTGCTGGAAAGCTAGATTTCTGAGAATCTCGGCATTGCCCTGAATGTTACACCCCGATATGGATACCCACAGAGACATGAAGATGTTCCGCTCGGTTAAAATTGTTGACTGCAATGACGCGCGAAGTCGATCCCTTCGTCTCATGTCCGATACTGCCTCGATGCTTTAGCACATGATTCCTCATCCTAATTTACTTTCTTCCAGTAACTCTGCACAATATGTTTGCCAAAGGCAACCGCTCGCCAAGTGCAGCCTTGAGTCGCACAGCAAGGGCTGAGATGAACGCCTGTCGTCTGATTGACTGGAAGTCATGCTAGTTGTAATCTCAAGCACCTAAATTCATATCAGTCTCCAACATTTCGTATCTTGTGAAATTGGGGCGAGGTTGTAGAGCCAAGGAATTGGTCTAAGGGGATTCTCGGAAGTCGCCGCCCTCCGCGTGGTTTGGAATGTAAGACGCTTTTCATACGCTTAGTCCCTTTGTTTTTGAGCCTCAAAGTGTTCCTAGTATGGTTCTACATGTTATGTGACGTATGTATCTTCCACTGCTTCCTAATTTGTAAGTTGTGCTAATTCGCAGAAACGAAGGTATAAATTGGCAAGCTACAAAGACGAGTAAGCAGCTGCCTAATAGGACATAGAGTGAAGCATACGCATCATGACGACAATGTCGCGGATCAAATATTGGGGATGACGGACTGATGTTCGCATTCTTATTCAAGCACTTGTAGAGACCAGGAAATGAAATAACAAAGCAAAATCAATTGTAAAAATTATCAAATTCTTCATGCTTTTCTACCATTGATATCTAACAGAACCTCATGACAACCTTGTAAACACCTTCATACTCCATTTTTGAACACTGCATTATTAAGTCCACAATCTACATGTACCGTCCGCACCAGCACTAACAAGCCAAGGCTCCTTTGGATGCCAGTCCAGATCCATGACACCTAAAGCGCTCTTGACCTTGTGTCCTTTCAAAACCTTCACTGGTACGATAGTAGCGTTCTCCATCGCATCGCTTACAACCTTTCCGTGGAAAATTTGCAAACTTCCATCATCACTAGCATCTGCAAACAATGGAAGACCACCTTTGTGGTATTTGACAGCTCGAATAGCTTTGTTGTGGAAACGCATAGTCTTGTATGGGCGGGTAGAAAGATCGAGATCATGCCATAAGAGACGACGATCATAGGAACCAACAATGAGGTTGTCACCTCCAGGATGTATATCGAAAGAAGAGATCCAGCGAGCACCAGGTTGAATGATCTTGACCAATTCTTGTTTTTGTAAATCGTAACTGCGGATTGTGCGTTGAGTGGCAACGAAGAAAATGGGCCGAGAGGGATGGAACTGAGCAGTTTGGGCGATACCAGGCAGACGTCTGAATGGAATTTGTGTGAGATGTTTCGAGAGAGTGTGGATTGCAACGGCGGACTTTTGAGCTGTAGGAGATACAGTAGAAAAGAAGTCACCTCTTCGGTGCCAATTGATGACCTTGACTGTGGATCTTACAGTGATCTTGATTAGTACACCTTCATCTTGTAGACGTGAGGTAGGACGAGCCCAGGTAGCAACAGGTTCTTTCTTCTGTCCATTGGCCGTAAGTGCTTGGGTAGCATTTGTCGCATAACCAAATCCGGCATCTAATAATTCTCGGCTGTTGCTCTCAGAAACAGGATCAATTATGGTAGGTACCATGAGGAATATGTCCTCTCCAGCCGCGGCAGAAAGTATAATAGCGTCTTTCGCTGGGCGCCACTTAACAGCATTAACTGCTTCCTCATCTCCTATCTGCGCACTCCAGAGTTGTTTTCCGGTCAAAAGTTCCCAAACACGAACAGTACCATCATCACCGCCAGTAGCCAGCCACGTTCCAGATGGATCAATGGCCAAGCTTCGCACCCTGCCATCATGACCACGGAATAGCGTCTGCGTGATAGTTGGGAAAGGCTTAAGTTCCTCTGGCTTTGGTAGCTTTGGAAGTAAAGAAGCAGGGTCGATATTAAGCCTATTCTTGCGAACTCGTGGTGCCAAGTAGAGATCAAGCGAACGTTCGAACCTTTCATTGATAAACTTATCATATCCCGGTACTTTTCGTAAAGAATCATATGCCGTTGGTAGGTACTCCTTTTCTCTATCCTCAGGATCTGTAGCTTCCCATTCTTTTCTTTCTGCTTTAGATGGGAGATACTCAGGAGGTGGGTTGTAACTTAGATCGTATCCTGGTGGAGGTGGCTTTGGAGCTGGAATCTTCATGATGTGATCTGGTTGCGCTTCTTCATTCTGCCATATATCGTAGTGGTGTTCTTCTTCCTCTTCCTCGCGCTCTTGCGGTGGTTTATATGGTAAGATTCTACCTTCTCGAATTGCCCGAACAATCTTCATGATTCGCTTTGCTTCATGCTTGGATGGCAGGAAACGTCGTTTAGGCTCAGGAGCTGAGCTCAGAGGCATGATCTCCTCGACGCCGCTGAAATATGGAACATAATCCTATACCAAGTTAGTCAATGATACAACATAGATATGAAAAGAGATGCTTACAGGATATGGATCGTAACCATCTTCAGGAGCTTCATTTGTTTGTATTCTGCGCAGAACCTCCAATTCCTCTTGAGTCAAGTTGAGAGGCTTGCCTGTAGAAGGGTCTGTAAGACCTGTCCATCCCTTTGGAATATCGATACTGTCCAGCAATGCATCAAGTGCTTCACCCTTGGCAGGTCGCATAATTTTCTTTCCATTGATGTCATAACCAATGTGAGGATAAGAATCATAGAAAGACGATGGGATGTTTCCAATAGTATTAGTTGGCTCTTGGGCATCTGAATCATCCGAGTCGTAGACTGGGTCTATCTCTTCATAAACATAACGTTCTCCCCCATTAGCATCCTTCACCACAGTGTAGTTGGGCTTGTCATCGTCATCGTCGGCATTGGCTTTGCTGAGGGAAGTTCTTGTCGTAGATGCGTCTCCCTCACCATTCTCTGAGGGTACCTCATCGCTATCCAATGCCTCGAGTTCTTCCTCATCCAAATCTTCTTCGTCTTCACTGTCCTCCTCTGCTGCGCTGTCGTCGGATTCATCTTCGCTTTGCGACAAGATTCCTTCTAAAATTCCGTCACCAAATTCTGCTTCGGATTCGACATCGGATAACTCAGGTTCATCTCGGGTAACCGCTTTGCGCTTTCGTTGGTTTGTTGGAGGTGCCATTGTTACAATAATTTGCAATAATTTGGGCACTGTTTAGAATCCGAAAGCTTTAGTAGATTTTTTTTCCTGGAAAAATTGGTCGAAGGGCTTATCGGAGGTTGTTATCTTAGCGTCTTTTGTTGCTTTGGAGCATGTCAGTAGCCTCTTCTGAGCCTCTCGAACCCTGCTCTACATATGAAATACAGTCAGAAACTACTGTTAGCCATCTTTACATTGAATTGAGATCCATTTGCTTCATCAATTATCTAAATTCACATTTCCATTTCTTAGCAAGGTGATTTTCATGGTGATGGATTCAACAGGTAAACAAAAGGATACTGCGGCAAAACGTCGGGCTTGTGATGAGTGCAGTGAGTTACCTAGAACTAGAAAGTATCATGTTCAGTACAACTACTGATTGGACATAGGAACCAGGAAACTTGCATGCTCAAAAGATCCTAATGGATGTGAAAGATGTGTGCGAGAAAACGTATCATGTCATTACTCTCAACAGAAACAAATGGGAAGACCAAGAAAACGTCAATTTATCGAAACTATTAGAGATGAACCACCCAATACACAAAACAACCTACAACCTCTTCTCGACGATGGCACACTACTCCCTTTCTTTGGCGATGAACTTTACAATTTCGATGATAACGACTTCGCTGAACCATATTTTACTAATTCGAATTTCAGTGGATTTGATGCTGCTCAGCAATTTCCACAATCTCTCCCTCTTGACACCCAACATCCTCTCCGCGCCTCAAATGTAGATGATGGCAGGAACATATGGCATTTTGGAAACGTTGATATGCTAGGACCTGCCCCCATCGACTTTAGTGATATAAATATGGAAAAACTGGGTAAAGCGCAACCCGAAGCCAACCAAGAAGCTGAATTATCAACGGGGTCAAACCCTTCCTCCTCTTCGCCTAGTGGTAGTGATGGTCCCTTTCCAATATCAGGCGATAAATGCAGCTGCTTATCATCGATGTATTTGTCACTATCAGCATTGCAACAGTTCCCAAGTGAAATCGATGAAGCTTTAAAGGTAGTTCGTGGCGCCAGTATTGTGGCATCGAAAGCCATCTGGTGCCCCTCATGTGGTGCGATAGCGTTAATTTCACCCACACCTCCTATTGAGGCTTTCCAAAATACGATGCTCATCGGAACCATACTACCTATTATAGCGAATGGATACGGCCGTTTGCTAAAGATGGTCGATGAAGCCACTGCTGAGGCAATTGCTAAAGGGCAGACCAAAATCTTTAGGTATCTTGAATATGGTGGTTTATGCGAGCACCAAAGGCCAATTAATGAGGCAGTAGAATGCATAGGTAACGCATTATCCGTAGCAGATAGAGAAATGCAACCAGCAGAGTGGCGAACTACTGTAAGAGCTTTGTTGCGAGCTGACATCTATGGTCATGACCAACCTGGATTCAAGTACAAAGGATTAAGAGATCTCATTTCCGAGATGGAGCAAAGACAGAACGCTCGTCACAATATATTAGATGCACAAGTCGCTGCGGGCGTGCGATCGCTAGAGCATGGCCACTTCCCAGATTTAAAGGTTGCAGATTTGACTGTTAGGCAATGCTATGGGGAGAGAACAAGGGGGTGCTTGGAGATCCTCAAAATGGCTAAGATGGCTGTAGATAGCATTTTTATTGCATGAGCATCAAATTGTCTGGTCATTTGTGCAGATGAATGTGTAAGCCACCCTTTTTCATGCTGGAATTCTGCCATTCGCTTTCGAAATCTGATATTCGCTTGCTCAAATCAAGGTTGACCACCGAACTATGGTACAACTTTCTTGGATTTAGACTATCCAAGGACCAAGAGAATATCGTGAGCTTGTTCAGGAATTCATCTGTGGAGTGCTAATCTCTCATGAGTATGGCTGCCAGAGATTTGACATCCCAGAACTCTATTCCACCCTTCGTCTCAACTGCGCAACACAACCGCAAAAGTGTTGTAAATTGTCGCGGTACTCAAGAAAGGAAGCCAACTGACGAAGGAAAGCTTCATAGTTAGTTAATAGACCCTCCATCACAATACCAGCTCACCTAACCCTGTGTCGGTTGATTGGTTTAACCCCAGCGAAATCGTCTTATTTCTTGACGGCCTGCCCAAATACCTTAACCCGGAGGCTTATGGTCAAAGACTCTCAGATGATGCAATGGCGTATGGAATATACATCGAATAATGGCTTGGATTTCTATATCATTATGCTACACAAGAGTGCTAAGTTTTTGCCCGATTTCTCAGATGCAGAACAAAATTCCTTTCAAGGATCTTCATGGTTGATAGACATTGCCCTGTATAAATTAAAGTAGTTTGTTATAGTTGCTTGGTTTGATTTGATACTCATTGTTTATCCATGTTCCATGTAACATCTTCCGGACATCAGTTGTAAGGTAGGCAAAGGATACGATGAACATATTGAAATCAGCTTTGAAGGTTACGAAACTAGGTGTGGCGGCAGATCATGTGTATATTGGTGAACCCACACCGAAATCAAGGACTTGAAATCGTATTAGACCTACCTATCCATCGAACAATGGCCACCCCTTCCTTAATCCCCATTTCCTCGACATCATGTACTCCGTATTCAATAGATTCCACACTCCAGAAAACCCTCACGCCTTGGTATTCGGAAGAGCCGAAGTATCATCGGAAATTATGTGTGCAGTAACTACAGACAACCTTGGAAATGCTTAATTACAGCAACGGGGTATCAGGACGTTCATAAGGCTCGGCTCGGTTGCGGCACGAGGTGAAAATTGTCTCTATGTAGCCGAAAAAAGCGGTACACCAAATCTCTCCAAGGGAATCAATTATACATTGAATTTTTTCTTAGATTACAATATCCTATCTATGATGAATCAATCTATATTAAATCAAAACCTTATAAATACATCTTTGATACAAACTCCCAATTCCAATTCAAATTCATAATAATCCGATTCGACATGGAAGATCAATCAGAGTACAGAGAGAATACTCGTATATGAAATATATAATTTTCTGTGTTTTTCTTTGATCTCTCCTGTCTGGACGGGACTACACGGTGGATCCGATCTGATCTCGCTTGGCCCCTAGATCCGTTATAACGGATCTTCATTTCCACCGCTCGTTGAAGTTTTCACTGCCGAATCCACATTTTTCTCACGTACTTCATCCACCCGTGGATATATCCGTCCTTCCGCATTGGATACAGCAAATAAGACACATAGGACAAATCCATAGCTATCCACAAAAGCTTGATAGATAGGTAGGTGCTGGATGGGAGAAGTGGAAAGAAAAGACTGATATGGAGAGATAGATGGATGGATGAATGAATGAATGAAGAGTTGGGAGATGGTGTAAGTAAAAATTGTGTTGTGGTATGGATATGATAGATGGGCAAAAAGATGTCGACGTCGGCATGATTCGAACATGCGCCCCCGAAAGGAATTGATTTCTAGTCAATCACGTTAACCACTCCGTCACGACGCCTTGTTGTCTGGTGTGTTAGGGTTCGAACATATATTGGAAGAAGATTAGCATAATAAAGGAAGATAGATTTTGCTACTATATTGTCATTGAGATCGCACTTCCACGCCGTAGATATCATTTATTTTCCCAAGCCATTGTCCATTTCCTGTATGACTTCCGAGTGCCATCCCCTTCCCTTTTGTGTCGTTGTCTCACCATTCATTCACTTGTAATTCCTCATCAATCATCATACTACTCGCCCACACATCCACATTCTCAGTCCCACTTCTCCATCAACTTATTCCCCAATACTCCATCAGGGAAATCCCTCACTCCCAAATGTGTCGAATGAGCCCATGGTTTCAAAGCATTCTCCTGCTCGATAGTATGCGAGAAACATTTACCTATTAGCACCGCTAAATTAGCACCTCAACTTTCATTTTCCCACATGCCTCCCAATATCTCCAAACCACATCAAACCACATCAAACCACATCAAACACCCCCCGACAATCCTTCTCAAACATCACAAAGAAAGACACGGAAGGAAACAAAAAGGTAATACATACTCCACTCCAATCTCGGCCACTCCCTCACCACATTCTCAATCGTCCCCTCGTGCACCAACTGCGCATTCTGCCCCATGTTATCAAACACCGTCGCCAACTGCACCAACCCCCCAACCCTCGTCTGTGTCCCCACCTCTCCCAAATCCTGATGTCGAATGATACCCTCCACAACCAATTCCCTCTGTTCTCTCGCCGCCCCCGCATCCCTCAACACCCCATCCGCAATAAATCCGCCGTAGAGATCAAAACTCATAAGCGTCTCCTGCAAGTGTCTCGGCACGGTTCCGATATCGTGGAGAAGCGCCGTGAGCGCGTAGCTTTCGAGAAATTTACTAGATGGGTTGATAGACGTCCAGTTTGGGAATGCGTGCGTGAGAATCGCGACGCCGTAGTGGTAGACGCGCATAGAGTGGTGGAAGGTTTCTTGCGGTAATTCGCTGCGCGCGTATTCCTGAACGCTTTTTACGAGCGAGGATGTAGGGAACGGGAGATGGGAGATTTTGAGCGCGGAAGCGGGATTAGAAGCTGAGGGGGAGGATTTGATGAGCTCGGAGAGAGAGGCAGGGACAGATGTCCAGCCGTAGGATTCGATTGCGCGTTGGCGTTCGTAGGTCATGGTTTGGATAGTTTGGATAGTTTAGATTGATGGTTGGAGTTAATGTTGTGTAGTGTATGTATGTTTATGCGTGTAGTTGATGTGTTAGTGGTAAATGAGATGTTCAAATAGAGAAGATACTACCTAGATATCAATCAAAGGAGGGGGAAGCTCGTCTTCTTATGGAAGGAATGAGGGGTTCCAAGCTCTAGAAGCTAACCCGGGGAATGTTATGCCAATCCCATCATTCACGTAGAATGCTTTATAAGCAAAGCAATAGTTCATATGCCGGTAGCTTACAAATGTGTATTCCTATACCTACCTACCTACCTACCTGCCTACCTACCTAGGTACTTTAACGTAATTTACCTATTCGTCATCGAGATCATTTTCCATACATGTTGTGTGTGTACTCGTACTGCAGGTGGTAATTGCAATGTGCAATTGGAGCCAAAGCTACCTGCTTACCCCACATGCCGTCATTTTATCCCACCGAGCCCACCTCCTTCACTAGATCCAAACCTCAGAACTCCCAGAACCCCTGTCTTACATCATACATATCACACCAGCGATCGGGTAAGCCATTAGTAACTACCACGCTGCGAGGTGCTTACTCCAACTTGAGTTTGATTGCGTTGCGTCTTTGAATACTACATCGGGAATTGAAAATTCGGGATTCAAATGTGCATCTTCAAATGGCGATTGACCGTCTGATCGAATAGTCGTAGTAGCAACCAATCTAGCAAATAAATATGTATAGGTACCTAATGAAAGGACTATTTCGAATTGATAGGTCGTCACCACAAAGAAGCTTAGAGAAAATCGTAAGATCGTAAAATCTTGCCTCAATTCAGGCTTTCGTATAGAGATTATTTGTGTATTGTAAGAGTAAGAGTTTGACGACTAACGTCCATCCTACTGCGATACCATCATCCACACACTCATCTGAATCATAAAACCAAAACTCCACGGTGCTATATCATATTCTTACGCACCGCTCCATAATGCATAGCACAACCTCATTTGAGGTGTAGTAATCCATATACAATACCGAACTCCAAATGCATGTTTCGTTTCCATCGTAATGGTATAAATGCAAGACAATTAAAACAACCAAACTCCAACCCAATCTGATGCAACTCCAATCCATGTACGCTAGAAGAACATCACAATTCAAAACTATGTAGCCCGTCCCCATTTTCCGGAACAGGAACCAATGGTTCTTGAACATGCTTCTCCAGCCCATCATCAAAGGACTTGATATCCTCCTTGTCTATTGTACCGACAAAAGCACGCTGAACGAAGCTGAGCCAGACTCTATTCTTCTCTTTGCGATGATGCTTCTTTTTCTTGTGCTTCTTCTTCTTCTTCTTCTTCTTTTCTGCATCGATATCATGATCCTCAGTATCTCCAATGGTTTCGTCTTCGGAGATGGAAATTTGTTTCTTGTCATCGTTCTCACTACCCTCATCATCTTCGTAGACATTGACTTCTTCCAGAATCTCTCCATCCTTAACACGATCCCCCTTTTGTGGCTTATACTGACCAATCCTATGGGCCAGCTTGAGATAGTTTTTGACTGTCATATCTTTCAACTTATAAATTGGATCCGTGAAAGTGTCATACTCGACTTGATAATGAAAGGCGCGTGGATTTGGGTCATCGTCTTTTGGAACTTTTCCGCCGTGTTTACCCTTACGCCACTTTTCGACGTCAACCCCATTGTCTGACCCCTCTGATTTCAGTTCGAGATTGTTGATGTAGGTCAAATTGGCAAAATATTGAGTATACCCAAGTAACGTTAGACTTTGAGGAGAATATGCCGGTCCCGGGGGCGCATCTTTTGAAGGCGGCGACGGAATTATGAATCCTGGATTGGACGGCGTCGGATTTTTGAACTTCTTTTTGTGTTTCTGGTGCTTCTTCTTTTTCTCGGTAGAAACATCACCGTTGTCTGCGTACATCGAATCTTCCCCGGCATCGACATTGAGTAGATCTTCCTCTTCTTCTTGATCAAGCCAATCAATTTGCTCATCATTATTCACAACTGAATCGGACCATCTCGGCAAATCGTCCAACCCTGTGATATTGTACTCGATGACCCGAAGAGTAGGAAAGTAATTTGGCACGATACTCGGTCCAACGTGCGTTACCACAAATCTTTCACCCCATGGACCTCCAAACTTCTTGAGATCTTTCTTCTTTTTATCTCTCTTCTTGTCCTTCTTACTCTTTTTATTTTTCTTCAGATCTTTGTTCGATTCTGAGTAGTCTAGTTCTTCCTCGTCCATAACAATCGGTAGGTGTTTTGGATTAGGTAATCCAGACCAATCTTCTCGAAGATCACCCAAGTAATCTCCAGCAGATGAAATTGTAAACTCGTCGTCCATTAACGCGCGAGGTGGCGCAACAGATTTACCATCAAATAATAAGAGATCAATATCTTTAGTGTCGTGTATCATGAAATGATCAATGTTCATGTGCCCAAATAAACCTCCGATAATAATATCCCGATACTGTTGAAGCCACAAGGTATATTTTTGCCAACAAGTTTCGTCCCAAAGTGATTTGCTGTCCGTTCGAGCAGGTGGTACATGTCCAGTAAGAATAACTTTCATCCCGCGGTCGCGCATAAATTGTAGTTGAATTCGAAGCCATTCCATGTGTTCGTATCCGGGTTCTGAGCGCAATGCGCAACCATCCACAGCGGCATTGTGGCTAAAGAAGTATAAAGTATTAAGACTGAAGACAGCCAACTTCTTAGGAATAACCTCGACATAATACCATCCTCCACGTTGAAAACCGTGTCTCTGTTCTTCTGGTATGAATTTATCCCATATATCTGTATACGCCTTCAACCATTTGTTCGGACCCGAAAGTAAAATGTTATGTGGAAGAATATCGTTGTTGCCAAATGTTGATATAACCGGAATCGATAAATCGCGCCCATCGCCAAAAGTATCTAGGAATTTATCTGCGATCTTTCTATTCGTATCGAGAACTTCATCTTGAACTCTAGGAATCTTTTCGTCGCTGTCATGTCGTGCACTATTTTGAATCAGCATCTCTCCTCGCACAAAGCCAAAACGTCATTGCGACGATTGGCTGTTCGTTCAAGCAGAACCAACCTGTCCCCTGTCCAAACAACAAAATCCACGTTATCCCTCACATTTTCCTTTATCCATTTAAAAGTCGCATCTATAAGGGTAGGAGGTGTATCGCAATCCGAAGTCTCGGCCCCATATGTTCCCGCAGTTCCTTTGCCTCTGTGGCAGGCATCATCTTCATCGGTGGAAGAGAATACTTTGTAGTGAGGATCTTGATGTAAATCTATAATAAATGAGCATCGTACAGGATCATTGAATGGCGAAATAATGATTTAACCCCACCTGTAATGTGCAAGAATCTACCATGCAGACGTTTGGAGGCAACATGCTGATGGTGTGTAGTATCCAGGTCCTCCAATGGCACTTGCAGGCTCGATTGGGTGGTACCGAGGGGTTTGGCAACGGCAGCAGGAGAAAATTGAAGCAGACAGACTGCTATGCATATTGCGTTTATACGCATATTTTCAAAATCAAACTGGAAAAGAAGAAAAGAGTATGTATGTCTTAGGAAAAGGAAATCATTCTCATGTATAGGTAGGTAGTATATAGAGTTTTAGGAAAAAGGATTCCAGGTTCTTCCCAAGGAAAAAAAAAGATGAGTTGTGATGAATGACTGACTCCGTTTCCCTGTCTTTTTATGATTAAAATAGAGTAAATTGATTGTTGGTTGCTCCCCCCTCGTCGTGGAAAGATTCGCGACCGAACGGCGGGTACCTGTGCGATTAAAAAGCTTGGTTTCTTTCTTAGAGAGAGCAGAGAGATGAGATATTTAATTTTCTCTTGAGTCACGACGATAATGAATAACGAATTTGTGATGATTTGTGTCGTTTTTCCAAGGTGATGAATCTTTGTATGTTTGTCGGCTGTACGAAGTTTCCCAGTACTCTACAGTCGAAGGAATGAAACAGTTTCCTTGATTCATATACTCGTAATCCTCCATCCATACTAAACTTTTGACAGTTATGACTGCCCAGTGACTCTCAAGGTGTTCTTTCTTATGTCTCACTCATCAAAAAGTCAATTGGCAGTAGTTATAGTTACCCTTCAAAACGATTTATCCAGCCAATCATCAGTACACGTGGATGAGTCTCGAGTCACTTTTGGTTTGGATCACCCTGTGCTAAAGCCTCTTCTAAAATAAATCCCTTTCAGTAGATCAGAGATGATCGAGAAGAGGAGGAATATGAAAGCTTAACTCAGCACATTGACTCACGCGACAACCCTTTTCCGCTAAGATGACGATATCGTGGATATTTATGACCGTTAGACAGATGCAGCCTGCATCCTGATGATTATGTTTAAGAGTGACACGTAAAGTAGTGCGACGATTATTGCGCGAATTTAATGTTAACGATAACGTTGTGACTACGAGGTACATAGATAGTATTGTGTAGGTACTTCTTCGTTATCGAGTTCACCCTTCCAAACTTCGGTCCAAAATGATTCCTTTTTGACCCCTTTTCCATTGCCGAGACGTAGAACTACTCAATAATGAATGTTGTAATGCAATCTGGACATTTTCGGGTGAGACGAGACTGACTCCAGCATGCTTTGTAGAACTTGAGATGCGCCATATCAAGTGAATCAATCTGCATGAAGATTTTCAAGTACACTGTTGACATGTGGACCCTGATTTTCCATCGCTAAACTCGTGGCGCCCGAACCGCCACAACATTTTTGAGACTTTCTAGGTAGGTAGATAGGTAGGTAGATAGGTAGGTATGTCCACCGTCTACCTACGAGCCTATCTGAATACCAAGCAGACGGACGCTTCAAAGTTTGATATAAAAAATAGTTCGAACGTGTCCCAACCACAATAATGTCTTACAGCAGTAGACAGCGGTTTATCGTTGTTCTACTATATGGATATAATATACGGGCTTAAACGGTATACTCGTATGGAGTAGGCAGATGATCGGGACTCCGAATAATACACGGGAGGGCGTCGATCCATATATCTCAGTTGGTATCCAACCAAATCTCTTTAAAACTGCTAGGATTGATGCAAGATCTTACCACAGTTTCGATTGACAAATATATGTTTAAACAAAAGATCTCTGCACATCAAACATTGATACATTGGCGTCGTGACGGAGTGGTTAACGTGATTGACTAGAAATCAATTCCTTTCGGGGGCGCATGTTCGAATCATGCCGACGTCGAATTTCTCTTTTGCTATTTCGGTTCCATTTTTGCAGAATGCAAGAATCATCTATTTCAGATATGTAAGTTTACATCCTTTCCAAAATCCCACTCATTCACTCGAGTGGATTAGAAAGTGGCAAACAAGAATCACAACTTGACAGTTTGGATTCGAAGTACAAACATTTTTCGATTTTTCGGTGTTGTGAAACATCAACACATGCTCGTGAAGCACTTTCCAACTCGACATGCTACACACGTACAGAGATACCCGTGGACCCTTCTCCTCACGCTTACAGAATCTTCATGGTATTACTAGCTTTAAATAGGGCACATGGCGATAGTGCTGCAAGATGATGGAGACAGCTTTATGCATCAAGCATCGATTACACCATCCGATCTACTACTCAATCAAGGAAATCACTTCAAAAATGTCAATTTGCTAGTAAAACTATTATAATTATTATTAACACCACCAATATATACAAATCTGTTGGGGGTGTGTGTTATGATTGTATACAAAAGCAGCCTCTACCGTCCAAACTTCTTCAACTCGAGATATCTCAATGGTGGGAACACAATGGCCGTGAAGCCGATACCGAGCCAATCTCCAATATCACCACCATACTCACCCCCAATCATCAAAGCAATAGGACCAGTGTACCAGATCTGATACATGCCTACGATCGCGCCTGCAAATCCAATCAGGAATGATAAGAGGGCTGCATATCCGATTGGTAGCTTGGTTCTGTCGTTATAAATGGACCAGTCGAACGATTTGCCTTGAAGTTTGTGGAAGATGAAATATTCCTCAAGACTGATAGTAATCCAGGGGCAAATCCAATATGCCATCATAGGGAGGAAGTTCTCAAAGACGGTGTAAAGCTTGTTGCGACCACATACGGAAAGGACGAGCTGTTGTACCGGAGTTAGTATTATGGTCATGTGAAAATAGGATGATGTGGAATAAGCTTACCTCAACTGCTGTGATGAGGACACACCAAAACCAACGAGGGATCTTGTTTGCCCAGCGTCCGAGTACCTGAATGGTCAATGCCGCACTGTAACTACATGGTGCATTGTTGGTGATGGACCCAAGGGCAAGAATGACGACGCAGAAGCCACCGAATCCTCCGAGTTTGCCATAGCACTCATAGAGAAGCGCACCAGACGAGATGTCATAGGCGTCGCTCCAGGCTGGAATGTTTGGAACTCCAGTAGCAATACCAACTCCAACGATGTTGGCAAAAATTACAGAGGTCCAGATTCCAGTCCACGTGGATGCAAATGTCATCCATTTTGGATAATCTTTGGGGTAGTAGACGTAGAAGTCGGCACTGATGGCGGTAAATCCAATGATACTTGCGAATATCAAGGCAAAGAACGAACAACGATTAGCGTTAATGGTTCCGGAATCACCAACTGAGACTGCGTGGGTATCGAAATCTCCACCAGTGCAACCAATAAGTACGAACATAACAACCGCTTGTGGGATGTATCCGAATCTATTTATTTGTGAGCATTTTCAACTTCGATCTTCCAAGAATGGTGGCTATATTTACCTCTCGATTTTGTTCAAGTATTCGATACCGAAAGTAGCCACTAAACCGATGCAGATTGCGGCAATGACGCATCCAACAGCCAAACTCAAGCTCCCTCCGTTAACGGCTGTAATCATCTGTCCAGTGATGATACATCCAATAGTACCAAAGCCTACTTGCTGAACAATATTGCAGCAGCATGCAATTTTCGAGGGCCAGTAACCCATGAAATAACGTCCAATAATCTTTAAGAGCGCAAATATTAGCACCTACTCGAACGACAAGTTTTAAAGAAGCATACCTGAGTTCTATTACCACTTTCTGGTCCATAGGTTGCCATATACGCGATTGATGTCGAGGCGAGCGCATTCGCAAAAATGACAATGCAAATACAATCCACCCAGCCGAGTCCGTAAACCAAGGGTCCGAGCAGCCCAACAATAATGTTCATGGCTTGCAAATTGATACTGAACCATAGCGAGAACATGTGGAAATAGTCGTGGAGCGGACGCGGCACATGTTTCTCGTTGTCAGCTACACGAGTGATACCACGGGCTTCCACTCCCCAGATTTGCTCCAATTTGACACTCCAGTAGCTCAAGCCTCGCTCGGAACCAGAAAGTCGAGAACTGTCATTCTCAGCGTCGATAGTGGACTTGCCATCGCGGTCTGTGGAGTTGTCGGCAGCGGTATGGACTTGTACACCCTTCTCGATATCATGCTCTGTAGCAGGCTCCATTGTGAAAATTTCTCAAGGCTCAAAGTCGACAAACAACGAAGAGGAAAAAAGTTTGACGATTGGAGGTGGAAATGCCGGCAGGATAACCATCTACCATACCACTGGAATTGAGCTTATTTCCTTTCGTCAATACTCCGCCAGTTCGGCGACCGCACCTAAAAGGTTTGCATTTTCGGCCGCCTCCCACGTTAATTGAGTGTATAGTGTAGAGCATGCATTGCATAAATGGGGTATGGACAAAATATGGCATCCCGATTAGACAATACATGCGATAGTTCGCGAGTGGGCACGTCGCTTGAAGAAATTGACATTTAGCCGTGGTGCGGCTTATGGGGCCGATCCATCGTATTTCCAGGGGTTTAGCAGGGTTCTCTGGGCCAGACCCCATACACGTGGTGGCAATGAGATAAGTGACATCTGATTTCAACGCGTAGAAAATCTTGCTATAATTTAAAAAGTGGATTTGGCATTCTACGAAGTATTAATTTTTATTGCGGTTGACCCATCTAGTCGAGAGTTCCTCAACAGGCGAGCTCGCAAGCTAATTTCTACCCCATCCCACGGTGAGAAGATGTATTTCTAATTCTTTAATACTACTGCTAAAGCACAGACGTGGCTTTGCGGAATTAAAGATCATGCTGTTTGAAAGCTTCATTTCGAGCATTGAGCTAAACAGCAATGATCAGAGACACCGAGGCTTGATTCAAGTGATGTCAATATCAAGGAGACTACGGTATCTGCCTTACACCAGGAGTAGTTTTCCCGTTGACATTTCACCTCGATTGCCTCTCTACTAGTGTAGCTTGCAGACTAAAATCTGTCCAATTAATTGAACTGTGCAGGGCACGTTGTAAAAACATGAGTTAGTCCCTCAAATATCTCCTCGATCGAGGTTTCTCTAATATTATACAGCTTCTGGTCCTATAACAGCGCTTCCTAAATGATTCAGCCCACAAGTCTTTTAAGAAAGGGACCAGCAGACCCTCAAATCTCCTCGGTAAATCTCGGATCTTTGACCGACATGATTACATCATGTGTCTCAATCTTATGTGTCTTACTTCGTCTGTATTCTCTTCCCAAACTCATTGATAGAAAAGGCTAGTTGTGTTCGCAACTGTAGATACTTTTTGTTACAGTTAGCTGACATGACGTGTTATTTTCTCTACTAGATTCTGATTCGCTTTCTTGTGACGACTGCAGCGAAAGGGTCTCAACACTATTGCTCGTCTCAAATTTCTGGTTCAGCAATAGTGTCTGAGAACTGATATTTATTTACTCATCTTCAATTTATGTAATAAGCTCTTGAACGGGACAACCTTTTTGCGTGTTTAGGAAGGAATTGTGTAGGTATAATAATTTCATGCTACAGTATCTGCTTTATGTGGCTTTGGGATAAATTATCGGCATAGTGTTGTTGGTTGCTATCTGATGTTGACGATTCCATATTTCCTACGATACTATCATTGAATCTCTCCAACCTATCCAGATATTCTACGTAGTCTTCAACTCATACCAATTGCGATTTCCCGAGGACTCTATCACCTACCTCACTTGGTATATTGGCGAAATCTCTACCTTAAGTCTTGTGGCCAGCGTTTCATATCTAAGACTTCCTGTAGCTCAAACTGTGAGATTAGGTCTTTCTACGCGGAATTCTTCGTCGAGGCAGAAATCACAAATTAAGATGCAGGAGATTAGGACGGTGAGTCGGTTTCATTCTGTGGGGAGTGTGGATGATACAGGAGGTGGGTATCTTTACGAATGCCGAAGAAGAAGAATTGGGGGATGAGACTGTGAAGATGAATGCTAGACGGGCTGATGCTGTTACAAGACATAATGGCAATGCTAATAAGGGAAGTCGGGTGTCGGATGTGGTTCATTGATCAGAGTACAGGACCACGCCACAACGTATACACAGTACTATGTTTCGTATTTGGAACACAGAATACTCCTTCGATATGACGACTTCACTTCAACCACATACAGAGTCAATACTCAAGCAGATTTTCTGTAACCATTTCATTGAAATTACTACTTCTCAATAATCAAAATCCCATAGTTAGGAATCTCCCTATAACTCTCCAACTCCTTCAAACTAGCTCCTCCCTCCCCCTCCCCTCTCAACCACCTCTCCGGCACCTCCGTAACACCCCACTCCAACTTCCCCTTCAACCCCGCCTCTCGCGCGCACTCCTCATAAACCTCCCTCCTCAAATGATAACACTCAAAATCCAAATCCCCCACCGGCGTATCCCCATGCACGCGAAAATAAATACCGTCCTCCACATCTCGAATATGGTTATACACCAAATACCCGCTTCCACCCTGACTCATCGGTCTCGCGCTCGCCTCCGCATTTACCGATGCCAACGGATCAGAAGTAGGCGGTACAGTCACCGACACAAATCTCCCTCCCTCCTTCAAATTCACAGCGATATTGCGAAACATATCCACCAATCCCTTGCGATCACTCGCATAGTTCAAAAGCCACGCCGCAAACACGATATCGAAGGGCCCGTCTTGATATTTCGTCGGGACGGAACAATCGCCCTGGATGAAGGAGACGGCGTTGCCGAGACGCGGCGCAGACTCGATCATCACGGCGCTGATGTCGACGCCGAGCACAGACTGCGCGCCCCAGGATAGGAAGGGATAGGTGTAGAACCCAGTACCGCATGCGAGCTCCAGGATGCGCGCATCCTGGATGTACGGTGTGATGGCCGTATGCACATTTTCGCGCTCGATGAGGGCGATGGAGGCGGTGCGGATGTAGTCGTAGGGGCCTTGGATGGTGTCGTATTGGTGGCTTGAGTTGGCCATGGTTCTGGGTTTGAGTTTGAGTTTTTGATGAGGGGTAGCGAGGGGGAGGGAAGAATGATTGTGGGTCGGGGAAAATGATCTTCTTCTTCTTTCTAGCTAATGAATGATCTTCTATGAAATAACTATAACAGTTTGTGAGTGAAGATCTTGAATTCAAGTACAAGATATCGATCGAGAAGTCCCACTCATTCCTTCATTCAAAATCTTCGATATTCTTCTCTTGCGTCTCTTCTATGCGTATTCTTAACGTAATTAGGAAAGCGGATCTCATCACTCGAGATTCACTATTCAGTCCCACTTCAGAGCCGTTTGGGAGATGTACCCATTGAGGTACATACCCATGTGGATTATCCCTTGCCGTCCCGCCTTAGAAATCTCAATCCTTGTTAGCATTCCACAATTCGGACAAGGATAGGCAACGTGGCAAAAGTGGGATGATAAAATTTCTCTGAGTTTCGGTAGAGGGTTTCCGAGATGGATGCAAACTATCGAACTCAGTGAAGCTGTTGCAGTGCAAAAAACACAGCATATAGGACATATTGCCGTTGTGTATATTTTGCCATAAGAGTAAAATTATTGTATGGGATTAAATCAACGCTTGCAGCCCTAAATCTATCGAATACCAACTCCTTTGACACCGCCGTACCATAATTACATACCGTACAAAAAATGCATCATTATACACCGCATACCACATACCAAAACCAATTCGTAGAGGATCCAAGCAATCATATACATAGGGCAAAAAGAGGTATAAAGGAAAGCAAAAAGATAAATTAGTCAAAGGAATAGGTATTGAACCACACCCGATTTGAACGGATAACCTTTCGATCTGGAGTCGAACGCGCTACCGTTGCGCCAGCGGTCCTATTGATCAATTTTGTATAAAGGGTGATTCTACTGTTGCGCATTATATTATCGGCGCTTCAACCTCTGGTGGTTCGTGGTGTAACTTGACCATCAAGAAATCCGTGAGCACTCACGCGGTCGCGAGTAAGATCTTCGTATTCGTCTTCAAGAATGGGATCAAAGCTGTTGCGGTTTCGATTAGTAATGTTTAATAGTCCAGTCTAAAGATGAAGAATATCAACAGAGAGAAAAGAGATAACAATGACACATACCCTTGCTCACCAACGATTTCCTTGGTATATCTGCATAGTTGTTCCAATTGTGTTACACATCCTGTAAGGGACTGGCTATAGCCTAGAAAATTTATGTTAAACTATGTCTTGGGAGGGTAGACAAATACGCTCAAGTTTTGGAGAGCCCAAGTGGCGAAAGTATAAAGTACGTACTGTAACTATAGATCTGAGACCATTTTTTCCCTCCGGGCAAGTTATTTGCCGTCTCACTTGTATCGTTGTTTTTCTTACTCTTACTTTTTCTTTTACTTCGTTTCGACTTAACGGACAGACTACTAGATGTCGCAGGAACATTCATGGATTCCAGTAGAGCCATATGGTCTAACAACCGTTTTCGAGCGGATGCTGCGGATGGAAGATATCGCTGTTTTTGTTAGTATTAAACATTTAACTTGTCGGACGATGAAACTTACAGGAACCTTCCTATCACCTCGCAATGCTCCAGCCAAAACATACAAGTTCATGAGGATACAGGCGACGGCATCACGTCGAAAGGAGAGTAGCGATTCAGATGCCTGCTCGTTCTCGGAAAGATAATGTGGTTGGAAAAAGAGTGAGGACTGTCGTACAGAGACAAGGTACTCGAAAAACCGTTCGCAGGCATCAATTAACGCCGAATAAGGAAGTGGGTTGAAAGGGCCGCGAAGTCGGATTTCATGACGAGTGAGAGCCTGCAAAGTGTCAGAATGTTTACAGTTAGGAAACCAAATGTCAACTTTGAAACATACCAATAGTTGTCGTATCCTAACAAACCCTTCTCTCAGGCGACCTTCCAGCATTTCTTCAAGAGTATTAGACCTGCTTAGAGGTAATGGGCAAAAATACGTACCAGATTGTTGCACATCTTTCACACCTGGCTCTTCTCCGTCTTCATAATACACGTATTTTGCCACAACACCTGCATTAGTTAATAAAAGATACAGTAATCCTCAGGATAAACTTACCTCTGTAAATTATACTTGAATAGATGAGCATCGACGACAACGCCTTCCTCAATTCATGCCTCGCGACAAATGGCCATAGAAACCAATTAACAAT